TGACACTATCAAAACAGTTTTATATTTGAAATGGAAAAAAACTTAAAAGATGTGGAGATGATCCCTGAAATTGCAAAATATTTATTTGAAAATGGTGCAACATTAATTATCGACAATGTTCCTCCAGGAACAGATTTCGGGATAGATTTAAAATCGTGGAAAACAGGAGACAAATTTAAAGGTATTAAAATGATCCCTCCTGGAATACACTTTATACATTATAGGTAACATCCACACAGCAATGTTTTGATTGTAAAATACATTATTTTATTTGTTTAATTTTTTTGTCTATTTAATTATACTCATTTAGTGCTACTGATGCATATGGAGATGCTGCTCCAAGAGTCGGCTTTTTCCATAACTTTCATGAAAAAGAAATCGTTGTAAAACGTTGGAGTATAACAGATGAAGAAGTTCATATGGAAGGTAATATCTAAAGACAATTAGCTGATTATAAAATTTATTATTTTTTAATCTCCGAAACTAAACACTGTAAATATTTTTAATCGAAACAGATTTAGATAATGAAATAATACATCGATTTAAAGATAATCTACGTGAACTAGACAGATTTTTGGGACCTTATCCATATGACATCAGTCAATATTGGAGAGAGTTAACAAGTAAAATTAATCGAACTATTGTTGATCGATGTCAACCTACCTGTAGGTAAATATACTGGAATAGAGCGTTATATTAAATCTTCGTTCAATACAGTCAACAATTTTTTTTAAAGAATTATTAGATCAGCTCTGGAATTGGAAAATTTTGATGATGCTACTCGATCACGATCAACTGATCCTAAAGCAGTTCAAAAACCTACTAATAGATTCACTGTAGGAACAAAAGCAGAATCATTACTGCCTAATTTAAAACCAAAACCTGGAACAGAACTTAGATTTACTCCATTACCTGAAAGAAACTATCCTGAGAACGCTACTCCTGCTGAAATAACTCAACATTGTTTAGATTCTTCATATACTTTGAATCTTATTCTTCAAAAAATGAATGAGTCAGTATTTTATGAAAAAAGCATCAAAAATATTCTCATTACAGTATATCATCTTATTAATGAAATTGTTTTTTTTATTCTATAGCCCAATGGAAATAATTGGAGAACTCCAATTTGCATTCATTTGTTTTTCAATAGGTCAAAGTTTAGAAGCTTTTGATCACTGGAAAAAATTAATCAGTTTAATTTGTCATACGGAAAAACTTATTTCAGAACGTCTAAAGCTGTTTATTGAGTTTCTGAAAACTATTGAAATACAATTATCACATGTATCACATGATATTCTTTGTGATATAGTTGACAGTAATAATTTAATTTATCAGAATTTACGAAAATTATTTTCAACAATTGAACTCAATACAAACATTGATGGAAGATTGAAATCTGAATCTTTACGCATGCGTGAACGTTTACAAACAAAATTCTCTTGGAGCTTTTCTGATTTATTGGACGAAGATGCTGATGAAAAACCAGTAGTTGTAACAATGGATTGAGGATGTTTATGTCAATTGTTTCATGTTATTATGTGTTTTGTTTATTGTTGTGTATTGAGGAATATTTTTTCCTGTTTACTATAGTACTACAATTTTACTATAGTAAAGTCTATTTATGATACTATACTAAAATTATTTTCTGTAAAAAAGTAAATACGGCATGTAAATAAAGTTGGTTTTGTATTTTTAAACGTGCATATTCAATAACAATGTCGAGAACAATTAGATTATTAGAAGAACGACAATTAGCAACAGAAGTAACTATTATGCGATGGTCGCCAAAAATGGATTTGTTAGCTGTTGCTAATAAAAAAGGTTATTACTTCCTTCAAGTGTCTAAATACAAATAAATTTTCAAATAATAATAGATTTATAACTCATAATTATAAATTTTTAGGAGAAGTAGCACTTCATCGACTTTCGTGGCAACGAGTTTGGCTTATTTGTCCACCAGAAGACTGTGACACCGTATCTGATTTATTTTGGCGACCTGATGGAAAACTTCTGGCTGTTTTTTATTCAAATTCTAAAAGTTTACATTTGATAGATATAGAAAATAAAAATATAATTCATAAAAAAGAGCAAGAATCAAAGAAAGATATTACTTGTATGGCTTGGTTACCAATATCTAGTCAAGATGTAGCTGAAAAGTTAAATTTTAATCGAGATCACATGTTAACATCACCTACAGGACCTTATCTTCCACCGTTACCTAATTTAAATAGAAGTTTTAATCATGAACTTGATCGCAAAGAATTTCTTTTTCATTCATTGGATATACTTTTCGTACGTACTAACTATCATCTTGTGAACACTTATAAAAATTTATCAAAATAACTTATAAATCATTTCAATACTTAGCTAGGCCACGATAATGGAGAGATAACAATGTACGTTTTTGGAATGTTTTACTGTGGAACAATTAATATTGGTCCGGGAGTAGTAACTAAAATATCAGGTGGCTTAGGAAAATCCATTTGGGTAACATCTCAAACTGATGCTGGCATCATAGTTCAAGGGTTGTCATGTCCCCTTCTAGAAAATTGTAGAGCATTTTTAAAAATTGCGCAAATGCAAGCTAATATCAATTATCTAATGGATTATTTATCTCAGACATTGATGGCGATATCTGAGGCTTGGGAAACGATTTTGTTAGAAATGGATGAAAAATTATCCCGATATGAAGAAGATGAACTTCCTGGAACTCTTGCAGCTGATTTTTTAGAATTATTAATGATTGGAATTTCATCTAATAAACTTGCAAATTTTTTGCTTCATGATTTATCCGATAAAGGATTAAAAAAATTAGGACATAGTATTGAAATTTGTTACAGTAACATTCAGGTAACAAATTTTATTTTAGATAAATAATCATTAATTTTCTTTGTAATGATGAATATTTTCCTTTTCTAGAAATTAGTTCTCAAACATTTAAATAGTGTCAGTATGGCATTAATTTATCAATTAGCAGAAATGCAAGGAATGGCAAGATTTGGTAGAGATTATGAAGATCTAGGATTGACAGAAGAAGTACGAATTACAGATGCTAAACATGCAGCGGAGACTTTCTTAGCAAAATCTTCTGAAATTCAACAAGTTATTGATCATAGCATGAAAGAATACAAGGCCTTTTTTAGGTAATAAATCTGACATTCCAAAAAAAAAATTTTATGAAATTTTAATAAGAAAAATTTGTTTAGATGGTTGTATGTTGAAATTGCAAAATTAACCGATGAAAAAATTCCATCAGAAGCAAGTAAAATATCACAACAAGAATTAACTTTTATAGCTGAATTTCTTCTTGGCTTTGATACCAGTGCTATTTTACCAGCATCGGCATCAACTCCTACATCATCACATAGTACTCGCATGGATCGTCGTAAAGGCGTCAACTTGGAAAAATTAGGACAATATCTGAGACGAGAAAAATTAAAAATTCCTTTATCAGTAGAAGGAAGTGAGTGGGCGACACTCCTGGAAGAAAATAAACGTCTCCACAACCATCCACTTACTATCAAACAGAATTTAGATTTGTCACTCTTACAATCTCATGAAAAGCTTGTAACTGCAATAGATAATTTATTCGCAGGCATTTATAAAGGATTAGTAGATCATTTTTCCATCACAACCGTTGACATAAACTTAAGAGCCCAATCTCAAGAAACTGAAAAATTATTATCAACTCAAATAGTGAATAATGACAATAATTTAATTATCGCCGTTGTATCTGATAATAATCGTAAAGCTCTAAGACTATTTAAAGTTATATCTTGTGATGAAAATAAAAATCTTCTGTACAAAAGCAGCACGATTACCCTTGATAACAAATTAGGTAATATTTGTTATATAAATAATATTTATAAATCTATCACATGAATTAAATTATATATTGACAACATTCTTATAATTCGATTTATAATGAATATTTTTTTTTCAGGATCATTTTCTAAACAGCCAATAGATCTGACTATCATAGATTTACAATTCTACTCGACTGATTACCTTAGTTTACTCGTATTAAATCACAATAATTTTACAATGAGTTTGATTCAATTGCTAATTGACGAAAAGTGTTTTAATAATGAACTGTTCGATACTTCTAAGAGTGAATATCTTTGTAGTGATATTGATAATACGAACTACTTAAATATCAGTGATTTTATTGGAAATAATCTACCAAAATCGCTTGGCTCTGGTGTAAAAAATGCAAGAATTTTCGTATCAGGCCCAAGAAAAGTTGCAGCAATTCTCAGTGATAATAATAGAAAAGTACGACTTTTGGAAACTGAAGTGGAACTCGACGACGACGATGATGATGATGAGGATGATGATGATGATGAAAATGAAGATAATGATGATAATAATCGTGGCGGCGGTGATGATGGAGACAACGATGATGAAGATGAAGATGATGATGACGACGACGATGGCAATGATGATGATGATGTTGATGAAGATAGTAGTGATAATAAAGGTAAGACAGATGATAAAAGTAAAAATTTTGATACTATTGAAAATCAACAAAGTTCAATGGAAATATCGAGTAATGCTTTATAAAATTTATAGATATTTCAAAAAAACATTAATAAATTTTTTAAATAATTTATTTCTATATTTTTTATACAATATCATTTAAATTGAAATATTTACAAATGGAGTTTATTATGCATTTAATAATGAGTAAAAATTTTTCGAAACTTTGTTGTAATAATCGTAAAGAATTTTTTTGAAGTCATAAGACATTGCGAAATATCTTTTTTTAAGGAAGAGCTTGTTCATTTCTATGATGTGCAAATACTTTTGGTAAATCACTTTCTAAACCAGGATTGTCTATGCCTCGGTTTGTTTCAACTTTTATCGTTGGTGCATTTACTTGATATTTATCTATACAAGTTCCTCTTGATCCTGGCATATCTAGAATATTAATTCAAAAATTAATATTAATCTTTATATCTATATTTGTTGAAGTTACTATTGAATGATTATTTATAAATAATTTTTAACCTGAGAATTTTTTGTTACGCCTTTGTTTTCTTAACATAAATATTAAAATTACTGCTATAAGAATTAGAACTATCATTACTGCCGTTAAACCCCGTAATAAATTCATCTGTAATCATAAAAATATTAATTTCCTCAAATACAATTATTCCAGTTAACTGGTTATCGCGAATGTAGTTGAGTTAAGAGGTGCCAATAAATCGAAAAGAATTATTTTACCTCAAAATCACTTGTCCAATCATTTGCATTTGTAAATACAATTAATTCTACAGTATTTATATTATACTTTGAATTGTCCTCAATTCCTCGTGATACACATTGATAAATTCCTGCGTCCATTGAAGTTACACTCTATATTATATTCAAAAATGCCCAAAATAAATATCGTCTGCAATATTTGAGTTCAAGGTACTCTAGTAAATTTTTAAACGTACCCAAATGAATAATTTACCGGTTAATACTTCATAATTAAATTTTTTTCCATCAAATTGATTACCAGGACCAACTATATTTTTATTTTCTAATTGCCAGAACATGAATCTATGATCATGATCATTACTTAAACAATACAAAGTAGCTTGTTCACCTGCCCTCACTTGTGTCACTGACATAGTTCCATTTATTCTCACAATAAATGTATTTATAAATAATACAATCCATAATAATTTATTAATCATCTGTAAAAAATTTATTTATAATACTTAAATGTATTTTAATACTACTGGATAAAATCAAAGTATAATTGAACATTACGGAACATTACTTTTAATTTATCTTTCTATTTATTTTTGTAATTTATTTGAAGAACTCCACAATATTGCTCATTCGTCTTCAATATCTCGACATAAACTGAACAAGGTGTTTTGCACTCTTCTCATTTGTCATCTTGTCATTTCACTCAAATGTTTATTACGCAATATCATTGATGATATTATCTATTTGCAATTTTGGTTTTTTTATTTTTTCATTATAAGAAAAACTGTGGCATTGATAACTTGAACTATTTTCTTTGTAGTTAATGTTTTGGTAAGTTATTTTATTGGAATATATTTCATTATGATTGACATCAACATCTGCCACAGATGTAGGCTCTTTATATCGATATTCTTTTCAAATAAGTTATATAATTTTTTTGTTATATTAAAAATAGCTAAGCTGTATTTTTAGTGATATTGGCATTAATCCAAGGATAATTGAATTTGTACTTTGAAGTTTGTAAATCTTTCAGACATATCAAAACATAAATGATTAAATATTTCATAACTTCTATCAATAATAATCAATGAAGTTATAGTGCAAAATAATTCTTAATATTATAAATATCGGGAGTGTTGAATTAGATGAATGAAAACATCAACTGTTAATGCTGGTAGAAGAATCAAAAATGGTGATAGCACAGCTTTTGCTGGTAAATTCCAATACGGTGCTTCTAGTCGTAAACAAATTAATAATTGTACACTTAATTTTAATAAAACTGCTATCATATGCCAAGCCTAGAAAAATAATCATCATTAACATCATGAACTATTACACTACTATTCCTTAATTTTTCACTGTCAAATGTATTTGTTTGTTTATTTAAAAAAAAAACATTTACCTTACGGCGTAATCCTTCCATTTGATTATGACCATTTTTACAATGTGATATGATATTAAATACAATATAAATTAATAAAATACTATCATACACCCACATTGGTATAAAAACAATAAACCAATTCCACTGTATTCTTTGATCTAACCTTAAGACAAGTAATATTAAAAATATTAACAGTTCAAACCAAGTAAATAAAGCACGATGTAACACTGCCATTGTTTAGCTAATTGTTCGTTGGTTTTTTTTAATACAAAGTAAGTTACTCCATTAAATAAATTTTGGAGCTTTTTTGATTGTCGGTTTATTTTTCAAATGTATCCATTTTATTAAAGCAGAAGGAACGATGTAAGATTTTTACTTCAACTTTGGAAACTTAAACACACGACGGAACAAAATTTACATGTATACATAGGTTATTATTTTTTGTATGATTCTTAATTCTAGACTTTAATAATTATTTTTTAATTAACTGATAATTTTGATAATGACAATCAAAAATTCTTATCGAATAATCAGAAAAACTATGTAAAATAACTGTCGATAATCAAAAATTCTAATTTATCAGTATTGTGTATTTGTGTTTGTTTGTTATTAACAACAATGATGAAATAGCAAATTTGCATTTTCTCTGAGGAAAATGTGCAACAAATTTATATATAGTTAGAAATAGAGTGATAGTAGTATAGTTGTATTTTTTAAATGGCAGGAAAATTCATTTGAAACGTATGTAAGCTCGTAACATATGTATATAATTATTTGATACCACACAATGAGAGATTCATTTAACACATTTGTTGCGCGTGCGTGCCAAGTACATTCGAGAAGAGAAAGAACGAAAGAACATAATAAAGAAAGAAATACAGTAGTGTCGTGATAAAATAATTATTTTAAAAAACACTAATTTTTATTAATGTTGTGCGATTTCAACTGTTCATACTTAGAACGTTTTTCTCAGTTATTTTTTTTTGTAAATTCATTTAAAAATAAATTTTTATCAATTGTTTGTTGTAATTAAGTGTTTATTGATGGTATGCACATGTGTTACTGATTCATTTAAAGAAGATCAATCCCATAGCTTGAAGGAAACAAAATTCAATAGTTTTTACATTGTTTTCTACATTGCAGAATTGAATATTGTCTATAGAGATTATTTTCGAGTGTGAGTAGTAAAAGTGACAACTGTATAGGTTACACATAAAGTTAGATTTTTGAAAATCTTTTTTTTTTTATTCTTTCTTTGTTCAATATTAATTATTAGTCATTTAAGTAAAAATATACGAGTTTCGTTATAAAAAAAAACTAATCTTATCGTATTTTTTAATCTAAAATTTCATTTTTAATCTAAAGTTTTTATCTCTTTTGCTTTCTTGTTGAGAATTTATTTCTTTCTCTCTCTTTCTTTCCTATAGAGTCTTATAGTTATTTTTTTGACAAGTATCTAACAATAAACAATACAAAGTAAGAATTCAAAAATACATCACTGATGACTTTACAATCTTGTTAAGAATTTAACCTAAAGGAAAGAAACACAGAATTGAATTTTAATTCAGCTGTAAGTTTATTATATTAACAGATAATTTTATCAATTATACGATTGCCTATTTTACAATATAGATTGTAAGTATTAATTTCTTATTTGAAAATTTTATTAACGATAATTTCTAGAATTATATAGGAAAAAGAGAACAAAAGAGAAACATCCAGTCATTTTATAATTTTTTTTTTGTTTTCGTTATTTTATAATACTATTATTTTTAAAATTAAAAATTGTTGGATTAATCTTTTCTATTTACATAAAAAGAAGAAACGATATCAATAAAAATAGTTCAAACTGAAACAATTATCAGTTAAACAATATTACTGTGGATAAAAACATTTTTTATAATATATAAATAAATCTATGAACGGCAAAGCTCAAGAAGACCCTGCAGAAGACTTTACTTCCAGGTATTATTGTTTTTAAATATTTTACAAGACAATTACTGTCAATTCCATTGATATTATTTTTGTTTGCTACTCCAAATTTATTGAAAATTTTTTTGATTTAATTATGGAGCATTATACTATTGAAACGTATATTAGTTGAATTAATGATGTAACGATGATGTTTATTTTATACTTTTTAGGGTAGAAGTAGACAGTCCCTGTAGTGACATGAAGCGTGCAGCGGCTAAAAAATTAATAGAGCGATATTTTTATCAATTAACCGATGGTTGCGGTAATCCACAATGCGACAATCAATATTGTGCCTCTAGTGGCAAGGTAATCTCATTTAATTGTTTATTATATAAATGTTAATTTAAAAAAAGATTTTATTCAAACTGTAAAAACATTATAAATCATTATTGGGCACTCATAATATTAGAATATTTCATAATATTATGTTTTTGATTATTTAGGTCACAAATTTGACACCTAATCAAGCAGCAGCTCAAGCAATACAATTATTTTCTCAAGAAGCTCGTTTATGTGACGGCACACAACCCAGCAAAATTCCTAGAACATCGTCACTTGAATCAGGCCCAGCATCTTTAGCAAAAAGTCTACCCACAAAAATAATGAATCCATCATCTTCAGTAGAAGGTATCAATGACGATAAATCTGATGAAAACTCTAAAAACGTTGAAACATCAAGTTCACCACCAATAGAATTAAAAATCATGGAGAATTCAAATGATAATATTTATCCAGAAAATGATAATTTCCCTTTAAAATCAATGGAAAATTTACCAAAATGTAACAAATGTGGTAAAGAATTAATATCTGATGATGAAAGTGATCGTTCTCATGATAGTGATGATTACGGTTCTAAAGATACTTTGTTCACTAAACCTAGAAAGAAAAGTATCAATGGTTCTCGTAAAAATCTAAAGAATTATAATGCTAAATCACATCCAAGAAAGTCGACAGCTAGAAAAAATATCAAACATACTGTGAAAACTAAGAAAAAACCGTTAAATCTTTTAAAAAAAATAAAATTAAATAATAATGGCGATTCTTCCAATCAAGCAAAACGAGATGCAGTGGCTGAATTAATTGTTCTTGCTCTCTATCTTCGTTATTTAGAGTCAAAAAAGTATCGGAAAAAATTATTCCCATAAATTGATATATAAGTTTATTTACCTGCAAACGAGTACTCAAAAATATCTGATATCTAAAAAATTTGATTAAACAAATAGATCAGTCCAACTGAACCAATATTTTATTTTATTAAAAGAAATTTAATCATTCACTCAATTATGTATTTGAAAAATTTAACGGTGCATGAGAATAAAAAAAATTGCCCTTTAAATTGTCTAAAATTAATTTTATTTTTATGCTAAAGTTTTTTATACTCTGATTTCAGATAAGCCAATTCCGTATCTAACGGAAGCTAAGTTGTTGGATTTGATTGAATCTTGTAAAGTAGAAGGATCTTATTCTTCATTAATTCGATCCTTAGGCGAAGTTTTCTCCTCATCTGAAGCTTTAAGCCGAAGTTTTCAAAAAGTAGAGCAAAGTGAATCACCACTAGTTGCACTTTTAGAACGCGCACCAGTATCATTACTCCAGCCTCCGGGAGACTTGAGTAAAGAAGCCGTTAGATCACTTCAAGGTGAAGACAAAGATATTGATAGTAGTGATCCTTCAATTCCTAGTCTTGATGATACCAACGTTGATTTAGAAGCTGTTAGACGATCTTTTGCTGCACTCTGGACCTTACCAGGTAATATTGTACAAAAGATCTTTTTGTAAACATAAACAAATACTATTTATGGCGAATTATTTAATTTTAAACTTTTGTTTTATTATTAAGGGGAAGAATTTGAGTCTGCTCTAGTCAATGCTCTAGTAACCCTAGCAGATAATATTGAATTAGATCTCCGAGTATTTGGAGTTATGTCATCAGATTCAACAGATTCATTACTCAATGTTTTCCTTATAGTTTTTGAAATTCCCGTTTTAGGAAGTAGTGAATACTTAGAATATGCTTTTCACATGCTTTGTAAAGCCGTAAGTTGTTTACCAGTTAGCGCTCAAGCAAAATTAGCTCGAATCTGGGCTCGGCATTGTAAATCACGACTACCAAGTCTTCTACAAGCATTACAACAATTGATCACAGTCAAAATAATCGGTGGAGCTTTCACAAGAGATTACTGTGTCCAAGATGCTGATACAATAACAGCTCCTACGAAAGTTATGAAAATTCTTTATTATGCTAGCATGTTAGCAGGAGAAATAGATCCACCAGAAGTATGTCGTGATGAAGACACTGAAACGCTTGAGACTGAAACATTTGATCTGAATAAAGAAATAGGCCGAGCCATGAACGCTCAAATAATTCATGATCCTTTAGCAGTCGAATTGGGAATTTCGGCTTTGGATGCAAGATTACCTCTGATAAGTTTTACAGATTTTTATAATGAATTATTAAGTGATACTGTAGAGATGGATAAAGACTTTGCATATTATAAAAGTGAACAACCAAAAAAATTCAGTTTCATGAATTATTCATTTATCCTCACACCAGCAACAAAAACCTTAGGATTATATTATGATAATAGAATAAGAATGTATAGTGAAAGAAGAATGAGTATTTTTCAATCACTTGTTGGACAGCCTACTAACCCTTACTTAAGACTGAAGGTAATGTAGATACATTTTTAACTTTTAATATATTATTTTAATACGATCTGATAAAAAATTTGTATCTTTTTTTTTTAGGTTCGTAGAGATTTTATTATTGAAGATGCATTAGTTGAATTAGAAATGATTGCCATGGAGAATCCAACAGATTTAAAAAAACAATTAGTTGTGGAGTTTGAAGGGGAACAAGGTGTAGATGAAGGTGGAGTGTCAAAGGAATTTTTTCAATTAGTTGTTGAAGAAATATTCAATCCGGATTATGGAATGTTTATTTTACAAGAAGAAACACAAACAACATGGTTTAACCCAACATCATTCGAGAGTGATGCTCAATTTACACTGATTGGGGTAGTTCTTGGATTAGCTATTTATAATAATGTTATCTTAGATGTTCGTTTTCCAATGGTAGTGTATAGAAAATTACTTGGACGAAAAGGAAGTTTTGCTGATTTACAAGATTGGAGTCCTCTTTTGTATCGCACACTAACAGAAATAATGGAATATAATGGTGACGACATGGTAGAAACCTTTATGCAAACTTTCAAAGTTGGTTACAAGTAAGAAAAGAAGTATTCAGATAAATAATTGTTATTTCCTTTTAAATTTATTCTTATCATATTGATTCATGTAACCAATTAATTTTAGAGATGTGTTTGGATCCATCTTATTCCATGAATTATGTGAAAATGGCGACGAAATTTATGTAAATCAAAGTAACAGGAAAGAATTCATTAAACTTTATTCCGATTTCTTATTAAATCAATCGGTAGAAAGACAATTCAAAGCATTCAGACGTGGATTTCAAATGGTCACTGATGAAAGTCCACTTGCATTGCTATTTAGACCAGAAGAAATTGAACAGTTGGTCTGTGGAAGTAAGGTTTTCGATTTTACAGAATTAGAAGCATCAACTGAATATGATGGATATACTTCTGATAGTGAAGCTATAAAGAATTTTTGGAGGGTGGCTCATTCACTTCCACTCGAAAGCCAACGTCGATTATTACAATTCACCACTGGAAGTGATCGAGTTCCTGTTGGAGGACTTTCAAGATTAAAAATGGTTATTTCAAGACATGGACCTGATTCTGATCGGTAAACTATCATTATTATTTTATTTATTTCTAATCAATTAGATAATGCTTCTAATTTTCTTATATTTTTTTATCTTTCTAGGCTACCAATAGCACACACTTGTTTTAATACTCTTCTTTTACCGGACTATGCATCGTTAGAAAAACTTGAGGATCGCTTATTGAAAGCCATCAACTATTCGAAAGGGTTCGGTATGCTGTAAAAATGACAAAAAAAAATAATTAATTTTTTCATATTTTTTTAATTGTCATATTTGTTCAATTGGCATATAAAATGAGTGCAAAAAAAAAATAAAAAATCAAATCAAAGATTCACAAGGCCTACTTTTGTTCTCATGTTAATAAAATATGAGGTAACTTATTAATACAAATAAAAAATTTATAATTATTTATGGAAAAATGAATATAAATTAAAATAAAACAACATTATACAAAGAAATGTAAACTTGATAATAAAATGTTGAAAATTCTTATATTTTGTTTTAGTAAAAATTTATTATATATTTAGATTTATAATTCTCTTAACATGTTTTTACAATTTTAAGATAAAATACAAAATTTATAAAAAACTATAATTTTGTATGGAATTAAAAAAAAATTGTACCTTAAAATTATTTGAGTAAAGCATCATTGGACGGATTACTGATATGTAAATATATTTACAATGTACGAATTATTTAAAACTAATGTTCATCTTGTAGTAATTTCAATTTGACAGTTCAAAATGAACATATTATAATTTACACTTGTAAAAAATCTAAAATATATATCGAAGTATAATCAAAAACACTGTCATAACCGCAGAAGTTGTTAACTCTGTTGCAGCATTGCATCTATTATCAAAATAGCAAAAACACCAGGTTACTTGATCGTAATAATTTCGATGAATATCCAATTGAGTGATGCTATTGTTTACGTAGTGCCCAAGACGAACATCTTTTGCTGCTGGACGACAACCTTCATAGCGATCTGCTGGAACGTCAGTACGAAAATCTCGTACTGCACTCAGACAATCACGCGTGATCATAGTTTCCGCTAAAAAACAGTTGATTTATAATGTTATTACTTTGTTAATCTAAACTTAAAAGACTCCAAATAAGATCATTTCTTAATAAATTGTTAATTTTCTTTTATACACAATTTAAAACAATAACGATGATATATAACATCTATTTACCTCCTTTTTTCTCAATTACTTTTACACATATATCATTTTCTTCAGGACAATATTCACCCCAATACCATAACCAATTTAATGGTGTTCCACACCCAGGTTGATTACTATTACACCGATAGCATAATAGAGCACCACCAGCAGCTGAAGCTACAATCAATTATTTTGATTAATTGAAAAATAGTCCTTTTTCTAAATCGAAGGAAATAATAAAACTTACTCTTTTTAATGGTTAAAACACTCAGAAACAATAAAATACTTAGTTTGATCGTTAGTTGCATTTTTAAATGAATTTTTCTATTGAATTGGATGAATGAAAAATTTTTTCAATACTTTTATAGGTACTGATATTATAATTATTAATTAATTGAATAATATTATTCAATAAGTAAATAAAATTTTTTTAATATATACATATATATAAATATATTTTTTTTAATTTTTAATTTTATAAAAAATAATGGTCACGCCTTTTATATAAAACCAAAACTTGTTATGATGCCACTTGGACGATGATTCAATGGGAGTAAATGTGTAGCGCCTTAAAGTATGTTAAATACATAGAAAGCACTGCTACTTGTTGCTCAATAGAACACATAACTACCGTTGGTATAGTAGGAGATAGTTTGCATAATGATAAAACAGTTTCCTACATTTATGACTATTAATAAATGGCGTCTAAAAAGTCAATAACCCGCGTATAATGGCTTCTATAAATTTAAATACTCCGAAATCGGAAACACTTGATATATTACTCTAGTGATTTTAAACTCATTATCACCGATAATTAATCATACTATACATGAATATTCATTTATTGAAGAAATCAGTAAAAGAAAATAACATATAACAAACATTTTTTTCTTCAATAAGAGTAAAAGACATGCGCCAACAGTAGCGCATGCTGACAATTGAACCACTATTGATCGTTTAACACACACGAGTTGTTCGTTTTTCATAGAGAAATTTAATTTTACGTGACAATAAAATAGTGAACTACGAAAGAAGGATTTTTTTTACATTAAGTAGCATTTTATTTAATTAATTAAAGTGATATTCATCCAATAATTTTAATTTTATTATTGTAGTAGATTTAGATAAGTAATCATGATTCATATTATATTATCCAAAGAATTTTTTCTCTTATGTAAGTAACTTATACTGATACCTATTTTTAAATGATTTATATTTCTCTTTCATAAATATTAAGTTATTATAAACATTATATTTTAAGGAATAATTAAAAGTTATAAATTAAATTAATTTACAGGGAACATTTTGAGTACAGCTTTGTGTATTCCATCTACCCCAGGTTCACCTAGACAATTATTAGACCATATTTACACCACAAGTAGACCAATTAAAACTATTGTGGAATTTCATACTCCAAAATCATTATCATTGGTAAATCATTATAATTATCTTTTCAAGAGTTTTTTATACAATTTATTTCAACTTATTATGTTTAAATAAATTAAAACCCATCTAATTACTTTGTTGTTTAACAAATAACTCAACTCATTGTTTAAGTAAATGAATATCATCAAAATTTATTATAGCTGAAAGTTCTATTACGTCATTTGTAACCTTAGTAAATGTTCTAAGAATCATGATTAAAATCTCTATGTTGGTAGAAATTGCGTTTGTCTATAAATAATCATAATTTATTTACTAGATTTTTAATTAAAATTTAAATTCAGTTATCTTTTATCATTTAATTTAGAATATTTTTTGAATAATAGTTGAATTTTACAGCACATTAGTGGTAATACTGTCAAACCATCTATTGAAACTTCAACGTCAATAACATCGTCAATAAAAACCACGACATCATCAACTCCAAGAATAATTAACGCAGAACAACCACTTTATCGATTAAATAGTATAAATGGACAAACATGTATTTTACTTCAAGTTGATGCACTGATTACTGTTAAATTCCGTACAAGATTAGGAGAAGAACAGGAAGCTAATATTTATGTTCCTAGCGACGCTACTGTCACTGGAAATTGTGATACTGAAAACTTTGTGACTATGTCATTGAAATGGAAAGCTTTTGTGCTATCTTGGAGTTTTGCTAAGGTACTTATTTCAAATAAACTTACTTAAATATATCAATTATTATTCATAATTATACTTTACAGACTCCTGGAGGTGAACGATGGTATGTTGACAAAATTGAATTGACTTACAATTCAAGTGATCGTCATTTTGAACATATTGACCAACCAAGTAAGTATATTACATTAAAATTTCAAGTATAATCACCATCACATCATTTAACATCAAATCACTTTATTTTCTACTTGTAGATAAAACAATTAGGTTAAGCACTGGACAAAAACACAGTCCAACATTATTCCCAACTCCAGTTGGAAAGTCGTATGTCTGTGACGAAGAAGTAAGCGTTCCTTTGACTGATGGCAAAAATAATGCAGTTCTCTTATTAAGGTTGGTCAAAATTGGATGTTTTATCCAAATACTAGTATTCCAATCAATAACAACCACCACTTTTCTGCACTTATTCCATTAGCAACAGTTATGTTGATGTTATGCTATTTTATTTTTTAGAGACATGAAGTTACAACCTTTCAAGTATAAAAGCAATGACTTTGCTGCTGAATTTTCATGTAAATCATTGAGTGCTCGAGCTGGTAGAGATGAAACTGCTCCAGTTGCTGTTGGTTCAACCCTTGCAGCTGCAGTACTCCTGACTATCACTGGTTATGCAGCATGGCGATACTTTAAAGTAAAAAAAGTTAAATATGATACAATGGAATAAACACAGGCGCTATAATAAACATAAAAAGCATAAATCTTAATAATGAAAATAATAATATACGATATTAATAATAAATAATAAATTAGAAAATAAATTTTAAGTAAAATAAATTGTTTTTTATCTCGTAAGTTGTGGCCTGAATTGTAAACGTTTTGAACATATCTATAGAATGTACTAACAATTCTCAGTAATCATTCATACATGAACATAAACTTTACTTTAATGCAGTTCAGATAAAGTGATATATTTAAGATATTATTTGTAGAAAAAACTAAACTATTGTTATCAATCTAAAAATTTTATTTATTTAAATCAAAACCAAGTCAAATCGCAAACTCTCATGGTTGTATTAAAAAGCATTTTAATTGAACGTTGTAATGGACGTATCGTTAAATAATCGATAAAATTCAATAAAAATAATAGAAAGTCAATACTAAATTTATATTATCGAATTTTAACTATCTACATATATCTATATACTCATTATTTACAAAATTGTTAGTGTCGTGAGTTTATTCTCATCAGGATTCTATTATAGACAAGATAAAGTAATTTAAAATATCATCAGTCTTATTCTTGATGTAAGATTATTACTTGAAGAATGGATATCATTTTTTTATCAAAGAAAATAATTTTCAATTTCTGCTTAACTCAATATAAAATATGTAGTTGTGATAGAAAATTTTTAATCATCATTATTTTATATCAACTGTATTTTTATTTTATTGATTTATGTTAAGTAATGAGAATGATTTGTCCTAGAGATGGTTAAATTTAAACGTACAATTAATATGTACATACAGATGATCACAAAAAAATTAATACGAGATAAAATTATAAAAGTAAACCTGTCTTCCAAGTATACATATATTAATAATACATAATATATTTGTGAAATAAATATAGTTGAATTATACGCGTATATAAATATTGTTAATCTTCAAAAATAAAATTATCTTAATAGATAAATAATTAAAAATTATAAGAAATAAAATACTGTATATCAAAATTAATTTGAGTTAAGATAAAGGGCTCAATGATAGTTAATTTTTGTATAATATTTAAAAAACTTTATATTAGTAAACCAATGTGATTTCATAACAATCAAACAACGATACTTTTAATTAACAATGTTATTACACTACGTTGAGCAAAAAATCTTCTATTATCAAATAAATATTTATTTTATTTGGATAAACATTTATTTGATACAGGATTAATAATATATTTATTTAATCAAGGTAATTATTTATTTGATATACTCTGTAATTTCTCTTAATGTAAAATAACCAACTAATTATATATTCATATAATCAGAATATTAAAATAAAAAATTTCAGAAATTCATTGGTAGTTAAAAAAAAAATGAATATTTCAAAATTCAATAATATTGTTAACAATTGAGTCCGTTATCTTGTATCATGTATAATATCTTTAAACTATAAATTAATAAAGATGATAAAATGCTTACATAATAGTATCAAAATATCTTATGCTCCAGTTGTTAAAATTTTCTTCATCAACTTTCATTGAAATAATTATACAACCATAATGCTGATAAAATAAAAAAAATAAAAAATTGTTGAATAAATAAAATGATTTATACATCATTTCAATAGAACATACTAGGATATTTAGCCAAAACAAATGTATTATTTGGTAAGAGACTGCGGGAATAAGAGTAGTATAATAGTAGCACAACTAAATCATGTACATGTATATAAAGATCATAAGCGAGCAATAGCAAAGGCGTGAAAAGTACAGTCAAGCGGGTTTATATTCTTGAGCTGAGAGCTTTTTCGCCCTTTGCGTAACGCGTGTACCTACATTGTCAATGGCTTATTGTCGTAATGCCCTATTGAAATCTCAAAGTACAATAGAAACCGTCGCGACAAATCGTATTGTAACCCCTCGAGGCATCCTGTACCATATCCTCATTTCTGTAGCTGCTATTCCTGCTGTTGCTTTGCTATACACCAAGATCACAACCACTACTACCATAACAAACTGTTCATTTTATTTAAAAACTGACAAATTTTCTGTTAGATGTTCTCTATTTTCTTTTTTCTTAATCTCATGGACACTTTTTTACATCTATTTTTTATCCAATTATGGTCAAAAGCTTTACTGAATTTTTTTCTCATTTTTTAAGGTGAATGAACAGAATATTGATTCAATACCTGAAAAAGAAAAATTACTTCAATAAATAAATATAAATATTTCATTATATTTTATAATAAAAAATGAACTTTTGTATTATAAAAAGAATGGAGAATAAATGTGAAGATAGAAAATAGTTGATTAGCAATTTAACATACTGAAGTAACTCTTCATATGATTTACTTCACGGTTACATGACATTACGGTGGAAGACAGGAGTGCAAGCATTGGTGTCTCGTGACTCCCATGTCGGCTTGTTATCCGCAACGCCCCATCGTTATCCGCAATTACCCCCAAAACAGCCCCCTAGTTTATAAATTATAGGCCGCCCCCTCAGTGTTATGTGTTATAACTGTTGCAGGGGGTCCTACATCTGTCATCAAACGCAACCAATTACATTCAATTATCTTGACACAAGCGCGAGGCTATTCCATCATTATCACTCCAAATTATATCCCATCTCAATTAAATGTTTCGTTTATTTATACTCTTATATTACTTACTGATTAATTAATAACATTGTTATGCTTCCATATAATTAATTATTCAAGTACATTTTGCTGCTGCTAATTGAGTGTGAAATTCATTATTGATAACTGCTTATGTATCTAGAAACATAGGAAATAATTAAAAAATTTCCATACATTTTATTATTAATAAGTATATACTTACAGTAATTAACTATGTCCTGATGATAGACTTGTCTAAATCTCCTCTTGATATTTAAATACACCTTTACAAGATTTCACTCCTATTTGAACAGGATCATTATTAAAAGCTTTTTACATAATTGGATGTGTCTAGATAATGTTATACTTCACTTAGAACCCTCTGAAGATGATTTCACGTGTGGTTAAACTTTATTGGGATCACTGGGATGACATGATGATCCTTTGCCTGCTGATAGTGAACTATTACATGAACTCCAAAATAATAAACTTCTCTTCATTGAATGCCAGTTAAATTAATTCATAAAATAATTTGATGATTATGATGATGATATTTATACAGCAAATATTTTTTGAGTAGTAATGACTTTTAACTTTTTCATTTCTTTCATTTAGAATTGATAACACTAAAAGAATCACACAGATATAGAATTACATATGTAAAGAATAAAAGAGTCTATAAAACTCGTTGGGATTTTCTCAGAGATGATGCTATAAATAATCCATCTCTCATTCAGCTAAGACATTAAAGATTGTATAATTCTCACACTCGTTGCTAAAATAATTGTCGACTCTTCGTTGTTGTGATATGTTGATAAAAGTCTAGAACAGCAACTTGCCACGGCCTTGCTGCATGATCAGCAAAGACGAACGTGGTTGTTGAAAATTTATGTCGTTGTCATCATTGTAATAAGAAATTGAATACATACTTTATCTATGCACTCGTAAAAAATTCTCACGATATAACGATGCATTTGGTATGATGTAATATTATTAATTCATACAAAATTTTTTTTTTATAATTCACTTAATTAATAATTTTATAATACCAATGATTTCATAACAACCAGTCAATAAAATTCATCTAAATACATTATTGATTAATAAATAGTTTCAAGAATAAAATAAAATGATTAAATATTATGTATTATTAGTTGTAAAATAAAATATTAAGCACTACCTGGCAATATTTAGTTGATCTTTTGGGGTGTAAAAAAAAAAAAGACAACAAATAGTAGATGAGGATAAAAGATACCTGGCGACTGGTGACAGGCATTCAAGTGTCGTTCACTTTGTTACGCCTCTTAATATTTGACGCTATCCATTATCATCAGGAATCCGGAATGGAACATATTGTTATGTGAATAAAATATTGGAAAATACCAGCCATTTTTTTTATCCTGTTCAATTCTTTTTTTTTTGAGAATATCTGGAATAAATGACCAAACATAAGTAAAAATATTTAGAAAAAAAATAAGATGGATTGATAAATATGTACCTCAAGTTTAGTTGATATTGTTCTAATACTTTTCTTCATAATTTTGCTTTGAGACTCGATTACAGATTCAATGAAAATGAAAGAAAAATATATTTCCTTACAAGGAATTTTCATTTACCTTCAGTATAAAAAATTAATTTGTTTTTAAAAATTTAATACTCGAAATGTTGGCTTCTTTTGTGTAATGATATTTTATTTATTTGTGATCATGAATAATAATATCATATTCAAAGATGGTAATATATGATCGAATTCATCATAAGTGAAAGCACATGTTGGATTATTTTAACCCCTGGTAATAATTTGCCTTCTTCATAAATCTCAACTGTTCGCAGTGTCCTTTTCGATGACCGTAGTTAACAGATATAAATAGATATCACATTTTTTCTATTGTATTATATATATTATTTATAAAAATACTCTATCAAAATGGTCCTAATCAAGGCCTAAGCCTTAATAAAAAAAAAATGATATACTAATAAACAATAATGAAAATAAAATTTACTTAGTTACTTTATTGCACCAAATATTATGAATATAAAATACAACCAGCACAAATAAAGCAATAAATTAATTATTTAATAAGTAATATATTTTATTTATTAAATAAATTAATTTATTATTAAATCAATCTTTCTTTTGCTCTACTCTAAACTATTTAATTACTTATTTATTATATTCTTCTCCCTCTACAGTCTCATTACTACAATTTTATGTTTTACTGCTGATGTTAGATCACTGTTAATATTGCACTATACTGAATCTACTTATTGTTATTCATTTGTTAATACATAATACAAAAAATATTTTTGTAATTCACGAGGCTGAAGGCCTTCATCACAATAAATATGTAATATATAAAATAAATAAATTTACAAAAATGTTTAAAATAAAAAAGACATTAAAAAAATGTGCTCAAAATAAATCCAACTGTCTAATTAATATTGTTAAAACATTATCAGCTGTTTTAACCAGAGAATAAGATACATGGACTATATCTTCAGATCAGCATTTGTATACAACCGCATAAGGGTAATAATGTTCCCCCCTTTTATGTTTGTGCAATTGAATTAATTATCAAAACCCACATGATTATTGATTGAAATATTTATTAGCAAAACATCAATGGATAAACAAAACTAAATAAATAGATTAAAAAGGAAAAAAAAAAAGAAATCATGAGGTTGATCTTGGAATAGCTAAACAACGGATTGAGGTTCAGCTAGCAAGTAAAGTTTGACAAAAAAAACGGTCAGTGACACATAAAAAGCATACTTGAGAGTATTAGGACATTTTTGACAGAATATTGTACTGGATAGAGAATAAAAGTAAAAACTAGAGATGACTACCTGTATTCACGGTTGTTCATTCGTAACAAGAATTAGATGCTTGATTTTTTGGACCTTTTTCTAATGGGCGTATAACCAGTGGATTATTTAGACTAATCCCATAGCAAAAAAAAACCCTTGGAATCGATTATAATCTTAGACACTTATCATCACAATTATACGGAAGAATGAACTTCCATGTAAATAAAGATTAATTAGAAAAATATATACATTTAAAAAAATAACTACACGCAGAGGAATGTATAGTAAAAATTACCGTGAATTTTATAGTAATTTAGTGACACTCCAGTGTGATGGTAAAAATTACTATACACATTGTAAAAATCACTGTGCACATTGTAAAAATTACTAAACTGCATAGTAATTTTTGAGGTAAAATTGGAGTAAAAATTACTATGGAGTTTGGTAATTTTTACAATGTGTATAGTAATTTTTACCTTCACACAGCAGTGTCATCAAATTACCATTAAATTCACGGTAATTTTTACTATACATTTCTCTGCGTGTAATAATATTTGATGAATTGTTTTTCAATAATAAATAATAGCTGTTTTGATATAAAATTTCAATTAACCACCCTTGAAGGATACATGAAAAAAAATTCGTGATGTTCCTGATCATTTCTCCATAGATTTTAAAGTAATTTTAAGATACTATTTTTTCTGTGTATATTTATGATATTATTCACACAATATTTATAATCAATTGTATCTCGATTCACTATCTCCGGAGTATCACATGTCATTGGTTAAGTTATTGTTCTTATAAGATTAATTTTAATTTACTCACGATAGTACTCAGGCCACTAGACAGTAAAGTGAAATATGAGTACATACTCGAGCTATCGTCGGGATCAATTTTCCATATATTCTTGTTGGTATTTTATAACAATCGATTATCTTATTTTTTTGTTTTTGATTTACTCAACATTTAGGACTGTAATTAAAAATAAATCAAAATTAGTATAAATCATAAGAACAATCAATAATTAGTAAATATTTTTTTTCTATAAATATAAACATATACCTTACAAAATAAAACTCCATTCTTGTTTAGTTAATCCAATGTAAAGTATGTTACGAGCAGCATACATTACGATGCCAAATAGCTTTAATGAATATTTTCATTGAGGTTTTTGAGATTGTCAAAGAGATATTTCACATCCAACTATTTTGGAATGCAATTAAACGCAGTACTGTGAAACTTGAAGCCTTTCGTCCCGGATTCGCCATCAAGCGGTACTTTCTCACCTCTCTGCATTTCTCCGTGTCACCCTCTCACGTATTTCCCGGGGATTTTGAATCTCTACCTGTCTACACCATTCACTTACTACTCTTGATCTCTTGTAACTATTTTTTTGGTCTCTTTATCAGGAATTTATTGAATTCAATTGATGAAGTGAAGTGTTCATTTGCTGAAAAAAGATCATTTTTTATTTTATATTATTGGCATTTAAGTTAAATAATAAAGAATATAAATAATTATTAAGAAAAAACAGTTAAAAATATAGTGGAGTATTAAGAAGATTTCGTTTGAGACAATGGAAACTGATGCTGGAGAAATGTAATCTCTAAAGACTTGATAAAGTTCTGGGCATATACTAAGATCTCTTTAGATTATTTTCTTTTTCTCTGTCACTTTTGGACCTACAATAAGAGGGTACATCGCGAAACGGAATGGATGAAGGTGTTGGGAGGAGAGAAAATGGCGTCCTGGAGGAAACGTGACACTAAATCGAAGTAGACGCCATCGCGATGCGCAGCACCGCCCTCTTATATGAGCATCTTCCTTTCTAACAAATCCTTGCAATCTCATAAATTATATACCATGCTTTTTTTCTCACTTGTTTGAACTATCTTGAAAACTTTAATTAAATTTCCTGTCAACAAAACACATCTCATTAATTAAATCTTTTATTGAAAACAAAAACTAAAAAAAAAACTTACTTGTATAGATAACAATTATTTTTTTTACATACATCATCAACATCATAGACGCTTCTTCAGATCATCTAGGTTTCCTCTTTAATCCTACATATTTTCCATGTAAAATAAATTGACAAGCAGCAACATAATTAGTCCAGAAGGGCGGAGTTGATTCAAAGGATTGGCAAGGCGTGGTTGAAATTTATGAATTATTATATTTGCTTGTGATCACTCACTCATTACAAGTCTTATATCTTTTCAAGTGTCTTGTCAGTCATCACCCGGTGCGGTATTCCATTGATCTATATTACTCCTTTCCTCAGACATGTGAAATGAATCACGTTGTTGATCACTGTGAAAACCAAAGTGTTACTAAAATATTTTCAGTTATTTCAAGATGTTATTATTAATAATATATAAGTTCAAAGTTATTTATTATAAGGTGTCATTGTATGCTTAAAAAAACTCCAGTAAAAATATATTTACTGCATCATAAATATTAAGTATCAATATCAAACATTATCCAGTATATTATTCAAATCAATAAAAGCAGAATAAAAAAATTCATTTGTTTAAAATAATATTGATATTTTTCATTTCCTGTGTTTCTTACAAGCTAACATCATTCTAAAGACTAGAAAATTCAATAAAATGATGATAAATGCAATTGTTATTATCTTTTGGAATAATTTGAATTAAAATATTGAATTTAATATAAATAATAATTAGATTAAAAAAAAAGATTAATTTTTAATGATAATAAATACAAAGGATTATGTTTAAAAAATAATAATAATAGAAATTGCAAAATAAGGCGTTAGTTTCAAGGAAACACCTGGTAGGTGAAGAGATCGGTAAAAGCAGTGTAAGAGTATCACCCTAGTGGTGTGTATATGTGTGTGTGTATCGCAGATTTAGCTGGCAGAGGGTTGTACCCACCCTGAGCTTTTGTCCAATAGCAATAACGTTAACACTTATGTTCCGCCAATCGCGTGCACGCCATTCAATTTCTTATTCTCTCTCTTTCTCTTACACACATACACACACCACTCCATAAGTGGTAGGTTGGCGTGTGCCGAAAAAATGAGATTTCATACCTCTGCTAAGCGTCACATTGCGTCGTACAGTAGTACATTCCTATTACTAAGTTGGTGACTTGGTCACTCAGTGACTATACTTGGTGCTACAACAATTCAAGCCGGCTTCTCCAATACAACGTAATCAGTGTGTCATCTTCTGGGCTCAAGGTATCGAAAGTTGAGCCTGCACTTGGAGGTTTTGTTGGGTTACCCAAGTCTCTTTAACTCATTTTCATCATTATAATCATTTTAAAATCATCACCAAGTGTTTTTTTTTTTTTTCGTGAATGTTATTGAATATTTTTCATATAAAGTGTGTTAAAGTGTCGATAAATGCTCTGTGAATGAAACAATAATAATTAATGAATGGAACAATGATTAAAATAGTAAATAATTAATGAAAAAAACTTACGTGTAGATAAGTGGATGTTAGCATCATTATATAGTGTTTAAATGTATCAAAGTTCCATTGAATTGTCCAGTTGTTGCTGTTATGGTCACTCAAGTAAACAGAACACGGAAAACGTACAAACTGTGTAGTAAAACTTCTGATTGTCAATAATAAAACATATATGTGAGAATGTCCGAGGGTTCTGATCAATTGTCATCGCCTAGTAGTGATTGCAACAGCCAAATGAGTCACAGAAGCACTGGATCACATACTAGTGCTCATAGCATTATGTCTGGATTATCATTGAGTCTTCATCAACATCAACCTGGTGCTGAAGCTAGCTCCAGTCCACGTTATAATCAAGAACAATCAAGTTGTGCTAATACTGTTGATGTCACAACAAGTAGTATAAGTAATGGTGGAAGTTTATCCGCGGTTGGAAGTACCACACATTTTACGCCGGAACAAATTTCTTGCATGTGTGAAGCTTTGTCTCAGAGTCAGGATATTGAAAAATTAACCAGGTAACATATTTACATATCTTTCTTTTATTTTTCTATACCATTCCATTTTATCAATTAAACAAAACTTAATAGCCAATAATAACTCTCCATTTCTTTTTTATTATTAATATTTTTTTCATAATCTCCATAAAATAGAATTTTCTTGCCAATTTATTGGATTAATTATAATCAAATGATAGTTTAATTACTATTTAAGCTATCATTGATCAGTCTGTTTAAAAAAGAATTAAAAATTCAAAGGTTCAATGAATGTTAAATGTTAATATTTCATAAAACAGTATTAATCTTGAGATTATGAATAATTAAATTGATTAGAAAAGAGTATAAATTATTTTTAATTAAATTATTGTTAATTTTAGTTTAATAAAATATAAAAAAGGATATCTAAGTAATGAATTAATGTATTGTTTGATGATGAAGATTCCTCTGGTCCTTGCCGCCGGGAGAATTATTTCGTGGTGGAGAAAGTGTGTTGATGGCTCGTGCAGCAGTGGCATTCCATCGTGGAGCTTACCATGAGCTTTATTCAATTCTTGAAAATAACCATTTTTCACCTCGACGTCATCCAGAACTCCAACAAATGTGGTTTAAATCGCATTACAGCGAGGCCGAAAAAATCCGTGGTCGTGCCTTGGGTGCTGTTGATAAGTATCGTCTTAGAAAGAAATATCCTCTGCCAAAGACCATTTGGGATGGTGAAGAGACAGTTTATTGTTTTAAAGAACGATCGAGAAATGCATTAAAGGAGTGTTATACAAGGAATAGGTATCCAACACCAGATGATAAAAAAAATCTAGCTAAAAAGACAGGATTAACACTTACTCAAGTGTCTAATTGGTTTAAAAATCGTCGTCAACGTGATCGTACTCCACAAACTCGACCGTAAGTTTTTATATATATTTCTAAACTCAATAATTATTAGATAATAATATATATATTTATATTTACATTTAAAAATATTTACTTTAATTATTATTTAATAATACAGATTTTTTATAAACATGTCATCAATAATTCGTGATGAAGATTACCAGTAATATATTGAAAAATATTTCGAAGAATTGAAAAACGTATGGAGGGCACGTGTGAACGATAGGGGGTCCTCTTTGAGATTTTTCTTATAGTGCAACAAGTGTCTCACCATGTGTCCTTCAATTTCATGCTATGTCAATTTTACTTTACTACATGAGGGGTTGTTAAGACCCCAGTGTTGATCATTTTATCATTCGTTAAAGTATTTTAAGCTCAATCGACATATAGGATTTTTTATACCATACTATTATTATACAATAGTATTATCAATTAAAATTTATCAAGAATCTCTAATCAAATTAAATATGTAATCGTTACAGTATGATGATTATTTTTATTTTTCAAATACTGTGATACATGAGAAGAGTATTATATTCACACTTAGATAATGTTATACGCATGTACACACTAGTTGTTTAGAAAACAAAATTAGCTTACGTATGATGATAAACATCAGTAACAAGAATTAAATCAATCACTATTAATCAAATGAATATTATTTGATTTTTTAAAATTACATTTCTGTATGTTTTATATTATTCGAATGGAATTTTCAATTAATTTATAAGCATGTTGCTTATATGTGCTATTATATCAATAAAATACAGTTTAGCAATCACAAAGAGAATAAATTCAGAGGACACGTATAAACATAAAGTTGTTATGTCTACAAAACTTACGGTCATGGCCCCACAATTCACCGAACAAAATTCATTTTACCTTGATGGTGAAGTCAGAAAGAAATTAAAAAAAAATACTAGTCTAAAAATTTTATCAACTTATATGCAAAAAAATTAATTTTCATCAAAAAAAAAATAATGAAAGAAAATTTGCAAACTAAAACCACCCCCTGGATGCATCATGAACGACCTAGAAAAAAGAAACATGATGCCTTATTACCGTTTTATGGTGAACAGATTCAGTTACATATCTCGTTTCACCATTGAGCTGTTATGTTCACACTACCAATAGTTTACTATATAAAGACCAGCCCCCGTATTTGCAGACACGTAATGTCTTTGTGTATGCGCAATGCATTCTTGTGTATAATATTATAAAGAGTGAAGAAGATATAGAATGAAAAGAGATGGTGAAATGAAGGGCGGGATTATTTTTTAAGGATAATACGACATATGTAAAGTTTTTTAGAGACTGGAGGGAGTCAATCAGTCACTCCATTTTTTTGTTCATTTTTATCTTCTTTTTTTATTATTATTATTTACAATTTTATTAATTTATGGGATACAAATGATTTATCTATCTTTTATATTGTGAATAAAAGTGAATATTGCTGTAAGATATTTTTCATTATGAATTGTTTTTGGAGCAAATGTAAATCATATTGGTAAACTAATTTCTTTTTTTCTTTCACTCTTAGTCTTTTATATTATGCTTTTTAATTACGGTCTACATAACGTTTAGAGTTCTTGGAATGTCAATGGTATGAGTTGGGTCGCATATGTGTACACAAATGGCAAGAGTCGCCGGTGGTTAAAAAACGAATGCATTGGAATACATTTGAGAAATTGAAAAATTTCTCTTTTGTACAAGAAACAATGACTATTACAATTTTTTTCCGTTTCAAGTCTAACAGTCAAACACATGTGGTTAACATTTTTTTCAATTTTCCTTTTCTTCACAGTTTGACAAAAATATATTGCCCTCTCTGGTCAACACATGTTTTTTTTTTCGTCAATTAGAATTTTTTAGAGCTGCACAATCACACAGCTAATTCATATTGTTGACAAATTTCAGTAGACGACAAAATATTTTTTCATTCATTTTTATCTTGTAAAAAACAAGTTTTAATAAATATGATGCAATTTATTCAACAGGGAGATGCTGACGTTAACTTGTCAAAATAATAATAACAGTAATAATAACGGGAATATCAACGGAGGTGGAAGTAATACAGGAAACGGTACAGGTGGAGGTAATCATCAATCTCTTCAAGGGTTGGAATCAAGTAGTCCTAATTTGGCGATATCACCGATTTCAACAGTCGGTATGTCTCCAATCAGCGGTATGAATCCCTGTAGCCCTATGGGCATGGGCTCAATGGGTCCACATCATCATAGTTATGCCACACCAGTAACTCCATCATCGGTACATTCTGTTCATTCTTCTGGCGGATTAAGTCCAATGAATGAAGTTAAATCACTTTGTTACGGAAGAAGTGTTTATGATACTAGTAAGTTTTATACTCTTCGAACTGTCAATCATTAATGAAATAATAATTTTTATTTCAAATATATATTTTTAACGTACTTTGTATACATTAATGTGGTTTTTTAAACAGATAAAGACTTGGAGCAAAGTTCAATTTATTACTCAGCTCATTCAAGTATGCACCATCAATATTACCAACAAAGTCATCATCAGATGTCCGGAAATCATCATCATCATCACCACCATCATCATCATCACATCAACAGGATATGTCCTCAAGCTATGAACTTATGCTTACACCTCCTCAACATACTATGTGACCGATAGAATGCAGTAATAATTATGATGATCAATCATCACATCATAATACATCTTTTTGCGATGATATGTTAGCACGCATTCACGCATTTGCTTAGAAAAAAAATTTGTTAATTTTTATGGTGAATATAAAAACACTAAAGTTAACTTTAGTCTGTGACTAGATGTTTTATAATTGTTGTTAAAATAATTTTATTAATATCATAATCACTAATGATAGTAATTAAAAATAATAATCATCACTATCATAATATAAGAGCCAAAGTATTTTTTATGATAAAACTTTATATTACATCTGATAAATTTTTAATAGATATTATAGTAGTTAATAATAATTTAACGTACTATTTCTTACTCTAAACAAATAGTAACATATAAATCTATAGATATATATAAATTGCAACAATACAGTCTAAAACAAATGTATAAACATTCGATTAAGAGTAGTAAAATTTATGATTGCTTAATAAAGTAATTGATTAGACGAGGGCTGGGCAATTCTGTGCTTCCGGGAGCAAAGTATACTCCCATAAGAGCAAGTGAGAAAAACTTTGGGTCCCCTTTGAAACTCAAGAAAAAATTTTTCTCACTTTGCTCTGAAAAAGTTGAGGCTTACCCAGCCTTGAAATTAGAATAAAAGTATAAAATAAATTAGAATTATAATTGATATTGTAAATACTGAATCCAAAGTATGTACGTACAGCAAAGTATTATCACCATGTGTATGTAATGTATATAGATAAAAAAAATTATTCACTATTAAAATAGATTGGTTTTTAATGAATATTGCTGAACAATTTCAAAAATACTTACTTTGTTTTATCAGTAGCCGTAATTTTTGATTACATGTTCATAGTATTTTCAAATAGTTCTAATAGTCTTTTTATAGATTTACTGTAAAAAAAATTATACAATTTTTTTAGATAACGAAATTTGTGTGAAATTTTGATTTATTTTTTAAATTTCAATTAATAAAACAATGAATGTATAAATAAATTACTAAGCAATACATACATTTGTTCAGCTAATTTATAAATAGATCCCATTGACTTAGATAACTCTTCACATTTGGCCATTAATTGATACATTGACTTAATATTGTGGTCTACTCCATCACAAGTTTTACAAACTGCATCTCTGTATGTCTCTAAACAATCAACAGTTACTGCAGAAGCCTGTAGGTACATAACAAAAGACATTTTAAAATTTAATCATCATTTATTATTTTATTTATACTTACACTATGTAAAATGGCAGCTAAATTTTCAGTTAAAGAATCTACAGACGTAGCAATTTTCCGTGCTTCAATTTCTAATTCATTCAAAACATTATGATCTGCTGGTAAAGGTAACTGTGGATTTAAAGCTTGTCTATACAGACAAGGAGTTGTGCTTCTAGATCCAGGAATAGATGGTGTATCACCTTTCGTTTTTGCACAAACTGGACTTGACAGTTTAATTTTATTTTCTAAATCTTCAGCTACAAATAAAACCATGTTTCCATCCTGCACCACGGTGCCTTCAAGTCGAAGGTAGCCCATTGCTTTGCGATAATTTGATGAATCTACATCAGAATGATCACCATTCTCTTCATCGTTGTTCAATTTTAATTTATCAGGTCTATCAATAGGTAAATTATCAGTAATATATTTTTCTAAATTCTCTTCTTTAAAATGATTTTCTTGATCTAGATCTCGGTCAGGTGCTGGAGATTCAACTAAAGAACAAAGCTCTGATGACGATACAGGTGGTGATGACTGAGAATCAAAAGAAATTTCGGAGTATGAAGCTGTCATTTCTTGACGCTAAAAGAATATAAAAAAGAGAAGATAATCATCATGACTTAAATTAATGTACTAATTATATACTAGTAACCCACCAATTTACATTATAATTATAAAAAATATCTCAACTATAATTTTACTCCAATATTTAATTTTCCATAATAAGAATAACAATGAGTAGTTAATAATGATTTCGGAGTTGATTCTCTTAAAAAGAGAACTTTTTAAAATTTTAATGAAAATTGGAGGGTTAATCTAACCTTACTCGATCTTCATCATATTCCATTGTAGAATTATCCAATTTTTCTCGTTGCGATGATTGATTTTTTTTCAACGATGATAACAGTACATCTGACTGTTTATTAATTATTGAATCTTCCATGATAATTTTTGATGAAATAAGTTAAATTCTGATTTGTTTTCGTCAATATTATTCTCAACAAATAATGAACAGCTGATGGTATTGATGCGCACGACGCAACAAAAATCGCGAGCGCATGTGCAACAATTCTGCGCATTTTTCATTGGAATTCGAATGATCAAGGTGTAAATTGAGGTCTCGTGTGTCGAAAAAATAATAAAAGTTTTCCATCATCATTTTATTCATATTTTGATCAATCAGGAGTTCTAAGAAATACTTGTTATGATGAAGTCTCGACCGCTTGACTCATCGAGGCCATGTCTATCGGAAAACCCTGACCATCTGCCTTGTAGAAAATAATATTTATCGAAAAACTTCAAATATGTATCTAAATTGTACAATTTCTGAACGCCATGACTCCAAATAACTCCCTGGTGTACGACTCTAAGGGGCACTCAAGAGCCAGAGACTATTTTCCCAGAACTTTAGTCCTTGGATTATTGATGCATATAAGCTCTAGATATTATTTTTAATCTCAAGAAGATGCAGTACCATAATTTTCAAGTTGTTAGTCAAGTTAACACAAAAACCAACCTAAATTTTCCAGTAATTATAAATATTCATTCAATAACATGTTATTTTGTGTTTTTATGACTTCATTTTTAAATTTATTGTTATAAATACATTTAATTGTAACATAAATAGAGCAAAATTAAAAATAATGAATGAAATTCATTATTATTGAATTCTGAGCAAAGCTCGAGATTTATCTAATCGGAAAGACGATGGCCTAACTGCCCCTTTGTCAGCAGTCTTAAAGACCTTTGAACTATTGGGTCAGATTGTTAGTTTTACGATCCTACTGTCGTCTACGTTAAGTCATTCTCCCAATATCGTTGTTCGGGACAGGAAGTACTTATTTAACTGATAGTGTATAGACAACAGGCAAAGTAGAGAATTGACCAGTTTCCTGATGTTCTGATCGTTCGTTATCCATATTCAGTCGCCCTTAGTTGTTGGCGTGGTTTGGTTCGGATGACACTAGTCTCTTGATATGGAAAAATTGAAGCGTTGGGTGCATTTATTGGTGATATTTTTTTTATTCAATTTGAAACTATTTGAAACAGGTGAGGATAAAAAAATAATTTTTTTTTACAATTAATTATTATTATTATTATTATTATTAATAGTACTATCAATTACATTTACCCTATATTTTCCACATGCGATGTTAAAATCTTTCGTAATCAGTTATCTTGAAGTTTAACAAATATGAGATGAATCATTTTCCCAAGAAATAATATTTACTATCAAATAACATCTTACGTTGTTGTAGATGCTGCACGTGAAGTTAAAGTTTGTGGACGTACCAAATGCCATGGTAAATATTTTCTGTCTGTAATATGTAATATGAATTAATTAATATTATTAAACAAATTTATTTAATAAAAATAGACTTATTGCAACACTGTTATATAAATTCTTTATGTATATAAAATAAATTTTTATGAATATTTCTAGGAAATTCAATCAAATTCAAATACATTGAAGGAACAGTTTATCGATATCAACATCAAGTTGATGTGAGTGTTAATCTAGGCAATGGTTCTAGTATATCAGAATTGCATATTGAATCAGTGGCATTACTAAAATTTACTACACCATGTGAAGCTGATTTGAAGATATCTAAAGCAAGTATACGACATGCAAATCGTGGGAAGTATGATGCTGAATTTCCTGATCGAGCAGAGGCTGATTTCAAAGAACAACTTGAACATTACAGTCTTCGATTTGTATTTGAAGATGGTCAAATTCAAGAACTATGTCCACATTCTGAAGATCCTATTTGGTCAGTTAATATTAAAAGAGGTATATTATCAATGTTACAAAATACCATGAAAAGATTTGACGTTGATCATCATGGAGATGAATTGGATGTTAATGGTATTTGTGAAACACGTTATCGACTTCATGAAGCTCGTAAAACAAGTCTTATTATAGTTAAAACTAAAGACATTGACAGCTGTACTAATCGGGGAAAACACTTTTCTATTATTCAATCTAACATGTACACAAGTCCTAGAACACATTCTCAAGGAACTCTTTTAGATTCTAAATACAACTGTGAGATTATTTTAGATCATAATATTTATGAAAACGTCATTTGCAAAGAATCTTATCAATTGAAGCATTTATCATATGGAAATGTTGCTGTAAGATCTGAAGTAATTTCAAAACTTACTTTGATTGATGAAGGTGAGAATAGTTCATGGGACGATACTGATGATAATGACGACGATGATGACAACGATAATGATGATAGTAATGATGAAGAACAAAATGAAACTGAACAATTGATAGAATCTATTCCAACTGATTTATTATATGATCATGCAGCCGTATCTTTTTCTAGCAAAACTCTTTTTGGAGAGCTAAGAATTTCAAGAGATCTGTTAAAAACTATGTGTCTACTAGGATCCAGTGGACAGCTTGAAAAGACTTTTTCTGAAATATTCAGCAAATTTATACATTCAGCTCGGCACCTTGATTATCCATCATTGTCTCAATTATTGGTAAAAGCTGATGGAATTTGTGAGAATGGAAAAAGACATATTCTTGATGCATTACCATATATTGGAACAAGTGCTGCAGTTAAGGTGATGCGTGATTCTATGCTAAAGAAAATTATTGATAAAGAAAGAAGTGAATCTTGGCTAACAGCAATAGCTTTAATACCTAGACCAGATGCTTCAACAGTTGCTGCACTCTTACCTCTTCTTGAGCTCGAGCATCAAGTATCTAATGGTCATTTAACCCTAGTTTATTCGGCTGTTGTTCATGCTTTTTGTCGTCATCATGGTGCCAGCCGACAAAGTTTAAATTTCCATCAATCGCACGATTGTTTGGCCATCCAAGGTACTGGAATTGATCGATTTTTTGATTATCTTGAATCAACTATTGAACAGGGTTGTGCTCCAAAGCCTCACGAACCGGAAGAAGTTAAAAAAGTAAGTACTAAAAGTTGACGTTTAGAATATATTTTAGGATACTTACTATCTTAGAATTCAACTTGGTAAATACTCATAAAATTTTTCAAGATTTATCAATATTCTATTTTGTGTTCCATGTGCTTAGAATAAATATTACAGCTTGCAGTAAATGTGTCTGCTTATGTGATATTCCCTTATATTTTAAATTGAATTGAGAATATATTAAAATTCACAGCACGTAAACTGCAGAATACAAGTAAACTTGCATTTTGTTGAATAAATACTTTTAGAAACGTTTTTCACGGTTATTAAATTGAATTAATTTTAATATGTCTATGTTATTTAAAATTAAATAGTAATAATATTAATACTCAAATTTTTAATCAATTTTCAAGACTTTAGAAGCTCTAAAAGCAATAGGGAATATGGGACTCGAAAGGACAGGATTGTCGGATAAGCTGAAAGTCTGTATTGATAATGAAGGAGGATTTATTTCAATGGAAACGAGAATTGCAGCAATTGAAGCACACCGTAGACTACCATCGTGTCAGGAAACTCGTGATCGTATCTTTCTTCCACGATATCGCAATATTACCCTTGAACCTGAGATACGAATTGCGTCTTATCTACAAACGATGCGCTGTCCAGATTATAATGTTGTCAAAATAATAAAACACACATTGACAGAAGAACCTATTAATCAGGGTAAATAGTTTATTCAGCATATTTATTATTATTATGCTACTAGTATGTAATTACTTACATTTATTTAAATAACTTATACTTTTAGTTGGTTCATTCGTTTGGAGTCATTTAACAAATTTATTGGCATCATCATCACCGACTAAAATTGAAATACAAAGTCTTCTAACTGATCGAGATTTAAGTGATAAATATAACAGTGATGGTCGAAAGTTTTCTCGAAATTATGAGAAGTCATTTTTTTCTGAAGAATTCAATGTTGGTGGAACCTTTCAAACTAATGTTGTTTTTTCATCAAAGTCTTATGTTCCTCGAACTCTCACATTTAACATGACTCTTGATTTATTTGGAGAATCAGTCAATGTGATTGAAGTAACTATGAGAATGGAAGGAATGGAATATTACGCGGAGAAATTTTTCGGTCCCACAGGTCCATTTGCAAATGACAAAATATCTCAACATATTACTAACTTTTTACGAAGTTTAAGATCAGTCAGCGAAACAAATCATTACTGGGAAGATTTGAAAACCATACCCAATATTATAGATAATAATTTTAATAATCCACAAATTAGTTTATCATATAAAATATTCGGTAATGAACTTGAATTCATAATGTTGAATGGTCCAGATGAAATTGTTAAAACTTTAACGACGCTAAACCCATTAGCGAAAATCAAACGTTTATTATCAGGTCGAGAAATCTATTATGAATACACTGGAATGCTTCTTGATGCCAGTTACATTATTCCAACTGCAGCAGGTTTACCAATTCGGTTAGATCTTACTGGATCAGCTGCATGTAATTTCAAATTCTCAGGGCTATTAAATAGCGATCGTTTTGTTGAAAATACAGAAGTTCAATTAGTTGGCAATGTAACTCCAAGGTAAGATTTGTATTTAATCATCACTGATAATTAAATAAATTATTAATACAAATTTTTCATTTTAGCGTAAGTTTAGATATAACTGGTCAAATGAGTGTTGATGCATTCCACAAGAGTGCATCAGTAAAAATACAAGGAAATGTATACTCTTCGAGTGCAGTGAGACTTCATCTCGATGTTCAAGGAATAAGATTAGTTAAACTTAATCTCGAAGTACCTAATCGTAAATTGGAAGTACTTACAGTACGAACAGATATACTCCATGTGCATGGCAATGGAGCTGAGATTTCAGAACGACCCGTAGTAACATCAACTAAGAATTTAACTAACCGCAATAAAATTTCTAACTCAACATGCAGCTGGCCTGTATTAGAAAGACTGATTGGTTTGAAACTATGTTTTGATTACTTATTTCCAAATATAACAGAGGCTGATAATATTTCCTATTTCATTTTGAATGGACCAACTCTATTCCGTACTTCAATTATTAAAGCTGATCCTAGTGCTGAGAGTTATCTCTTTGAATATTCATGGAAAGCGACACCGGTAAATTACTATAAACAATCATTTATTTAATTATAAATTGTATTAAATAATTTATTAAAAAATTAACAAGTTTCTTAAAATTAAAAATATTGATTATTTTTTAGACAAACAGTGTACTCAAATTAGCTTTTGATACACCTGGATCATTAATAAATCGAGAGACCAGTGCTACTGTAAGCTTTGATGCTAAAACTCACAATGTTAGTGTTTTGCTAAGATCTGCAGGGAATAGTCTTGTTGCTTTAGGTTTGTTAATTATATTATTATTTAAAAACTACGTAATTTAATTATTCAACTGATTAAATAAACGTGTACATGTGTTTGTTTTTCAGGCACCTATAAACGAACTGATGATGAAACGATGATTAATATAGGTTTAGATATAAATGGTACAAAACATGTAGATGGATGCATTGGTTATCTAAGAAAGAGTGGAAACTACGGTTACATTTACATACCAAAGTTAGATTTAAAAATAAATGATGAAAACGTAGTAGAATTGTCTGGAATGGTAAAAGATACTCACAAGAATAATGTAACACAGTGGGATATTGATTTAAGTTTTCAAACAAAAAAAATTAAAAGTCGAATGAGAGGATATATTATTCGAAGAACAATTAGTTTAACAGGTAATATAAAATTAGACTATCAACTGAAAAATATGAATAAAGAAACACTTCAAGTAGAGATTTCGTTATTAAATCGATCAACTAAAACTTTGGTATACAAAGAAGCCAATTTAATGTTACAATCAAGCGCTTATCCTCAACTTAATGCTATTATTACAACTTGGTATCAACAAGCTTTAGGACATCTAGAAATACACACAGAAATTAATACAAAACCACACTTACGGGATGATCGTCATAAGCTTACAATTCAATTAATTTTGACTTATTCTAAGGCCTACTTTCAAAGTCAAGAAGCAAAGATGACTGCTTCGGTTGCAATTAGAAAACCAATTCAAAATATTGATATTAAAGTTGGAGTTGAACGATTTTCTATTGGACCATCTTCGAAGACATACTTTTTGGTAAGATATGCACCAGGAAAGGAGATAACTTTAGCAGTAAATCTTATCATGCCACGTGGAGCAATGTTTGCTATTGAAGGTCATGCTAATATGACAATACCTAATTTAGACTCAATGTTAATTGATGTACGTATTACGGAAAAATCTCGTGGTGAATATGATCTTGATTTTGCTGGAACTTGGTTCAGTGGACATAATGCAACAATTCGTGGAACTTATGTTGATAAATTGATTGTTATAAAAGACCATCGTGTAATCACAAATAGTTTAAAGTTACTATTTAGATCACCAAGTCTTGCTCGGGATATTTTATTTAATTACAAATTTTATCGTGACCATATTGACACTAAATTCGACATCAGTGTTGAATATTTAGATGCAGACAAATATGCTTTAGCTATACATCATTCGGTAATATCAGCTGTGAAATTTATATCATATGCAGAAGCAAGATGTCGAGGTGGTGTTTATACAGTGACAGCAGCTGTTGATGTTGAGAGAGAAGTTAGATTAGAATTACATTTAGATAATTGGAGAGACGTTCATTTAATAGCAACAGGAATTAATGAAGAAACAACAAAGGAATTTGGTTTCGAAATTAAATGGGATGCTAATCGTGATCCAGCTATGAGATTTGCTACATTACTTCAGTTATATAAAATGTACGAAGATACTCCTATTCATTCACGAAATTTAAGCAGTACTATAATGGTAACTTATCCAGGAAGATTATTCACAGGAACTTGTTTTCTTGGTGTTTTGGATACTCATCACTATTTATTAGATGCTAAAATTGAGTGGGATCCAGTAAAAAATATACACATTACTATTGATGCTGACTATGATACTGTTAATTGGAGTAATTACTTCAAATTTGAAAGTAAGATGTTGACACCCTTTGAACAGTGGAAGAAAACGTCTTTAAATGCACGGTATCACTGGACAGATGAAGAATTAAAAGCTGTTTGTGATGCACATTGGCAAGATGACCAACGATTTAACTTTGAATTTGCGTCGAGTTCTCAAGAGACTCTTAATACTGTAGAGTGGCGTGCAAATTGTGGTCTAACAAGTACTGTCCATTCAGTTGGCTGGATTACAACTAATTTAACTCACAAAGTGAGTAGAGAATCGAATAGCTTCAGTACAGACTCTCGGCTCCTTGTTAACTACAACCCAGACAAAGTCATGGATTTTAAAAGTGTCTGGCATTTCAATGGAGCTACAACTCCTAACGACAATATCACTTTTGGTGGTAATTTTAAATTCTTGACACCTTTTATGAATTACAAGAATGGTGATGTTAAACTTCAATTTAGATTTATGCCATATTGGAAATTCCATGGACTCTCCAATATTGAAATTGATAAACGTAAATATACTGGAATTTTGCAAGGCGATTTAGCTCGTATTAAAGAATCTATTGTAGAATTTAATATTACCACACCACTCGAAAAATATTCATTTATACGAGGAAGATTTGGATTATCAGAAATAAATAAACATGCAGTTGCTGAAGTAACATTACCTTCTGGTCCAATTGGAGTTGAAGCACTCTGTAAATTCTTTGCCGAGTCTAATTATGATTTTAATATTATGTTACGTGTATCAACACCTATAGAAATTTTACAGAAGTTTTTGATCGTCGCTAAACTAGCAAGAACAGAGGCTGATTTTCGAATTGGTTATAATAATGTTACAGCTGGTTTTCAAGCAATTTGGCACTTTAATAATCTTACGAATTTCCATTATAGCTATATTCTTTTTACACCAATTCATGGTCTTCATGAAAGTGGTATTGTTGCCAAAATAATCATACTAGATAAGAAAGATGAAAATGATCGTTTAAGTAAAACTATTGACACAGAATTTTCTCTAAGAATTGTAGAAACAAAATTAGGGATCAAGATATACTCTGGTCCAAAACTTTCTCCATTAAAATTATTAGATGAGCCACTTGTTGAACTGAGTTATGAACCGGAAGATGATGATTTCTCTTGGCAAGGTGATATTGAGGTAAGAAAAAATTATTATTAAACATATTTTTAAAAATTATTTCAAATATTAACTTTAATTAATCTTCCGTAGATAAATGCCGTGATAATTGAGCCAATAATTGGGAAATTAGAAATAGACAAACATGGACGAGTTTACCAAATCAACGGAAATTTAATAATTCCTCAAGGAAAAATATTTTTAGAAGATAAATTCATATTGGAAGATGTGTTTAATATGAAAAATACTCTAGAAATAAAAACGCCCTTTGAATGGACAACTGGAATTAATTCATTATACGTTTTCAGTATCGACATGGAGAATTATATTTATTTTATGAGTTTAGACGTCAATCTTACTAAAAACGATTCCATACCATGGATCGAATGTGGTATCAAGGGAAATTATTCAAGTGTCGAGCATGAAGATGATTCTACAATGCACAAATTACAGTTGATATTTAACACACCCCAGGGATTTTTAGGATATTTGGATAGTTATGGAACTTTGGAATTAGATGAGAATATATACAAAACAAATATAGTTTTCAAAACTAATGATAGCTTTTCGGAGTTTACTGGAGTACTTGAACTTGAAGAGGCTTTTTTCGATGGTACTTTAATAGCTTTGATTGACTCACCAATTTTACAAGTACCAAAAACAAAAATAACGATTAAAAAAGACTTTACAGAATTAGAAAAACGTCTTGAAGGTGGAATTACGATAGATAATTCAAAAGAAAACCACGGTCAATTTCGTGCTACATGGTATTTTGAATCTCAAGACCATATAAAGTTATCTGTTGAACTGAAAACATGGATATTGCCTTTAAAAAACGTTCAGCTCGATTTATTTTACGACAACAACTTATCGAGCAATCAAAGTTTATTGCTTGAAACTAAATTCAAGCGTCTTAATCAAAAATATAAATTATCCGGAGCTTATCATCCGAATAAAACACTAAATGTACAATTACAAGGACCCAGTGACATTCTAGACTATGATTATCGATTTGATGGTTTATTAGATTCATCAAATAAATTAACAGGAAATCTTGTTGATTTAAAAACTTCACAAACTTATAATGTTAATGGAGAAATGGACGTCACCGATTCTATATTAGAAATTAAAACAGTCATCGTTAAAATTAATGAAGATAGCAAAGAAAATAATCCTTGTACACTTACTTTATTATTCTTCAGAGAAAAGTACGGATTAAAGTTGAACGCTCATAATGACTTTTTAGATAGCAATGTATCATTAAATTATATAAATGCTTTAAATTGGGATACAAATTTTGCACTGGAATTAGAAAATAATATAAAATATCAATTAGATGCATTTACTAATGTCCAAGTGAATGGTAATACTAGTATTTATATAAAAGCTCAAACTCCATGGCCTGAACTAAAAGTATTCCAGCTGGATGGTAATGTTATGTTTACTAATAACAGTGGGGACATAAAAGTAAAACATCACCTTAATAATAACAGTGGTTATTTAAGACTCGCTTGGAAACTTGCGTATATGACTGATATGTTTATTCGATTTAATGGTGCTGCTGATAAGAAGGATATCAACGTATTTCTTTATCTAGATAATCCAAAACGTGCTTTCCGTAGTGTTAATACCGGTTTTGATATTAGTGTTAATGAGAAAAAATGGCAATGTGCCACAAACATTAGTATCGGTTACAGAGATAATGAGAATATTGATTATGTTATGGTTGTTCATCTTCCACCTCCGAATAATGATGACCATCGTATATTAATTCGTTATCATGCCCAAGGTGGATTACAAGATGCTAATTTTGTTATTGGTTACAGTGCTAGTAAAGCAATGATTAATTATGCTACTGATGGTTCGGTTAGTATTGACATTTGTTTCATGAGAATCCTTAATCATTAGAAAATTGATAGTCTGAATAATTACATTTCAATCATTTTATTTTTCAGATTCGTATGGCACAAAAAAATATAGATGGTCATTTACGACTAGCTTGGGATGATTTAAAAACTAAAATTTTGAATAATATATTCAATATAACTTTTGATGAGAAAAAAATTGGTTTCAAATATTCTTTGTTTACTCCAAAATCTCAAACTGAAGAAAAAGCAATAGTTTTGTTTAATTATGACGGAGGAAAAAATAATGAAAGCTTAATTAATGCAGATTTTTATTATACACCACGGAAGAAAGTGGGAACAATTAATATATCTTATTTAAGTTTAACAAACGTCAATGGTACTCTTAATGTGTCAACGGGTGTTCCAAATTTCCCTTATGTCGCATGTAATTTTATTGTACTAACGACATTGTAAGTAGATTTTTCTGCACGTAGTCAGACATTTTTTAATACAATACTTTTCGAAAATTATAATTTGCTAGATATTCAATTTAAAAATTATTTTTTTCAGGAAGCAAACGAAGAGATTTGTTCAAGTCTTTTGGCAAAACGACACTGCATTAATCAATTCTGATTACGTATATCACAGCGAAAAATTGGATTCAGATTTAATAGGAATAATTGAGTTAGAAGTACCATTGAGTACTCGACACATAGCGAATTTAAATTATGGATATAAAAAGAAATCACAAGTTACAACTGGATATGCAGATCTAATTTACAATAAAGATAAGATACTCCTAGCTAAGTATAATTCAAAGGGTGAATCACGTGCTGGCATTGAAAAGGATAGCATACAAATAACTTTAGAAAATGATTTTCAACCACTAGGAATTACTTATACTAATCAATATGAATATAGTGCTGGAAATGCTGGAACAAATTATCCAACAATTGAACAAAAACGTATAAATATTTATCGATTAGACAATAGTTCAATTTTTAATGTAGCTGGACAATCTCAAGTTAGAACGTTTCATGAAGGCCAGGAGATACAACTTAAAGCGGAACATCTGAATAAAACTGTTCAACTAAACACAGACTATCGTGTATTACCAGGAGAATTTGATCATAATTGTTGGGTAAAATTAGCTGAAGGTGCATGGGCTTCTTATAATCTCAACATAATCAATAAAACAACTGAAGAAATTGAAAATCAATTTCTCACGTTTAATCTGGCTTATCCTTGGCGAAATATTACTGTTGATGGATCTTATAGTATAAGTTTACGAGAGTTCAATACCGAAGGAAACTTATCTTGGAAAAAAACTTACAACAAAAGTGATCCCTCAACGCTCGATTATTATTATGATGAAGAATTGTATAAAACGAGGCAAATTGGAGCGGCATTCAACTGGACTAATTTAAGTGAACGTAATGATACAGTAGACAAACAAGTGGCCACTTTAAGCTTCAAACATCCAAGCCTAGAAAAAGATGCATCGATAGCCGGTTATTTGAACAAAAGAAATAATAATACCACTATGTTAAACGCCACTGTTATTGTAGATTATTCTGAAAATCCAGATAAACTTGTAGAACTTGTAACAATCATCAAAGATGAAAGTGTTGATCCAAATTATGTTCGTTATAGTTACTTTATTAGTGGAAAGCATCCACGAACACGTTTAGATCTTGATGTTTCTGGATACATCGAAAAAAATACAATTCGATTCATAAAAACAGATCATCAGGCGGTATTCCGTCGTAGCTATTTCCCAGGAGCAATTGGAAAATTTTTGGTACGATTTGATGCCAATAATTATCAAACAGAATATCATCGAGAAAGTACAGATCTTACGAAACATCTAGATATTTCGTATTATCCAACTGATGTTGCTTATATTGTAAATGGTAGTGTTATTGATACTTCAAGAGAATTAAATGCAACTGGAGTACTTTACTTTAATTATCCTGAAAAATTAACATGGTTAATGTTAAATTATACACCAGATTCAGTCGAAAGTCTTAGAATGTACGGAAATATTCCAGATGCCAGGAACGGAGTATTTGATGTATGGAGAACATATGAGAGAAATCTTATTATTTCCGATATTTCATTTTATCTTAGATTAAATCATTCTCGGTTGGTTACGTCAACACTAAAATGGCGACCTGAACTTAAAAGTGATCTTACTAATTTCGTTAAAACGACAGTTTCTGACTTCTGTAATGATCTTAGTAATGATTTGGATTATTGGAAGCAATATGTTAAAAGTGAAATAATTAATTCTGCATCAGATATTTGGGAAGATGCCCACGAAGACATTGAAGAATTATTGAATGATTGGAATAATTTAAAGGAGCTTGATGAAGATCTGGATAAATTGAAAGTTTATTTAAATGAGTCTTATAATGCTAATGATTTCTACATAAAAGATTTGGTAGGTATTGGAATATATGTGATTGATGAACTGGCTTTGAGAAGTCATATTGAATCATTGCCAAATATTATCAATGAAATATGGGAGATAATGGGTGAGTCTGGAGAAGCTATACGTAATTCACTCTTATGGATTATCGAAGCTACAAAAAATGCTTATAAAAAATTGACAGAAATAGTAAGTGCAATATTGAAAGGAGAATCGATAACACAAATCGCTAATATAATTGAACAAATTGTTGAAAAATATGATAGATTTATAAAAGACCTTCATGTATCATTTAAAAAATATGTCGAAAATTTGTGGAATAAATTATCAATAACAATATCACGTCAATGGGATAAAATTTTACGAATGGTTGAACCAATATTTATACGGATACTTCATTATCTTGAAGCTGTACTATGGAAAGCCAGTAAAGAGATTGTTGATTTTCTTTATGATCGCAGGAACGAATTAATTAAATCACCATATTTTGATCGTTTTACCAACTTCACTCAAGACTTTGATAAATTTTATCGCGACATCAAAGCCAACGACATTATTACAAATATTTACAAGTACACTGGTATTGTAATTACCTTTATTCGTGAGCGTTACTTCACAATGGTACCCTTTGGAGAAGAGCTTAAAGATCTTGTTGATGAAATTATTTCAGAATTTGCCGAATTAAAAAAATTACCAACTGTTAATTATGCCCTTGAGAAATTTAATTATGTTTATGAAAGAATTCATTACTTTTATAATTACTTTGGTGTCAGGAAGAAAGTTGAAAATTTCGTAAGGGTAATTCATTCGAAATTAATCGATATAAGTCAAACAGCATTACAAGCAGAGAGTAAATATCGAGAAGCAAAAACTAAATTTATTTTTGATCCAAATACGGGTCTCATGTGTTTAGAGCAAAAACTTCCAATGTCTTGGCATGCCTTCAATCAAACACCAGAATTTCAAGAAATTCCAGAATATCGAGCAATTCTTGATCTTCGAAATTACTTCACCACATCTAATGCAACCTTTTGGACACTTTATTACCGTTATCGACCATATACTGATCCTTCTAACTGGTTCCCCCCATTCAAAGCACAAGCAATGGTAGTAGGAAATCAACATTTTATTACCTTTGATGGTCAACATTATGATTTTATCAATACGGGTACTTATCTTTTGGCTCACGATTTTATCCAAAATCAATTCGCCGTATTTATTACATATCAACGATCACCCACAAATTCTTCAATAATAAATCATAAAATAATAGTATCTGTTGGACGCCAAGACTTACAAATCGATGTATTTAATGATACTGTAAAATTGGCTGACTCCACAGATATTTTACGTTTACCAGTGGAATTAGATAACAATACTGGTTTTGTGTATCAAGAAAAAAGTATCGTAATAGTTGAGTTGAAAAATAATCAATTTAAGCTCAAGTGTAATCTCAAATACGATATTTGTGTGATAGAATTATCGGGATGGTTTTTCGGTAAGACAGCCGGATTATTGGGTACAATGAACAATGAGCGATGGGATGATACTATAAAATCCGACGGAGTAGTGACAGATGATATTGAAGAGTTTGCCAAGAGTTGGTCCATTTCAAAGCCCGATGATGACAATATTGATGTTGAAAATAAAAATACAAATCTTGCTTACGTTGGATACAAAAAATCAGAATTATTTGACTTTTGTTTCAATCTCTTCACCAATCATAGTTCTGAATTTGGAGATTGTTTCATGGTTGTTGAACCACAATATTATGCTGCTGCGTGCTTAAATACTAGATCTACTGCGGAAGTATGTTCACTTGCCATTGCTTACATGCAAGTTTGTGGATTTTATGATACATACCTGAGAATTCCAGATAAATGTACTGCCTGTTCTATGACAGACAATTCCAGCGTACCTGAAGGCGAGTTTCGTAAATTGGAAATGTCTAGTGTTCCGAATTCCACAGATGTTGTTTTCATAGTTGAAGCAAAGTTGTGTAATATCAACATCAGGCAAAATCGTAGTATTGATTTGCTTGTTACTCAACTGAATAAAGAATTGAATGAAAATGGACTGAAAGATAATCGATGGTCATTAGTTATATTTGGTGGAGATGGTGTTTTCGATAAACCAAGAAGTCTCATACTTGGCAGTCAAATATTTACAAATGATACCTCTCGGTTTGTTGATTACTTTGATAATATTCCTTCTGGATTTGGTAGTCAAGATGTTTTTGCGGCTATTGGTTTTGCTTCTCAATTAGTATTCCGTGCAGGAGTATCAAAAACATTTATTTTATTACCTTGTTCTCACTGTGAACCGCAAAATCAAACAGTAAGTTTTTATTCAAACATTGTTTTTCCATTGTAAATTGCCCATTTATTGAAATTGAAAAATTTTTTTTTTTATTTTAGTTGGACTATTCGGTTTTACATCAAGTTCTATTAGAACATGATATAACATTCCACATACTTATGGATGGTGACTTTAATTTCAAAAAACAGCGTTTAAATAAAACATTTTACGGTATAGATGCCACAAAATCATACACAAAAAAAGATGCTAAAGTATTAATAGGAGATATTGATCTTAGACGACAAGTGAAGTTACCTAAAAGTACTTTAGGATATTGTACTCCTTTGTCACTTGAAACTAACGGCACAATATTTAGTGGAAATAAACTCAATCCTAATAAGTCACCATCAATCAAAAAGTTTGCTAGTACTTTTGCTAAGAGAGTTGCCTTAACAGCAAAACCAAGTTCCTGCCAGCACTGCGAATGTAGTTCTGATAATGATGGAGTTACTCACATGGAATGTATGCCCTGTGTCTATCCAATGCCTGTTATTGTTGATTACGTCAGTGTATGTCAAATTATTAATATTATAACATTATGAATTGAATAATTATTTTAACTACATATTAATGTGTATTTTTTATTATCAGGAAACTTTCAATGAAGACGACACATTCTCCCCACTTCAACCACTGGAAGTAGATTATTCTCAAATTGATGTAGATGATGATTAATATTTTTTACGAAAGAGAAAATATTGAAATAATAATAAAAATAATAATAAATGTATAATTTTTATGCATTAGTATATGATAATAATTAATATTTATAATAATGTCATTTGTATAATGAAATAATTACGTCAATTATTGTTAATAAGATCACTAATAATTAGAGGTATTATACAAAATCTATTCTATATCTGTATAATCATAGTACATTAACGACAATATTATTTATTGATTTACATTTATAGCCGCGATATTTAATTGTTCCACTTTACGACTATATATATAAATGTAAAAACAACAATAGATAATAATTATAATATTCTTAGAAAACTTATGACGGCACGGAATTTCGGTGACAATTGATAATTCGAGTGGAAAGAACAATAAGACTAATAAGTCTTTTTAATTTTATTTAACCAATACGGTATTTATCTTACTTATTTGATTAGTTGAATACGTATTAAGAATTAGTCACCTAGAATCATGAGCTTGGAGATGATTAGGAGCATCGGCAAATGTAAATTTTAACTTGTAAGCTTCAGCAACAAGAACACCAATTTCAGAATCAGTCCAATTTTGGGTTGGCAAATTTTGTAACATCAACATTAAACCCTGAAACACAAGTTTTCTTTGTTAATTTTATTTAACTTATGTCACGTGAATTGTGTTTTAAACAATTTTAAATTTGTAGTTTTAAAATATGTATAACAAGTACAAAAAAGAATCGATACACTTGAAATAAAAAATCTTACTATTTGAATAAAATGCTTACTTGAAAATCAGGTTGAGAGAGAAGATGACGTCTCCATCTAAGAAGGAAAGCAGCACAAACATAAAGTTGAAATGAGGCAAAATGTTCAGACTCGGCGAGATATGTATCCCAGAGACGAATTGTACAATGAAGTGGAATTTCTCTGGTTAATAAATTATTCATCCATCGAAATGAAAATTGAAGATAGTCAACACCGTGTTGATATAAGTGTTGATGTAATTGTGCTAAAAAAAAGTTAAATATTAATAAAAAAAAATTTTTTAATTATTAAATATTTTTTACATATTATCATTAAAATAAATTTAAATATGTTGACCATGATAATAATTAATGAAAACGATAAAGAAAAGAAAGAAGCAAAAATACGTACCATCAATTCTTTGAATAAGTTCTTTGAGTTGATTAACTTTGTATTGGATTCCTAGTTGAGCAAAAATATAGTTGTCTTGAATACCATCAAGAAACTTGGAGAGGCACCAAAAACTATCTGCTTCAATGATATCTCTTTGTTTTTGTTCCAAAGAAGCGACGTCGTAGTTTTCAAGATCTTGCCAGGCGGAAACAGGTATTGCCTCTTGTAGAAAAACCAGGAAGAATGGTGTTACCAAGTCGTTCATACCCTTGAGTCATATCAGAAAGATACTATGAGGATATCAAAATTTATGAAAAAAATCCTTTATCGAATATACCTGAACATAACCAGAGGCAGGATGTCGTATCGCCCATATGTACAATATCCTTTCGAATATGAGTTGAACAGTATGTTGTTGAAATAAGGAAATAAGTGGAGACATCCGTGGAATATCAATGTGAATTTGTCGATATGTATCTTGAAACGCTTCATCTCTCTCTGTGTCATAGTATTGTTTAACTAAATTCCAATAGTCTAAACGTTTACGCTCTAATACTTGTTGCCTTCGTTCCAAATTCGCTGGTAAATATTCCTATTGAATAGTCAGATTTCAATTTCAATGAATAAAATATGTTTTTTAAAAAATAGATATTTAAGTTTATACACTCATAATAAATTATATGTCATAATCGTAATTCAAATAATCAAGCGTTAAATTGATACTTTTTACTTACTGATAATAGCCGCCAGGTTATTGACCGTAATTTAGCTGGTACTCCAGACCAGGATAATTGTCTTAATTCATCCAAATTAAGCAGAGAAGCTTCTAAAAGACTTTGAAATTTATCAACTTTACTTTCACCATCTTGTTCTTTAAAAGGCATAAAAAACTTTGATGCTGAAGTTGGTCGTAAAGCTTGAGGTCTCCCTGGAAAATGTGGATTACCACGATAAGGTGAAGTTCCTACTTTTTCATCAGTATCAATTTCTGTTTCAGTTTGTTGGCTACATCTATTACGATTACTTTGATAACTGGATGTTGTTGAATTAGTCAAATCGTTACGAAGATGTAAAGGTTGAACTGCTAATCTTTGTAAAGCTTCAATTTTTTTAATTTCTGGTATAATTTCTTGATTTTTTTCCGAGTGGAAATCTTTGTTATTTGTGACATTATCATATCCTTCCCTGCTGCGATGGCTATTAATAACACTCATTGCAGCTGATTGACTTACTTTTTTAGATATTTTTACGTCAGAAACCATACAAAATTCATCATCTCCTGAATCCCAGGCATCATCTACACTTTCTTGGAAATCTTTAAAAGATGCTGCACTACTTCCAGCTGCAAGTGTTCCACCGTTTCCACTTTGTATACCGCTCGTCGCAGACATTTTTGCTTGTCGGTTATCTTGTTTAAGACTAGGTCTACAATTTTTAATCATAATTATTGCTATGTACAATATAAAAATAAATTTATTAATAGAATTAACAATAGATACCTTCCGGGAACAGCACGAGCATTTTTTTTCCAAAAAGATTGTTGATTTTGGTTTCGGTGGCTACGATTTTCCATATTACTAAATTTTATTAAATGGACATAATTGAATCTTCACCGGTAAGATTATGTAAATAAAATTTATGACAACTCATAATGTCAAAGACTGAAAATAATAAATTAATTACTTGGTAAATTTTTGCAAAAATTAACCGAATTGGAAACATTACAGGTTATGTTATTAAATTAAAAAATTCATTGAATTTATCTATACCCATACAAACACACATTTGGATTTTTAAATATGTACATATTTGTGTAATAATGTAATAAAGTTACAATGAACCATAGGTATTAATTAATGTAAATTACAAGGACGGATACTTACTTGATAATCGCGAAATAGACAACATGGCACGTCATCCTTTGGATAAATGCCACTGCAATATTTACATAAAGATGAATAATTGATTCATATTTTACTCGAAATGTTATCTATCTGAGTATATTTATTTCTTGATAATTATTCAAACTAAACTTTATAATTACATATAAAAAATTTTGCTTCATTTATTGTTCGACGTGCGAATACACACATAAATAATTGTTCTACACTAATGCCTCTAGCGGTAGAATTTTCAACTTCTCAAAATAACAATGGCCGCATGATGATATACTACGTGCAATGTGTTTACATTTTTGTGTGTGGTTTATTGTTTATATAAACCAGTAATTTGTTTATCAACTCAATAAATTAATACTCCTCATTACTATGACTGATAAGAGATTTCAATCGGAAAGAAGTAACTCGACACACGAGGTATATTTCATTTAAACTTTTAAATTCAAATTTACTCATTTTTTCAATCTTTTAATTGACATTTTCTTTCAATTAAAAATTTATCATGATAATTAAATAATGTATTATGTATCAGGATTTGTCCAGCAGTTCAACATCATCATTTTCTTCAGACGATGAAACGGACGGTCAAGACTTGAAACCAATTAAAGATTATTTGTATGATAGACGAGAATTGACAAAACAATTATTCATGTCTGTAAAAATGGAAAAAATTAGAATGATGTTACCACAAGTATTAAAGGTACTTGCGAAAGATTTATTATCGTATTTCTTATTACTTAATATATTTATATAAAAAATAATTATTGTTCGTATAAAATTCTAATTCATCATTATTTTTATAGAGCATCAATATGAATGAATTACAAGAATGGTGTGCCAGTGAGTTGAGCGGAATGTCTAAATCACGAATATTATCAATACTTGATGGTAAGCCAATGATTAATTCTTCTGATACTAGCGATTCGGATGATTCTGGTCCATCTTTAGAAATCATTTCTGACACTGAAGAATGGATAACAGATTCTGATCAACCAGCTGATCAAAAAGATAAATCAGGAAAATCTAATAAATCTAAAGCAAAGAAAAACAAGAAACATTCCACAAATAACCCTTCTCAAGGAAAATCTTCCCAGGTTAAAGAAAGTTTAAGAAAAAATATTGATTTAACTAAAATAAAAAATGAAAAAGAAACCAAGAGTACACCTAATCCTCAAGGCGAAAGTTTATTAGATTTATTAGAACTTGAAATGCGCGCCCGAGCTATTCGAGCTTTAATTAGAAAAGAAGAAAATCTTATTCCCAATGCCGAATCTTCTTCATCGACTTCTGCAACTACAAATAATTTAAATAAACAAAATATTTTTCAAACTAATAGTAAGGAATCCAATAATGAAGTGTTATCTGATACAAGTAAAGTTTTTAATGAAAGTCAAATGTTTCAAAATATAAATTCAACATTGAATGAAGATGAAGACGTTGTTCTGGTAATAAAACCAACACCAACAATTGAATTATTATCCAGTGACAGTGAAAATGAAAATTCAGAAAGTTGTACTAATAAATCTAATAATAAAGTTGAACAATCTAATGTGGTAATGCGACAGGAGAGTGAATTAAATAAAGTGGAATCAAACAAAAATATTCTAAAACAAACTCTTTTAGATAATGAAAAAATCAACTGTGATCAAGTAAATGAAAAAAATGGTAAAAATAAAATAAGCTGTGAAAAAGATAAAAAACTTAGTGAAACGGACACTGTGAACAGTGATAGTAAAGAAAATAAGATTATAAATCTTTCATTACAGACAGAAAATAGTAATGAGAATGATAAAATAACGTTAAGTGATTGTGAGGAAGTAATTGATTTAGATGATTATTCAAATGATATGGATGATATTGAAAATGATAATACGAAAGATAATTTAGAAAAAAGTGATCACTTAAAAGAGAGTTGTTCATTCCAATCTACCGAAACATGGGCAACTCGGTATTACCAAACTGACAATGTGCAGAATGTTATAAAAGAATCTAAAATCCAATCTGAGATAAGAAAACGTTTCCGTGAGAGACAAAAGTTATCGAAACTTGGTAATAGTTCTAAAGACTTAAATAAAAAGTCTTGTACAGAGGAAAAAAGTGCTGAATTAGACGAAATAAAACCGACGGGTTCAGTTACTGAATATTTAGCTCTAAAAAATCTTTCCAACTTACCAAGTAATGATACAATATCCTCTGCAAATAATAAACCTACAAATACTGCAGATCTTTCTGAACAAGTGTCCGTTACTAGTGCAAATAATCATGAAGAAACTAAGTGTGATGAACAATTACCAATTAATTTACCTGAACAAAATTCCTAGTTATTATTTAAAAATAATTTTATACATAGATGATAATATAAAAAATATAAATAATTAAAATAAACTAAGTGAATGAAATAATCTTTTTTAAAAGTAAGATGATTTCAAAGAATCAATAAAATCTTATACATATAGATTAATTGCATGGTATACGTGAGTATTCTATAACTCGAAGATATTACTCAATCATAGAGATTGATTTATCGTGACGGTGACGCAATTTGCTCGAGATGCGAAAACGATTCGATCCATCGTCACCGAGTATGCGCGTGCTATAAAATAATTAGAAGGGATGGGGAAATAAGCCAATCAACAATTATTAGTTATCCTAAACCAGAACTCAATTAATAAAGATAGGTAATATGCATGCAAGCACACTATTAGTAATTAATACTACTGTGTAAAATCTACAGAGGAATATTATGACATAATATGTATTATACTCGTGTTTCCGATTTATTTGAAACTCTGTCGATATTCTTATCTTTGTCGTTATCATCATCATCCCGTAAAACTAAGTAATGTAACCATAATGAGTTAATGATTGAGTTAGATCCATTAGGTAGTCATTATCGGCTCGATGAATATAGAACGGCTATGCTCTAGGCGATACTTTGATAGATGTTTGAAACAGACATACGGTAGAGAAATTATCGACAGACTTTAGTTTCCTTTTGAACACTATCAAAGCACCACGAAATAATTGCTTCAGTTAATTTAAAAAAGACCATCAACTAATATTGCGTTGATATTTTTCTTTTTCTATTTCAAATATTCATAAAACATACTGGATTATTATTCTTCCATTTCTTTGAACAAAAAAGAAAGAATTTTTCTGAAGCCACATTAATATGACGAGAAATGAATAAATTCTTTTTTTTTTGTTTTTTATTATACATCTTTTCTTTATTTTTCTTATTAAAAGTTGAAATGATAAAATGTTATTTCTGATAGAAAATAGATCTCAATTCATTTGATTTTTTCATTTTTTTCATCTACGAAAATCAATAGTGTGGATGATAGTTTTTTTTTCTTCTATTTTAATTAACAGCTTTATCGATCTGTTCAAGAACGAATCTGTTAACTCGTGTTATTTGGAAACAACTGAAAATAAAATTCTAAAATTTTGCAGGGTTGCATTTCCTCTCTAACATATCCAACTCCTCCTTTGACACAAATCCGACTTCCGTATAGACCGGAAGTAGAATGCAATTTTAGATTTTCTCGATAAACTATGAAATTTTTTTTATTTTGTAAAAGCAAAAATAGAGAATTCAGTTGAAAACAAAATAACCTGGCTCCTGTTATTATTATTATTATTATTATTATTATTGGACTTTCAATTTTTCCATTTTGGTCGAGATTAAACAATATTTCTCCACCAATCCCAATTACTATCATTAGATTTATAAAAAGAAATAGTTTCATTAATTTTATTACATTAATAATGTTGAAATTCTTTCAATATTTTTATAAATCAAATCTTTTATTACTTTTATTTACTGACTTTATATAAATATTTAATGCTTTTGTCATGTTTTCTTTGATAGTAGAAAATATTCTTCAAGAGGTAATTGATTACATACATAAGGGAAAAAGAATTCTATTGCCACAATGGATCAAAGGTCTGATTTAGCAAAAATCTAAATAAATGAAAATTAGTTGGTAACTGTACTAGACAAAATAACTGTTGTAGCTTAACACAAGTACTCCAACTGTAACCGAATGAGACTGATGTGTACATTAGTTAAAAACTTGACAAAAAACATTTTCAAGTACACAGAGTTCAACCTTTTTTTCCATGTTACAATAATCAATCTTACAAACCTAAAGTTTATTGTAAGGTTTACTGAACTAAATTACTATTCTATTGTTCTTACATTCATTCTATTACACATCTTCATTCATTAGTAGACACACAAAAAAATTAAAATTCCTGAATGACTTGATCTTTTATCTGTGGCAGCAACAGAATAATCTCCACTGTAAAGAAATGATTTTCCTTTCAATGAACCTAGTAAAAGTTTCATTCCGGAAGACGTAAATCACTTGACATCAATTATTAAAATATAAAGAGCTACTAAAGATAAGTCTTTAAGCATCTTATCTAGCTTGTGACTTATTACAAATGTTCAACTCTAGCACCTGAAGCTTTTGAACTTTTTTATTTTCCATCAGGAGATAAAAAGAAATATTTTTTTTTTGTTCAAGTCTTTGTTAAGGTACTTTTTTTCCCATAAGAAATTTATTTCACAAACTATATTTATCATAAGCGTGATGAAATGTATTGGATCCTTTTATTCGGTAGATTTCTATTAATACGTTTTATGCACTGGACAGATAAAAAAATCTCATACATTATTCTATAGGAAAGGAGAGAGAAAAAAAAACGTGAATCACGACAATGCATTTGCGTAGTTCTTCTGTGGTTTGCAAAAATTCTTTTCTGGTAACTAAGGAGTAGAGTAGTGTAGACGGGCAATCAAATAACGATCGAAGTGGTTTTTCCACGGCATTGCCAAGGAGTAGAAGTAGAGAGGGTATCGCGAAGGCTGAGAGACGTCGTGAAGGAGAGCGAAAGCTCGCTTGGTTGCCACCCGAACACGCCGGAATAAATTCTAAGGCGCCTAAAAAGCTCTGTGCTGAGTTACGAAAAGAGAGAAAAAACGATCAAGCAAAGAAGAAGAAGAAAAAAAAACGATATAGATATATATATACATGCATGACTTGGGTAATTGTAGTAGTATTCGTACTGTTGATGTCACTCCAAAAAAGTGTAGTTGCCTATGCATATATGTATGTATTGCTATTTGTCGGCCACAAAAAGTATTATACATTTGTATCGCACTACAGTTGTTCAACTATCTTCACTTTTCTCTTTCTCTCATATATTTCAATAATACTAAGCGAAATGATACTGAGAGAAAGTTTTACCAAAGCATAGTTATTGCTATCCCCTTCCATACACCAATCGTTGTCAATTGAACAGTCAGAGCGTGAAAAACAACCAAACAAACTAAATAAAAGAAAGCAGATGTACACGATCGCAAGCTCAACTTCTTCGTTCTTTCCATTTCAAACTCATCTTTCCTCTCATTCTTTTTCTCTTGCTGTTTCATTATATTCGAAAATAACTTACCACATTATTGAACATACCAACTTATTTCTTTATTATCACTAAAAGCAGCATAAAAATCAACGACAATTGCTTTTAAAACTTCATTTATTGTTTAGTTTTTTTTTAAATAATGTCTTTGTTTCGTCAAGTATATCCTCTTTGATGGTTTATTTTTCAATCCTGTTATATTTATTATTATATCTAACAATGTTTCAATGAAGATTATCAGAATTTCATCGAAAAGATGTAATATTTTAAATTAAAAGTTAATGAACAAATTGTAAAATTGATAAAAATTGGTATTGAAGAATTTTTATTTCAATATACCATAATAATTGAATAAAAAAGGAATTTTGAAAATTAAAAAACACTGATACCATACTATCTGATGTATGATTTTTTTTTGCTTTAATTCATTGATTGATGAACAATTAAAATATTATTTATTGGCAGCTACAAATCGATGAAAATGTCTTAATTTTCTTAGCCACTTCCGCTGCGAAATACGAAAACACCCTTATAAATCAAGTTACCCATTTGCTACTGATACACCACTAGAGGAAAACGATTCTAACCTGCATCGACGCCAACTAAATTTCTCTCTTTCCTGTACGTTTTCTCACAGACTTTTCTTCTTTTTTTTCCTCTTTTCCTTTCTTATATTCAATATATTTTAAGGAAAATGTATATATCTCTATCTCCATTTGTTGAATTTTTATTTATGATTTTCTTGTAATCGTACTTATATAAATTGTGCTTGAAGAGATGGAGAATTATATTGAAATAATCTCTGAATAACATTAAAAAATATATATATATAAAAATTTAAAAACTTGATTATTCAACAATATCGTTATCTTTTAGTTCATTAAACAATTCTTATCTGAACACTTTATATTCTATACATATACTCTTCTACAAATTGTCTTTAGGTATGATGTCTTTGATGTTGCTTCGTCTCGTCTATTCCATCAGTTTTCCAACGTCAAGTAAATGGAGCCAACTCTTTCTAAACAGAAATTGTTTGGTAAATATCAACATACTTTGTTGATGATTAAATACAAATACTAAATATTCTCGATGAAGATTTTTTAGTTGACATTTTTTTGTTTTTTTTCATTAAATCAGTTGGATTTCATAGAAACAAAAAATTAGTTTAGACCAAAAACAAATACTAACTCAAAGTTTTACATTATTATTCTCCAACTTCTCTCAACTCAATAATAATGTAGCTTAGAGATACAGCATCTCTAAACTCATATTTATTCTCTTGGGTAATCTTAATTTTCAAAGTGTATACCATGTGTCTATCTAGCTTGAGCTTATTTTCATTCAAATATACGTGTATCCCCAATAGCCATGCCAATCGAAAATTTCATTTCGGATTATTCACGGTTGTATTTAACTCACACTTGGTTACACCATCAAGTATCTAATTAGTAATAAACTGGCTAATGCAGTGAATAGAATGTGTGCAGCCAAATACTTGACATTCACCCTCAATTCCAAATACGAACTGTTCAGTTTCATGCTATTCATCGCTCATACTTTTTATTGGATGAATTTAAAAAAAGAAACAAAAGCTTTAAGCATAAAATCAGAAAAAATACACGTCTTTTACAATTTTCATTGCCAGTACAACAAGACTCTTCATGCCCTCGAAAAAAATAATTGTCTAAAAGAAACAGCAGATCGAAATATCTCTGAATGCGCAGAACAACGCAAAAGTTCGTACAAGGGTTGTGGAAATATACACATGTGATCTGTGCAGTAGTGAGTTGGCATGCGCAAAAGTAAAAGTGCACCCGGAGGGGTTGTGGTGGACAGAATTTACTGGATTGAAGCTTAAGGCACAGAAAATGTGTAGACTTTGTGTATTTCACATGTCGACGCTGTTTGTTTCAGTGCTCTATTATCTTAACATGAATTTTTTGAAATATATTTCATAATAAAGTGTTGTTATATTTTTGCTTTTTAAAAAATATAAAAGTTTATAAATCTTTGTTTATTATTTAACGAGTAATTATTTAATTTAAGTCAATAACAAACAATATTGAAAATGATTCATTTGTATTGCAGTGTATGAAATTAATTTGAGTGGTTGAACCATTGATACAAATATTATTTTACATTACTTAATTAATTTTGAATATCGAAAAATTTCTCATATATCATTGAAATAAATTTATTACAAAAACTGTTCATTTTATCAAGCAAAAATAATGAATGTAATTAATTAAATTAATAACTTAATTGCTAAAGTGCTTTCGATTATTAAATACATGATGATCGATTATAATGTCATTAAAATAATGAATATCGAAATGATGTGATTATAGTAACCATTAAAAAATTTGATAGACATCACGAGCGGCAATGTAATCTATTTACAAGGTTTGATTTACTTGTGATGCACAGTGGAATAATTGATAGATCTATGGTGAGTATAAATTACACTATTTTTTTAAATTCACAATGAATAAATTAAAACATGTTTATATACATGGTTGAATACAAAAATGTAATAACAAAAAGATATGTCACTGATCCCAATTAGATTGTAAAATTGATTAAATTTGCATTGGAAAGTAAACTTTAAAAGTACTTTTTAAAATGTATTATCAGATGATGAGTATATATTTTTTATGTTGTAATTATTAGTCATATACGATAAGATGCATATCAGATAATTTATACAAATGTAAATACATAGGTATAGAAGAATAAAATATGTGGACAAGTGAAACAGTGCAATACACCCTCAAGTAGGGAATAGCAAAATTCATGCGACAGCAATTTGTTAGAAGTCTAGGTATGTAAACGCAACACGGCGTAATCTAATTTAACCACAACAGAATTTGCACAATTGCGAAGCCCACGCGAGAAGCACGTATGTGTTTTACATTCTCATTTAGGCTGTTGTTCACAGTGGCTTCGTTCAGGAAACAAACTAAATTCTGGCCACTATAATTCGTATACGGCAATGTTCGAATGTTGGATATGTTTATGTCTACATATTTGTCAGGCATGAATGTTATACGCTGCTATACATTGAGTAGATGTAGTGTCCTAAAGATAACCTCTAGCTGGTCTTTTCCGTTCTTTTAGAAGTTGTTTGCCAGCTCGTGTATTTTATCACCAACCAACTTCTCGTGGTTTATTGAATAATTTTGAATTTTATACACTTATGCAAAATAGATTATAGCGCTTGCGCGCATGAATAAGTTGTTAAAGCACTGTGTGTAACTTATCAATTTGCGTAAATTCGAGTGATTTTTATCACCCACGTGGAAGAATAGTATGGTATATAGCTTATACAACGAAGCTCAATTTATCACGCTGCCGGGAGACATTCTCACAAAATTTACTAATTCTTCCCATTCCTATCACTCTAAAATACACACAGTGTGAGAGAGAAAATCCATATGCTCACTTCCGTACCATAAATATTGGATTACACTTAACCACGCCCTCTCTATTATACTGGAGAAAGTGTGCAACTATCTGGAATTAATATAAATAATATACGACCTGAAAACCCGAAGAGATAAATAATTAAAAAAGTTAGGGAACAATCTATGAATACATATATCACTATTAATTATTTTATATCCTTACCATTTTTCATCAACTGCAACATTTTATATTTCATCTTCGTTTTTTTTTTTTTTGGTTAAGTATACAGTACTCAATATATCTTGTGTAATGAAACCTTTTTTAAGATCCATTTTAAATTTATAATGACTTTTCTATTTTCATATCTAAAATCTATGTGTACATATGTAGACCACTGTTGCAGACGAACAAATTTGACGAGATAAAATTATTCAAGAAAAAAAAGCTAAAAAAAAAAATATCAAAAATCCTGATGGAACAAGAAGATATCATATTACTAATGCAAATATGATGCTTAAACTGATACTACGAAAGTACATGGCACATTGAAAATCGATACAAGTACAAGATAACGTTCAGAAAACTCGAAAACTCATGAGAATCATGACTTGGGGGCTTTACTTGGGAATTGTCTTTAGTTTGGCGTCTTACGCTTATTCTCAAATGACTTGGACGCCAATCTTTGTGAGCAGTGAGAGTAAGTATGATAACTTTTATATATATTTCCATTTAATACGACAAATAGTCATGTAGATATACTTGTAAGAAGACTTTTAAATTCAATGTTATATCTATACAATCCACAAAGTGTAATCTTAATGTAATCTTTTATTTAGGGGATTTTTTTTAGGGGAAAACGATTATAAAAGTTTCTTTCATCCTCGCAAATTCTTCGCTAAAGCTGGAATTCGCACAAATAAATGTGGGTAAAGCTCGGAACTCGTATCATCTCTCGAAAACCATTCGATTCACGCTGCTCGAATCGGAAAGTAATTCTTCTTTGGTTGAGCTATATATTTAGTAGTATCCTGATGCGCGCGTTCACTAGTCCTTAGGAGAGTTACTACAGGATAGGGATCGGAGATTCGCGTCGGCGCTCTCTAAAATAAGACACGAGGCTTTGTAATGAGAAATCAATTCTAAACGTGCACCGGGTGCACTGAGTAACTCAATTCCCAACCATCAAGTATATCTTTCAAGCAACTTTTCTCCTTCAATGCCTTGTATAGCAAACAAACCATTACTTAGACTCAATGGTATGTGTATGCTTGCTAACATATACCTACTTATATTTACATTATTACATAATTCATGATTCAACAGCTTTTTGGCTTTTATAATTACCTAACTGTTTTTTATACTTTATGTACAAACAATTATTATTCGGTTATATTTCAGAATTAATTTCAAATCAATGCTCAATACAATATCTATTTATCAGAATATTAAACTTGAAAAAAAATTAGTTATAACAATGGAAAAAACTTTGAATAATTCACAAATCGATATAGTTTGATTGACTTTTAATTTGATTGAATTCTTTTCATAAAGTCCAACTATTTACAGAATTTTTGTCATTAGTTTCAAGCGAGTACTCACTAAAAATGAACTAGTGAATATTCACTGTTTTACATTTACTTACTTACTTAAAAAAAAAAAAAATTAGCAAGTAATCAAACATGATTTAATTTTGATAGAATACTTCACGTATCCATCAAAGGTTAATTTTATTATTTCTCTGTTGTTTTTTTTCTATATTTTATGATGTAGACAAATGGTCTGATAATTAGTTTAGCTCCAGTTATTAAGTTCTTGATAATAAATAAATTGGATGAAATAAAAAAAGTTTAATAGTATCAAGAAAAAGAGACTAAAAAATTATGACTCTGATTGATTTCAATAAATAGAATTGGTAATATTAAAAAGGAAATTATACTTGTAATAATAATCTGTATAAAAAGGTAACAAAAGATCGCGTTTAATCATACCACTTCATTACAATATCAAACATAAAAAGTTTATAAATAATTATACTTCTTCATGCATATTTGAATGATTAAAAAATTTCTGAAGTTATTCAAAAGAATAAAGTAATTACATGACTATTTTTCTGTCTAATTAGTAGATAAAAACTCGTATATTACTGAAACGAAATTTATGTATTAAATTACAAAAAATTTATTTTTGTTATCACATTACATTCAACAGAAGTGCTAATTTTATATATGAACAGTATCGGTCTTTCGACGTATTGAATTACGACGTAGTAATTAGCTTAACCCCATTATCTGTTGACGCTGATATGCATATAATGAATACGGAAATTTCATTTACGAACGTTTATATATTCCAACATCTAACAGGTAGACACATATGAATAAGTATTTTGTCGAATTACCTTTTTTTTACTATGATGATTAATAATAATTAAAAAAAACGATATTTTAAAGAATAGAAAAAAAAATATAACGTACAAGTATTATTATATAAAAGAAATTTGGAAATAACAAGCACGAGTTAATTTTGTTACTTATCGTATAGCAATTATCGTGCAATTAAGTCTTTTCATGTAGAATATTTAACTGAATGCGTTTTTAGCGGAGAATATACGAAACGAATAAAAAGTAAGTAAGGAAGAGAACAAGCTTGGTAGTTTTCACAAAGTTCAAATCGTTTTCCAATATTATCTGCAACTCATGCTGATAATTGGAAATTTTCTCAATTAGAACATTCAATCAATTTATTTATCAGTTATTTTTGTGGAAATATTGTACTTGCAGAATTGCAAATCAAAAAATCCTGACTTTGAATTTTTTTCCATTACATGACTGCACTAATTATGATTTTTTAATTACACATCAAAGAAAGAATATTCAACATTATTATTATAACTTTTTTTCTATAAATATTGAAGTTAATCTTCAACAGTTTTGAATTGATTAGTATATTCATCATCAGCTCTTTCACTAATCCAAGCTTTCAATGATTGTAGTTATGATGTGATATATAATTTTTTCTGATCAATCAAATGTCGACAATTGACAATAATTGTCTTTTAATTAAAAGTTTTAGTTATTAAAGAACTGATAAAATATTAATCTTATTATTATGATGGTTATGATTAATATTATTATTATGATATGTCAAAAGCTATTATTGTTATTAATATAATAGAAAGCATTATAGCATTGGTTTGAATAGAAATCCCGTCATTTTCTTCATTGTCTGAACGACGTCGAGGATTTCCACTTAAGCCAATTATCTCGCCGCTACGGAAACTGTAGGAGATTTGAGAGAACGCGTTAATTTATGCGAATTGAAAATATGGCAATTAGAACGATGGAATGTCTATCTCCTTTGTAATCCAAATATTCGGTGAATTCTATCAGAATTATTGATTGATAGACAGACAACCAATTTCAATGATTCAACCACTAAATTTACTCCTTTTTAATATACCCATTCATCTGGCTTATAACTTTGAGTTGCATCTGGCTATAACTCACTGCAAAAAAAAAAAAAAAATTACCCAAACGTTTTCAATTCCATGTCAGTTTTAATCTCATAGCTTTTTTATAATTTTTTTTTTTCTACTAATCACTTATTTCAAATAAACCTTCTAATCCATCATTATTCATTATCAAAGCTTTTTGTTCTGTTGAAATGGTTGTGAACAAAACATTTGTTTCGGATTTAAAAGTAAAACTATATTGTGGTAAACATCATCTGTCAAATGTTCAATTCATTATGTATAATTTTATTGAAGTTGTACAACAATTAAATAATATAACAATGAATAACTGTGAAATAGAATTCAATAATGATAAAGTTTTATGAAAATGAGCACTGTCATAGACATCAACTACCTATACAGAGTTTACTTCTTGTAGTTTCAACTTCTAACCTGTCACTTTCCATTCTCTGCACTTCAGTTATTTCTAACCTTTAATTTCTTGAAATTTACAAAACGTGAAGTTGCGAAGTAGTAGACAAGAACTTTAGAAATATACTGGAAAATAATAACTCAGTGAATAATTTATTTTACATGTTGAAGAAAAATTCAATAACAATAATGATGTTGAGAAAATAACTAAAACAGAAATGAAATAATAATAACAATATAGTATAAGAAAAGTTTCAAAATAATAGTAAGAGATTAACATTAAAAGAGAGAATGACAAAGAGATTAATAGGAGTCAAAGTGTATACGAAGCCAATTAAAGTGTAAATGTATGGAGATGTTATCAGCATATCAAGTAGCACTGTTGCTAGAAAATCATATAGCATAAAATTAAAAATGCTACATCCATCAATAACATTTGTTGAATTATAATGTCAATGCATAAATTTAATCTGATAACCATTGTTGTTATATAGAGTATAGAAGTTATATTGGTAGTTTAGAAGTCTAAATTCTCCATTTGTTTTGAGTGATATGAAATTCATGACAAGACTTTACATAGTTAACTCAAATTGAATAAAAAACATTTTTGATTGTCTATTCGTTAACTAATCTATAATGCAACAGTTTTTTTTAATGAAAAACATTGTTGAAGATAATTGTCATTGGAATTTTAATAATATTTAATTGTTTAATAAACAAAAAAATTTATTTATTCAAAACGTATATTGTAACCAGAAAAAAACTACACAGCAGAATGATTTGAATCTTGAAAATCTGGTTGATATTTTAAAAATTATTGAACAATAAAAAAAACTTGAAAAAACACTGAACCATTTTTCCCACAGAAAGTCAAGTGGATTTTTGGACGCAGACTGAAACTGGCTGTGCTTGCAGCTTTAACTCATCCAGTAAAAATTGCGCGTGTTGTGTATTATCTGGTGGCTGTAGTTGTGGTATCGCTATGCCCAAAAGATGTGCTCAATGCGGTTTAGAAAAATATTGTACAAACAGTGAGTAAAAAATAGTTATTACACTTTTGATTTTATTATTGTTGAGATTAATATTAATTTATTTATATTTTTTTATTTCATTGTAGTGTGCAATATAACGTTAGATAGTAAAGAGCTTTTGAGAAAGTCAAATCGGGCTTTTGGTCAAATAAAATCCCCATCTGTAGAAGGACCGACTGAGTGTACTTATAGGTTTATCCCAGATGTAGGTCAAAGGGTTGAATTACAGATCTATCGTTTAATCTCCATTGGACGTCACAATGGAAAGTCGTAAGTCTTTATTTTACTTGAGTACATATATGTATACCTAAAAGCGATTACTAATCTTTTGTCATATGTTACTTTTAACTATTTACCTTAAACACATTAAATAGTATCATGATTAATCAAGTTTTATTATTCAATTTTTTTTCTTGATAAAAATTCTTTGTACAATTTTAGATTTTAATTTAGTTCTTTTTTTTTTGTAAATGAAATTTTCATATTATTTTTAGATGCGAAGGTGGTTGGCTTGAATTGGAAGGTGGTGCTCGAATTTGTGGCTCTAATGTGCGCTCCGACCCACCTGTCGTTCTTTTTTCAGACAAGTCACCAGCAACACTCTGGATGAAGTGAGTTATTGATATTTTTTTCCATCATTTTACTATCACAGACATAAATTTACTCGTTGGCATTTTTCACAATAACTGATATAAATTTTCATACCTCTATCAGTGCACATATTTTTCGATCAATTTAAGATATTAAATTGTCACAAATCAAGTTACTACAAAATTTAATTTGACATTTTTATTTTGTTTCTTTGTTTGTCGAATTGTTATTATTAAATAACGTTAAATTATATAATGATAAAAAAAAATCCAACTATACCAATTTATTTAAAAAAAAATTTTGATGTTATAATTTTTCTCTTTTTAAAAAAATTAAAATTACAATAAATTAACTAAATATTGATGGAAAAAATAACCAAATAGATGTCAAAAGAAGAAAAAAACAATTGAATAATACAAAGTATATTAATGTAGCAAGTTCAATGCACTTGTAGTGAACAGACCGATGTTTAAGCTCAAAAGCTGTTGAATCACAAGTGTCTCGACCGACAAAGCGGTGAGAGAGGAAGATCATTTATTGATTGTGCCGGGGGCACGTAACTGGGAAGTGAAACCCGGCAGGGTGCCAGACAGGAAGAAAGGGGGCTTATCGACACGCTACGCGATAGAAATGCCCGAGCCATGGAAAATGGAAAAGCTCTTTCAACCGACAAGAGCAAACATGAAAGGAATTTTCATCGCCGAAGAATCGCCGATGAATTGCCGATGCTGTTGCCAGAACCACTCACAGGAGCAGTCATGATAACTTGAACCTCTATAGTTTTTTGTAAAATCATTTTTTTTTTTTTTTTACTTTTTTCTTTATCGCCAGTCTTTCAATATTACTAGTATCTTAAATTTTTTATTTTTAACTTTAACTAATAGCAAATTGATTTTATTTATGTTTTAGAATAAATGAAAATACAACGAGATCTCAATTTTTAGCGTACTTTAGTTTTGCATCAAGAACAAGCACGTCGGTTGGATGGCCGATGAAGGGTGGGAAAGCAGTGAATAGTACAGGTGAGCCCATTGAAAATTTTCGCAATTTTCCATATTTTAAATTGAGTGGTTTACTCGTGAGAGGTTACTTTCCACTTAAAATTTAAATTAAAAACTAATTTTTTTATTCTGATAAAACGATGATGACAGGAAAAAAAATTTTTTTGAAGATTAAAATTCACTTTGAGTAAAAAAGAAAAACACATATCGAATAACATTTCAGTTACATTTTGGCTTTCTAATAGATTTCGATATACTTTTATTCTACTTTATATACCGTACAGAAAGCTAATTTTCTATACCAACGTACGAATTTCCTAGAACAAACAGAATGACGTAATTTCACCTTAGTTATGGGAAGAAAATTATGCAAGGTTAAGTGTAGGATAGAACTGGTCTAGCTAAGCTTAACTAAATAAGGGTAACGCAGAACACTCAGTTGTCTGAGACCATTTAACTGTCCTATACGGAACACTAACAATGTAAACACGAATAGTAATGCTTTTCGAAAATTGTCCCTCACCGTTTCCCATCATTCCTTGCCCTTTAACAATAAATAATCGGATTTAAATAAATTGAAATTCCCGATAACTCTATCTGAAACGCGACTCGAATCACTGATTTAGCATTGAATATTCATCAGTTGAACTTTCTTTTTTCAACCACATAACTTGAATATTACGAACGGCAAAAGTTAATAAAAAGTACAAAAATAAAAGCTATAATTTCAGTAACTCTATTCATAGACTTTCAATGATTATATTTGACAGCTAAATCTGTTATCCATTACAATCAAATTTTATTGATGATCATTTTTTTTTACAACACAAGAATATCGTTACAAATAACATTCATTTCTTTTACAGAATGTGATTGGATCTTCGACGATTGTTTAAATACAGATTGCATACTGGCAAGTCCTTCCTATCCAGGTCTTTATCCTCCAAACATCCACTGTCACTACCTCATCAAATCAGATGTCAATGTATCAATTGTTATAACTTTCAACTCTCTACTGTTAGCATATAAGTAAGTAAAACTCATTATTTAATATATATATATATATATATCAAAGAAATACCAATTATTAACTCATGAGTGGAGCAAGTTGTTCCTGCAAGAGTCGTTGATATTAAAAATGAAAGCTTTATGATATCTTTATGTATTGAGTAAAGGTAAATATCCATTGATAATTCGATTTAAATCTTTCAATAAATTTCTTTAAGTATTCGAATTTATATAAAAAATTTCTAGCAAATCTTACTGTATTGTGATCTCGATTGTACTTGGATACAGCTCGTTTTATAAGTTTTATTTCATCTATTAAATTATTATTTATTTTAAATAAATATTAGATATCCATTTTGAATTGTGATACTTTGAATGATGAAAATTTAGCAAAATATTATGTTACTCATATTGATTAATATTCATGATAAATTTTTGCTGAAATAACAAAAAAAATGATAAAAATTTCTGGCTACCAATTAAAGTAGATAGTTAAAAAAATTTTAATCTGTCAGTTCAATTTTTCATTACAGATAGATTTATATTAAGAATTAAAAACTCCTCATAATTTTTATTTCATAAAATTTTCAACTAAAGTGAGAAAAACTGTTTAATTTTGTAATTTAAAATATTTAAAACACAAAGTTATTAATAAAATTGTGAATTTTCAAGAGAAGTTGCAATTTTTTTCCACTAATTATTCTGCAACTAATTATCTATAAAATAAATCGGAAATTTTATTTTTTAAAAATTGTGGTTTAGTGAACATAAAATTTACTGTGAACGAAAATTCAAGTAAAAAGAACAAATTATCGTGATCAGTATCTCAATATTATAACTAGTTTGCTAAGTAATCATGTTCAATCAATCTCTGTAAAAGTCCCTTATTATTTTGAATAAGTTATGCAATCGTGATACATTTTTAAATTAAAAAAAAAATAATAATAAAGGTAATTTCTTACCAATCACTTAACATTAAAAAGTAAACAACTTCTCAGTAAATAGAACTAGAATGTAATATCTGTTAATGCAGAAACAATTATGTTGATTGAATCATCATCCTTTTGTATTAATAAAATAATAATTGTCTAAAAAAGTATAAAACTTTTAAGTTAAGTTGATAAAAGTGCTATTGTGGTTACGTGTGAAAATTTTTATTTTTTACTTTTATTTTTAATTGAATTCCGAAAATTTAATTAAAGAGTTGCAGTATAGTTATTAGATAATATGAATTAGTCGAGAAACACTTTGCTGACTACTACATACATATACCACAAATATATTTACTAAAGTACTTAATGGAAGTTAGACATGATTCATACATGTGTCTGATTATTCGTATACATCTACTACTGTGTCTACTAGTGTTATGTCATAAATATACATTTAGATATTATAATAATTATAATATGGCATTAGAACTTCGAACAAAAACCTTTTTAAATAACATAATTCTCTTCTCATCTCTACCCTACTTATAGAAAGTTGAATCAAACTAACCAAGCCAGTATTATATTGATTCTTCTTTCTTCAGACATTTCAATTCAATGACTCACTTCTGAAATATATGAAAAATGTGCTCACTTCATTGCTCGCATTTCATTTCAGGATGTTTTGATTTAAGATATGTCAAAAGAATGAAATAATTTCAATAATTTGGTAAAAATGAAATAAATAAAATATTTAAATTAAAATTTATAACTAAAGGAAAAAAAATTCATTAAAAGTTGTAATAAAAGAATGAGTTGTTGTAAAATTAAATAAACATCAAAGTAATTTGACTGATGAAAAATGTTAAAATAAAATATACTTGTTTTCGAAGCAAATTAGAAAAATTTATTATTTCATAATTGAAAGTAATAATAATAATTAATTGACTATTACGTACATATTCATAATTATTAAAATGTTTTTATTAAAATTCCATTCTACTGGAGAAAAAAAAATGTTCTCTTTATTGTAGTAGCAATTATTGATACTCATATTCTCTCAAGAATTTCTTTTAAATTTTTTCATAGATTTTTTTTCGTCTTAATTAACTCGAGAATTCTATTAAATGATCTTTCATTTATTAATTGAATAATACTTATTTACGTTCTATTCATCTTTCTGTTTATTGTACCTCAGTTCATTACTACAAAGTTATCTTTTAATTAATACTATACAGATCATTTCAAGTGGATTTTATTATCAAAAATGAGTTAATAAAAATATCCTATAACAAAACAGATTATGTTGATATAATAAATTGGAAAATTAAAAGGAAAAGTTTTATTACATTTTCATTTATTAAAATCTTAAGAGTCATTTATGAATATTTTCAAGCAATTCTATCTGTGTACATAGAAGAACAAATTTGTCTGAAACGATAACTCACGAAAGATAAATGACATTACATTCATTAGGTTGTCAATTGAGGCATATTGACAATGTAACACTAGTTTTTCTTTTTTTTTTAGTATGATTTAATATAGTTGTTTCTTTGTTAAATAAATAAATTTCAAACATAACATTTTAAATGAAACTTATAATGCAATTTCCATTAAATTGACCAAAAACAACTTGTTTTATTCCAAAATATGTTTATTGAAAATATAAAATTAATCTGTTTACTCATTTTCTGATTAATTGAAAAGCTGAAAAGTGAAAACAGCTTTTCAAACATTCATATGTGAATATATTGTATAGGATTTCATTTTAAATTTTAAATACAACATAAAGTATTACTGTTGATATGATTAATTAATGTTGTACATTTTTTAATATTTTAATATTAATTACATATTTTAATAACAATGTTGAATAATCTCTAGTTATCAGTAAAAGTAATGATCACGACTTCTAATGGTTTATTTTATTCAATATGAATTTTTTAGGATTTCAAAAATATTATTCTACAATAAACGAATTAAAAAATCATTGAAAAAAAACATACTGAATAAACAGAAAGCTGATGTTCATACAACAAAAAAAAAAATATTTTTTTATTCACTTCAATACTCTCATTGGTTACACAATACAATTTGTACTGAATAACATGCGTTCAGTAGCGTAGAAAAATATTTTCTATGTAACTTTCAATAAAAATTTCAAATAATGAAAAAAAACATTAAAAAGTATTGATCAAGTAATAATATAATTTTTTATACACTTAGCAAAGCTTTGAAAAAAAAAAAAAATATATATTCAAAAATAAAACTTTTATAAAATTTTTTGGAACAATGATAAATATTGCCCGAAGGAAGTTTTTTAGTTACATTTACTTGTTTATTTAACTAAAATTCAGCTATTGTATATTGTTTGTGCTATTAGAAAAGTTTATTTGATAAAAAATTTTTTCTTTTTATCTTATTTCAGAGACTTTAATCATTGCACTAATGATTACGTTGCTGTGTATGCGGGTTCTACTACTTCAAGTACAATGTTAAAGAAGCTTTGTAACAATGAAAAGATCACCGTAGTTCATTTTGGTTCAGAAGTTCTCATAGAATTTAAGTGAGTATTTTTTTATTTTATTTTATCTCAAATTTATCGGTGAATCAATAATTTCAGCGCAGCTGGATTTTGTACTTGATGTCAACATTCGGCTTTTAGTAGAATCTAAAATATATAAAATAGCTCCCACTAAATTTTCTCTTGTAAATTTACATACTTTTAATCCTATGAAAAATACCACTAAAACTCTATTTTATAATATTTTTTATTAACTATAAATAAAAAATAGTTAATAATTAATTAAAAATATAACAAATTTATATTTAAAATCATTAATAGAATATTTACAATTATAAAACCATATTTAAGTCGATTAAATATCAGTAAAAAAGGAATAGAAACTCAACGAAAAGTTCATTTTATATTATCTTACTGTTTCCAATATAAACTGGATCAATAATATAATATAAATGGAATGAAATTTTGATTAACATATTGATTCACAGGTCAGGTCCAGAAATACCTCCTTTTAATTACAATGGATTTTTTGCTCAAGTTACTCTCATCCAAATGACGACTGTGCCACCAACTACCACTTCTATTTCTAATACAAGTAATATGAATATAAAATATTTATTGTAAAATATTTTTTTCTATACGAATACTTTTAAAAATTTTTTATTTAATTTCATAATAAAAATATAATTTATTAAACAAATAATTATTTGCAGTTAAAACAGTTGAAGATACGTATGATAAATCCAATCATCACATCAAATATAATCGTAATTTCAACGAAATATATATAAGCAATACAACTTCAGGCTGCAATTTAGAGATCGATGGAACTATATTACGATCCGGCCACTATGATACTAGAGGAAAACACAAATTAACTAATTGCCGTTTTATTTTTCGAGGTCGCCCTTTTGACACTGTTCACATCCTTCTAACTGGTTACAATCTTAGGTATTATTATATCCAATACTAGGTCTATTAAAAAACTGTCTAGTCAAGCTGTTTAATTGATTTGAGGATATTTTTAAATTATAAAGTCTTGTAATAAACATTATTGACTATAAGAGACAATAAAAATATTTGACGATATTTTTAATCAAAAAGAAAATGAATAAAATTTTGATTTAACAAGCTCGTTTTATTCTGTTGACGTGTTTCAGTTCGCCAGACTGTAAATCAATGATTGAAATATGGGACGGAAATTTAGCTGACGGAAAGAATGAAAATACCATCAAATCTTCAAAGAGAATTTGTAGTCCGGCACAAAATATCAGACAACCACGACAATTTCAAAATTCTGAAAGGTAATTTAAGTTTTTCTTTTTCTAGTCTTTTAAGCTGTTAGTTGGTTAAGAAAATTTTAGTGTAAAATTTTTATAAAATATTAATCATGACAATTATTATCTAAAGAATCAATTATTTAGTTATCTACAAAAAAAAATACATTAATTTTTAATTTTTTTACAATATTAAGTATTCATAACTACTATATAAATAAATTTACGGTTAGTTATGAGCACACTACATCATAAAATATGTGTGAATCTGTTGCTCATAAGTTTTATGCCCATTAATATAATAAAAAATTGATGTGCAGTCTGAAATATAAATAATCTTATTTGCTTTGCCATGTTTTAATCAAATTATTTTTGTAACGAGAAAATATTAAGGTTTTTTAGACGGAAAAAATCAAAATTTTATGTAAAACAAAAAATATTAAAGCATTATTTTACACAGGTACACGGAATCAGAACATTATTCATCAACTGGTAAAGAAATGACGATTGTTTTTAAACGTCTTGATAATAAATCTGATGATGAACAGTTTATGGACTTTTCTTATTATTTTCATGACGGTAAGAGCAAAAATAATATTAAAAGAATAATTTAAGTTTTATTTAAAATGGATTTTTTTTGATAAGAAAGTTTATTAATTTTGTTTTCATTATTGTGATATTGCAGAAGGCGAAGGAGGTACATTACGACCCTCGAGTACTTGTGATGTTGAATATTACGGTTTAACTTCACCGAAGCAAGGAAAACTAACCAATCCTATTCTCAAATTTTTTCCTGTTTATGATTCTATAGGATGTAAACAACATTTTATTCCCGCTTCAAATCAATCATTAATTTTAATTGTAAGTAAATTAACGATTTATTATGCTTCATTTAATAGTATATTTGTATTTTATTTTATCTACGTTACATATTTATTTGTTAGATCATCAACAGTTAAAGATTTTTTATAATGTTGATAAAAACTTTTCTATTTAAAAAATTTTATGAAAAATTTCAAACTTCTATTGTTTTCGTAAATTAAGTGAAAAATTCTATCAACTTTTATTATAGAAAAGAAGAAAATTATCGACTAATTCCATTAAGAGTATCTAAAAGTATTTTTTCGTTTGAGTAACTTTTCAATCATCATTATGAGATTTTTTTAATAGCATTAAAAATTTTACTATTAATCATATTTTTATTCTGTCAATCAGTAATGAAAATTCTTCACATACTTTATTCAAGAAGTTAAAATTGAAATTGAAAGCATTATAAAAAAAATTATTTTTGTTATTTTTAATTAACAATAACATTTAATGATCAATATATATTATTATTGAACATTTGAATTTTTTTTTCATGAAAACATTATCATAAAATACTTATTACTGTGAAATAATAATGATAAGAAAATTAATTATTGAATCATTTTTATTATTTCATGAAAAGATCGATAATGCCTTCACGATTAACTCTAATAATCAGCAATGTGAAACATTGTGTGGTGACAGTGGTTGTCGTTGTGTCAGCGATAAACTTCTTAATGATATAAATCATCTGAAAATAATATCTGAACCTAATCATGTAATCATATGCTTATGCGGAAATTATCAGGTAGTTATAGTACTAATAATCTCTGTATACTCTCAATGCAAGACTTAGATAATATTTGAAATTGGTATATTGGTTTACACAGAACTGGCTACCGCTCAGAGTTCGAAGTTGGAGTCCACTTTACATTGAGTGGTTCCACTCATCAGGATCAAACCTGAACTTGACAGCGAATTATAAGTTTATAGAAGATACTTACTGTGGTGACCACTCAACTTCTCAACTTCAAGGGTTTGTGAGAGCAGGAGACTTGACAAATAACGCGATTACAAATCAGTATTATCAACAAAAATGTACTTGGTTATTGGAATCGAAGATTGACCGTCAATTGATTATTGAGATGGAGTCATTACAAGATAGTAAGACATTTTTTAATTTTATTATACTGTCATCAATTATATCTCTTGTTAAATAATAAATTATAACAGGACCGTGTACTGCATGGAATTTAACGATACATGAATATATAATAAGTGAAAATCCTATTGGACAAAGACTTTACACATTTTGCTCAAGAGATAGACGAAAAAATTTTACTCTTCCATGGAGAATGAATACAGCTATTATTCGGTACGTGATGATTCAATATTTTACGTAAAGCTCATTTTTAATTTTTCAGTTAAAGCAGCATATAATACTAAATTACTGAAATGATAATATTTTTATTGTATAGACTTCAAGCTTTAAGTAGAACGGCACCGCAATATATTATTAAATGGCAAAGTATTACAGTAGCAAGTAGCACACGAAAAAATGAACCATCACCTGCACCTGATTTCGTATTGAATTCTTCAGTTTCTCGGTTCAAATTTTATCATCAAACATTGATAACATCGAAAATTTGGACAAGTATACACATGATTTTTATAATGTCATTGTTTAATTAAATAATAGTAATATGATAATTAAATTATTATCACAAAATTACTAAGAAGATTAACCAGATCACTGAAAAATTCTTTTCAGAAAATTAGATACTCTATAAAATTGTAGATCAGGCAATAAAGAATTATGGAGAATCATATATAAATAAGTAAATACATACATAAATATATATTTGTAAATATTATAAATAGAAAAAAAAAGAATAGTATTTATAGAATTTGTACAAAAAAGCGAAATTTGAAAAGCCTAAAAAATAAATATATTAATTATAAATAGATAGTAATTCTAAATTAAATTTAGAGTCAACACTTAACAAAGATAAAAGGAATAAAATTCCTTACATGTAATAGGTAAAAAAGTCAACTGTGTGAGATTTCTTAATTACTGGTATTTTGATAAATAATTTTTAGATGTGAATTGCAGTTTTAAATAGAAATGAATTGTTTGACTACGAAAAAAAAAATTCTAATCTATACCTTCGACATAAATAATACTAACAGACATACAACTACGTCTATTACTAAAATACAGTATCAGTATAATAAAAAAAAAAATCTTTTAACAGAATAATATATATACATATACATAGTGATATGTTTAATTTACAATTTTAAATAAAATAGAGATGATAAAATATATATCTACATACGAGGCCGAAACTACTATAAAAATCGATAATAGAAAAAAATTATTATAAACAATCATTTTTCACTTTTTATATTCTCTTTTATATTTTAAATATGTGTAAAGCGTTAACATGATTCAATAACATAATAGTTGGATTATTAACCGAAATGTAACTTTTAAATTTTATTGTACGAACAATAGTTTTATATAGGCAATTTAACATATCAACATGTGTGTAATCTGAGAATGTAAAAGATGTTTGATTTAACTTGTTTACGTTTATTTCATAATGAGAAACATTTTCACTTTAATATTCTCACTTCAAAGGGAATAATTTAATGTTAAAATTCAAGTTAATACTCCTAAATTTCATACAAATATTAAATTACCAACTATTTACATTATTAATCGTATCATAAATCATACTTTATGAAGAAATCATCTCATTTTTAAGCCGTCCAAAGTAAGGAGCACAGTTCAATTAGTACGATTAATACGTGTGTGTCTCGACCTCGTCATAACAATATTGAAAGTCTACAGATTATTATAAAAAGTAATAAAATTTTGTTGTTGAATATCAACGAAGATTTTAAAATACTTTTAAAAATCATCAATGTATTCAATTAATTTTGCTCATTTATTTGCATCATAATTTTTATTGTAAAAAATCTGTGGAAAAAATATATTTATGTATTATTGGAGTCTCGATGAATTGGAAAAACTTTGTCAGTAAAATAAAAAGTATTGACAAAATTTTTTTATATGCTCAATAATAACATTTTAATTGAATCGAATCGTTTTTAATTATGACGAACTTAAAATTTTTTTATAAAATCCATTGAACACGAACCTTATTAATATTAAAAAACTGATATTTAGATACTATATAACGATGAACTATTATGTATAAGTTACTAGTCAAATAAGTTAAATTAACATAATACGTCCGAGTAAAAATTGATGAATTATATTATTTACAATGATAATTATCATTACTATTATTACTATACAAATTTTAACAGCAAGTAAATGATAAAAGTATGATTATGTTACACACACTTATGTATATATGTATTGATTTATACCAATCAACAGATTATAATAAATATTCCATTGTTTCAGATTTTGGTTGTTAATGAATTGATTACAGAAACAATATAATATAATAAACTTTTTTAATTTATTTATCAACAAAAAAAAATTACATTTTAAATACTTAATTCATTCAACCGTAAATTTAATAAAAAACAAAATAACTAAGTATAAAAATATACATGTATTATTGACTCAAGTACTAGACATTATTTTTAAAATTTATTAAAAAATGAAACATTTGGCACGAGATTCGCAATTTAGTATTGGTAAAATAAAAATCATTGTTAATAATCGCACTTATTACAGTTGAATCAACATAAATTGAACAAAAAAAATATTTTTTATGACTACAACCATGACACTTTTATATAACAAGATGGAATAGATTCTCACAGCCTTACTTACGACACACGTATTCTGAATAATTGCATTTTTCACTCCACGCTAGTGATGTTTTTAACACTACAGTTTCGTTATTGTGCACTACTACATTTTAAAATACATTTATGTGTGATACATTTATATTTATATAAACGATCAAATATAATAAATTTTGATTTTTTTTTATATAATTTATAAAACAAAACAATATTTTATTAAACTTTTCTAAAAAAAATCCAATTAAATTGGCATAACTATTTTATGATCTTTTTTTTTTCTTTTAATAACTATTCTGTATAAACAAAGTGCATATATTATTTTGATTGGCAAATAAGTATTATTATCTAACTTTCAAAAATTTTTGTATAATTGAGTTATCTATAATCTTTAAAAAATTATATATTATAAAAATAATATCTAAAATATTTTTGTTATTAATAAAGAAAATAACAATGTAAATAAATACTCTTCAGATCAATAAATTTTTTAAAAGTATTATTACGTAATGAATTGTTGAAAGGATAACGAAATTTTAAAGAAATGCAATATTCACTTTAGTTGAAATAAATTTCAAAAATATTCACATAAGTATAAGTTCAAAAACTCATTTGCCATAAAAATATTTCAAGTTATAAGTAATCAATATTTATAGTCTTTTTATATCATAAACGTGAATATAAATGTACATACAAGATAGTATTATTTCAACAATTCTATGGTATAAATATTGTAAAATTGAAAGACATCTATTATTTCTTAATGATATACCGGCGGTATCATTAATGAACAAAATAATAAATTCTATTATTAAAAAAAAATATATCGAAATACATTACCGGTTTTTATAAAAAATATCTTCATGACACATTTTAACATTGATAATATTTATACACGTAAGACTAATAACATGATACTTGAACGAAGTAAAACTTGACGACGAGAAGTTTATGATGGAGCATTATGGATATAAGCTGATGCAGAATTTAAGAGACCTAACCGCTGCTTTTGCTTGCGTTGCTCAGTCATCTAATATGAAAAAGTTTTATAAATAAATAAAGATATATATTTTTTTCAACCACTGCAGTTGGATATAATAAATAACTAATTTACAATCATGACCTAATAAATTTTTAATAGATACTTTACCTGGTCACGTAATTCAGTAAGTTGTTGAGACAAACATTTGACCAATTGCTGAGTAGATTCCAGTTGCGATTGCAAGCTACGAAGTTCCACCTGCTCACCTTCACCTTCATCTGCTGCTAGAGACTTCGCTCTTAATCTTGGAAACCAGTCAAGATTACGATCCTATAAAACACAAAATTTTTCTAGAATATATTCTCTAAATAAATCATGACATATAAAGTGGATGTCAAGTAAATATTGTTGCAAGTGTAGTATGACGTCTGTCTAGTTTTATTAATTTCAAAAAAATCATCATGGATTATTTCTTAATAAAAAAAAAAACTCTCTCAAAATAATTATTCCTTTATTTTAATACTTGTAATGTCCTTAATAGCTTCATAGCTACGTTAATTTTAATTTAACACTTTGCTCTATTTAAAATAATGAACCACGTAGAAAATTAAAATAAATAGTAAATAAATATCGCAATGCATTTAAATTACAATTAGGAAATTTAGAGTTTCTAAATATTTTAGTAGAAGCGATTAAGAATGTAATTAAGCGCTGGTGACGTCGGAGAATATTGATAAACCTTAGTGCGTAAGGTAATTACGAACTTATGTGTCATCAAACTATTATGGAACAAATAGTATGGCCCAAAAGTATTGGTCAAATCAGTACAATTAATGATGAGCCATAGGACCTTTTTTTTATAAAATTAATTGTAAAGTTTAATTAAGAAATACTATTCCAATCTTGTGATCGCGAGTTAAGTGCCTAATTTTTGGAATGCCTGATCTTTTGAATTCGTTGCTGTTAATGAATATTCAACTTGTAATTATGTCTTCTAAAGCAAGGTATTATTTAATATTTTACGATCAGACATAACCGAAGGATTATGAATTATTTTACATGTAAGCAATTGAATTTAAGGAAAAATTACTTATATGGAAATGTGAAAATTAACATTAAATACATACCTTAACCATAGCATATACATAAGATTCTGGTCCAGTGAATTCAGTAGGATCTTTGACCTTAACAAGAACAATAAAGTATAGATAATGCCACATATTATGTTCATGTTTAATATGTTCTTCGAATGAAACTGTTTTATTATCAAAAGCAGATCGATTTAATCCGCATATAAAACATGTATTCTTCAATATTAATTCCTTTTGTTGTTTCTCCGATCGCAAATCCGCAAATGTATCAATAATAACACCAAAAATGAGATTAAGTACAATAATAATAACAATGAAGAAGAATAGAAGATCATACACTACTCTAGCAACAAATAATGGTTCTGTACTTGATGGAGCTCGTAATACATCCCCAATTCCACCTCCATTTCTTAGTCCTTGATTCATTGTTGTAACAATACACATTACTAACGAATCACAAGCTCGTTCCTTCATTTCACCACCTGAATTTATTATTTCTGCAGTATTTTTATCATTCATTGTTTTAGCGTACTCTGATAATGTTTCAGTTTTTTGACATTCTTCAAATTCTTTAGATTCACAAGTTTCTGGGGCTTTTGTATCAGCTATTGAATAAACATCATCATCAACAGTAACAAGAAAGTCATCTTTGAAAAACATATAACCAATAATAGAAAACATGTAGACGAGAATCAAAGCGAGTACTGCAGTTAAGATGATAGATCTTCCATTTCGTGTTACAGATCTTATAACGTTTAGTAGTGTTTCTTCACGATAAACTACATCAAAAAGTAAAACAGAATAGAAAAATGGGTGCATACAAATTCCAAGTATACAGAAAATAAGATAAAAAGCATGATACCAAAGTTCAGCATCAGTGATTATTTGGTCAGGAGTTTTAGTTAATGTTCCTTGATTACCAATGATACTTATCATGTGAATTATTTTTAATATAAGAGTTGATATTCCGAGTAACCATAAAGTAGGTTCTGGGCCAATTGAAAAAATTAATCTGAGTATTGTTGAAGCGACTAAAGTTCTTATTCCGGATTCTCGTGGCAAAGTAATAACAATTGTTCCAGATATCAACATTACTGCCCATATTAAACTAGATAAATGTGGAATAATTAACTTAGGCACAGCATCGACAAATGGATAAAAAAATGCCACAATAAGATTAATAAGTACGGCACAGTTGAAAAGAATATTACTCCATAATGACATATAACTACTCATCCAGAAAAGCATTGGCTGACCACGAAGTTTCTTTTGCCACTTCATTTCATTAAACATATCTTCAGTTCTTTCAAAGAAATCTGATACTTTGGAGCCTTGATCATCTCGCTCGGCAGTATGAAGAACTTTAATTTTCGTATCCATGGTAATTAACTCACAAATTTCAGGAATAGGGAAGACTATTTGTTCCAAAGTTCGATCATGCCTTACAATTTCAATTTGTGCGGTGTGAGTTGCGTAATACTGAAGAGCTTTATTAATTTTCTCATCAGTATTATTAGATTCTGATGGCTTAAGCATTGCAGATAATTCTTTATTGTGTTGAGCCAGTTGATGACATAAAATATAAATATTATGACCTACTTCTTTTGGCGATACTCCATCATCACCATTGTTAGAAGTGTCATCATTATCGTTGTCATCGTCTAAAGAATCTTGATGGAATGCTCTGCATGCAACATCAACCAATTGTCTAGGATTCATGTTATATAAAATTCTCTCTGCATTTTCACTATCTCCTCGACTTTCCATTATAGCAAGTAATAATTTGCTTGCATTATTTTTTAGTTCTAAAATTAAATCCATGCGTGTTTTTCCTAATGGATTAATGTCATTAAGAATCAATGCTGTTATTATATCAAGTCCATTAGATTCATGAGTTGCTATACAATTTTGATTATCATGACAAGGACCTTGGCAATATTCAGTTAAAGTTTCGAGTGTTTGATTAATAAGTGCAACGTTATGCTCGTTAATATAAAGTCCAAGTAATCCAAGTCCACCAGTTGTAGAGCCACAAATACAATCCAAAAACATTAAAGTTTCTGATACAAGATTATAATTTGTTTTATTATTTTGATTGCGTAAAAAGTTTTGTAAATCTCGGTTGTGGTTTTCACAAAGCAATTGCAGAAATCGTAAAATTGGTTGCATTACTAAAACTTTGGCACTGAGAATACCTTCATCTCGTTCATTATTGACATTTATTCCAGTTCTGTGTCTCTCTAATTTTTCAGCTAACATATCTTCCAGCGCATATCCAAGAGCTACCGTATTAGATACATCTTCTCCAGAAGCTAAAGTACGTACATTTGCATAAGCTTGAGCTGTACTTACAGCTGCATTATTTAATTCCTCTCGTAATTCATCCGTAATAACAATTCCATTTGATTTACTAGACATTCTCTTCTTCGATATTTTCTCCAAGTCTCTATTCTGCTCTTTATCTTCATGAGCTTTTACGACAATGTCAGATGTATTAACAGTTACAGTCGATTTTATTTCTTGTTGAGAATCTTTCATTTTATCATGGAAAACTTTGAAAAATGATTGACTTAAATCTCCTCCCATTAGTTTATTAAATACACTTTTTTGAATAATAGGATTTCCTCCCTCTAAAAGAGCTATTCCTAATTCTACAGCTTCAACAAAAATACTTGGTGAATGAACACTTTTTATAACTAACTCAACAACAAGATCTGAAGCCCCTTCACGATCTAAATGACTTTGAACTTCATGTAAAGTACGACCAGCGCGACTTAAAATTTTTGCTCCTGGTCCATGAGTTACTGACGCTGAGCCTGGTGAATTTGATTCTACGTTGTCCATCTTTTGTAAAAATGTCTTGCCAAAGTATCGAATCAGTAAATTGTTTCTCAATGCATCGCCCTGTGAATAAATAATAAAATATTCTATATTTGTATGTGATAATATGAATATTAAATAAGATATTATTTCTAATAAAAATTAATAATTATTAAATTTGATTATAAGAGTTATAATAAAAATTTTAATATTCATTCTTATTAGATATAATAAAAAAATGCTTATTTGTTTTTTTTTGGTTTTATCTTCTGTTTGGACAAAAAAATAAACATAATGATAGGTTGATTAAATTACTATTACTTTTAGCAGGTATCATAAAACTTTCATAGGAAAATTCATACCATTTTTCTATTAAAATAATCAACCAAATGTTGTGCAGTAATTTTATAATTAAATTTGATGCTAAGCTTAAAATACATTGGACAACTATTGTAAAAAATTATAAATAAATCAAAATGGATAATAAGATAATAAATTATTCAATGATGAGTAAATAATCATACACACTTGTTATTATTTAGTTGTCCAATGCCTTTAAGGTAAATAAAAATGTATCATCAACTAGTGCGGATGAGAAAGCATGAGATATACATATAATCATGCATAATTATTCATTATAAAAATCGAACGTCTTAAACAATTGACGTAATAGTAATATAGTAGGTAAATTTACTCGACATATTTGGTTTAAAATTTATTTGGAATATTTATCTAAGCATTTTTTTACCCGTTGCTGTTGCGTCATTTGTTGTGAATGTAATTGTTGATTTGAATCAGTTTCTATTGGCAACTCGTTACCCTGCTTGACATCGGGCATTTGTTCAGGCTCATCTTCTAATTCCTTTGCAGCATGAAAACACTTTTACCTACAATTCTATTCTATCGTACTTACTTGGTCGTATTAATTTTCCTTTTTTTCTCATATTTTCATAAATTCATTTTTGTATATCGTGATTTTTTTTTCTATTCATATTTTTTTAATTACCATAAAATTAAAAACTCTTAACGTTAAACTAATATACAGTTATGACTGTTGCTCATGAAAATAGCAAGTTAAATAAAGTATTGAATAAATTTAGTGTTATTTTAAATGTTTCAGTATTTAATAATTCATTTTGAAAATATTATTTATCTAAACGGCTTTCTATAGCATCAATTATATTTATCAAGCCTAAGCGGCAAACCGTGCAAAATAAACATTTATAAAATATAATAAAATTCCGTACCTTTTCTCCATATTCAGGATCCATTGCCATCATTTCTCTAAGAGTTCGTAAAACTTTTACACACAATTTTTCTTCTTTCTCTTCTAATAATTTTTCAGTATGTTTTATTAATCTAAATGTAAAACAGGTAGAAATAGTTTTATAGTATTACCATTTTTCGAATACATAATTTAAAATAAATGAAAAAGTCAATGTTCATAAATAAATAAAAAAAATACCTTCTTATAAATCCACCACTTTCACATCTTTTCCGTGCCTCTGTACCCATGGGGAAAAGTAATTCTGGTCGATAAAGTATATCAACCAATAACGATAATTCAGATTGAACTAAAGGTTTCAATTGCTCTTCCAATAATAACACGATATCTTGAAGACCTTCGATGATACTGCGATCCAGTCGCATCAACTTTAAAAAATATTATCATTTATTAATTCACTATATCAATAGAATTGGGTTATTTCATTTTTACAACAATATAATTGATGAATTATTTTACCTGACTCTGACTACGTTCTACTTTTGGTTGCTTTACAGCTTGCAACCACTTAGTTGTTTGCCTGCTTAGCATAGCAGCTTTATTGAACATATTTGCTACTTGGCTTTCTAAATCAGTGGGAATTGCAATTCCACGACCTTTCGCTAAAAATGATATTAGTAATGATTAATATATATTTTTATATTATTAGTAAAATTTAATATTATTAAACTATTATATACGTACCAACTTCTGATAATGTTCTGATACAATTTTCTACATTAAACCTTTGCCCAGCATTTAACCATGTACATTGAGAAACTTTGAATGCTGCGTGTAATAATTGAACAAATATGGGCTGTCTAGTCTGTTATTAAATAAAAATTATCATTTAAATATATTTTTATGAATACATATACTATAAATTGTATAAATAATTTTAACTTGTTATAATTATTATGTTTAATATGTATATAATTTATAGTATACTTTTAAATAATACGATTATAATAAAGGAAATAATAGTTAAAATTTAGAGGTATAGTAATGTGTTTAAAGTAATATATCTTAGAAACATCAATGTAATAAAAAAAAAAAATGAAAAAAGGTATGCTCTAATTAATACAAAAAAAGTGTTGGTGTAAAAAATAAAATACTTTATTGAATAAAAAAAGCATGCTGTTATAGAAAATTGGACTCTTTATTTACTTACAGAGTCCGATGTATTAATGTCGTTATTCTGATCATTTTCCTTCAGATTCCAAAAGAGTCTTGCCTCGTGCAGATGTTTCTATTAGTAAATCAACCCAACACCATACAGACCCCACGAATTAAACCCGACCAGTCATCAGTGTTGAACAGATTTGAAAATACCCAATTGACACATGCCAAAACACATAAAAACATGCTGCAATCTTCACTATTATTAAGCACATATCAAATTATTTTTCATTATCCTACACTTGTTTATAACACATATTAATATAGTTTTTCCCATTGATATGTGCCTTGTTAGTAATTTAACAAATTGTTAAATTATTTAATATTTATCAATGAAAAGAATATATTTATTTTATTTATTATTTTTAATAAGTGAAAATTTCGTTTCAATTTCAGGTGATTATTATTATTATTATTATTATTTGACATGCAAAGCAAAAACAACAATGTGAATAATAAACAAAAAATATGAATTTTGTGTGAGTGTATGAAAAGTGAAAAAAGAATTTTTAATATAATTTAAAAGAAAAGGAACAATCAATCATTAATAATATCATATTTTGATGAATGCAAATTAAAAACTTAGTTAAATTTTATCATGAAAATAATAATTAATCACAAATTATCGAAATAAATTGAGTAGAAAAAAATGCGTAAATTAATGTAAATATAATAATACAAGTATGTGAAATTAGTTATAGTACCTGTACAGTAGTGCTTTGATCTGAAAAAGGACTACTAAAAAATGTCGTAATAATGTTCATCAGACAATTGGTCACGTAATTTTCGAATGCAGTATCTGCATGATATCTATCATGTGTTGAAGTTCCAATAAGTCCCATATCAACGATAAAAGATTTTTCGAATAAAGACCACATATGATTTGATGTATAAATTTCTTTCATTTCTACTTCTGTGTCTATATAACAATGATTGAGAAAATTAATATATGCCTCTTTTACCTAAACAAAAAACAAATTTTTCTTTCAATAATTGATAATAATACAAAAAATATACTTTTTCAAAGATGTATTATTATTTACTTCTGGAAGACAATCAGGATGCGAAACCATAGCAACTATATCGTCTAGTGGTAGAAGACTGTGACATTTAATTTCAGTATTGACATTCTTTCCCATCGTACAGCAAGCTAAAAGTTTTACTAATTCTACATGATATTTAAGAGGACTGCTCTCATCTATTCGGTATCTCTCAGATTTCATCATTTCAATAAAATAATTGAACGATGATCTATCGTTGTAAAATATCAATACATCTTCTCCAGCTTGAACAAGTTCCTGCATTACCATTTCTTGACATTTTCTAATGAATTGATTTTCAGCTTTTACAATAGTTTGAAGGAATTTCAAATATTGCACATGACGACCATGAGTTTCAATGCAGTGAACAAAATGTTGTATAACTTTTGGATTGACTTCATTACACAGTGTGGAATTATCTTGAAAAATGCTGCAAACTGTTTGGGCTTCTCGTATTCCTGGATTTAAAAATAAATCAAGATGTTTGTGAAGAAGTACTTGGTTTTGTTGATTACCCAGACAAAAGTTTTGAAGAAATTCATGAGCCAACCGCATCAATTCATTCATTCTTGTGTCTTCTTTACAATCAAATGGAACTTGAAGAAGATCTAAAACAATGGTATGTACTCCGACATTTCTCAAAAGTCTTTGCTCATGTTTGCGTGGTTTAACGACACCACCAGGAAAGGTTTGAATACAAAGTTTGTTCATTCTTATCAAAATTTGCTGAATTTTTCTATATTCTTCAGCTTGATCAGCATGAAGTGGAGGACCAACATCTAAATCAATAGCTGATCCTCTTTTATCTATTTCAGCAAGTTTTGGAGGCATTTTCCTCGATGTTGTACCCTCTTCTTCATCTTCTTTATTACTCTTTTTCTTCTTAGTAGTTCCATGATCTTCAATAGACTTTGATTTGTAAACCCATAATTCTGATTTTTCAACTGATTGTCGAAGAACATCTAAATCTGCTTTAATTTGTTTATAAGATTCTACATCACTATCAGAAACTAAAAGTTGAACTTGTTTAAATGCTTGTAAAACTTCTTGGCGTTGACTAAAGTGTCTAAATAATAAATGAAGTGATCCAGATACTAATGGAGGATAATCGTGCATAGCTAAATGAAGTAAAACTCTTAGGAATGTTCGACCGCCTTGGCCATCCAAATCTAAAGCTAAACACTCATCACTACTTCCAAATATTCCTTCTGCTTGTTGACCTATTGCCTCTAAATCAATTCCTTTCTGTTCGAGATTCATATCTCCAGAGGATTTTTCGTTTTCATCAAATTCTTTTTTGAAAATACTCAAAAGACATGAGATTCTATAGTCAAGTCTTACATCCAAGATAAATTGCAAAATTTCTATTATTTTTAATTTAGTATCCATAACTAATGGATATTCTTTTTTTGTTCCTGGATTAGGTCGTGGAGAAGATGTTCCGGATATCACTTGTCCAGCCGGACCAAGTGTTAAACTTGTCATGACTGCTCCCATATCTCCAATACATCTTAAAACTCCACCCTCGGCTGTTTAAATTAAAATCATAATCAATTAGATTTTACGAATTTGTTTCATAATTGTTTATAAATAAATTATTCTCATTCATAACTTCTATTATAATAGCCCACCTTCATTTTCAGTTTCCCTTATGTCAGCTAAATTTAATAAATTAACATGAAAATTAACGAATAGTGATTATAATAGAATGTTAACTTACAATCGATTTCAGATGTAGATGATATTTTTCCATCGATGAAATCTTTATCAGATACGCAATCAAGTATACCGAGCAATGTCTTTGTTAATCTTAATAAATCACTAAAACTGTAGAATCCGAAATAAATAAGATCACGTGCTAATTTAACAACCTAAACAATAGAAAAAAATGATATCAATGATTGAAAAAAATGCAGCAAATAAATAGAAAAAAGAAGCTTACTTCAAATGTAAGTTTATTCTGTTCATGGTCAGCAAAAGACCATACATTTGAAACGACATTACACAGATAATCTTCAACAAATAGAATTGTAGAACTAAATCGTGCTCGAACAGCTTCTTTATTTTCATCAGGCATTCTATTAGTATCATAATCATTTATACTTATTTTTGAAGAGATTTCAGACCAAAGACGAGCATATTTGACAGGTGTAACGGGTTCTTGAGGATCACGATCAACGTGAAGATGTAACATAAGCCGACAAAAAGAAGCTCGTAATTCGTTAGGTACTGTTTCATCTTCCATACATTTTAAAATTAAATCAATATCTAAGTGTGGTGATAAATTATTTAAAGCCAAATATTGTCGATTTAAACACATGTTACTAAATAAATTAAGTTGATGCCGGTAATAATCTAAAATGGCAATATTTTCAATATTGCCCATTTTAGCTTCTCTTGATAATTCACTTAATGACATTGTTCGTTTTCCATTATTCCATGACAAAACTATTTCATGATCTTCTAAAATTGTTATTTCTGTCATTTCACTATCATCTTGTCTTTCAACAATATTTTCTTCAACTTCCACGTGTGTTTTAATCATTTTCGTATCTATTAAAATATCTTTATTCTTTTCGCTGAGAACACTTTTACAAATCAATTCCTGTGTTACTGCAATAGCTTTTTTATTTGATATACATAAATCTGATAAATAATCCAAAAATCGTGACTCCCAATTTTTCATATTTTTTCTAACGAGTCCCACGAATGTTTCTATTTCTGCAGCAGTTATGTGTTTCTCTAAAAGTTTTCGATTATTGTGAAGAAGTGCAGTAATTGTATCTTCAGCTAAAATATCATATCCAATTTGTTTTTGCATAAAAGCAAAATATTTAGCAATATACTCTTGATTCTTTCGATAATCTTGTTGTGATAATCTTAAGATTCTATAACATAATCGAAAAATGTATTTATATGGTGCATGTCTTGGATCATTTAATTCTTCTATTCTCAAGAAAGGCCCTTCACCCTCATTAGACTCTAAAAATGGAGCTTGAAGTATTTTAAATAATTGCCCAAGAATGTATTGTTCCCTCAATAATTTTTGCCGATCTCTAACAGCATTAGTAACTATCAAATCAAGTGCTTCTGACTTATTCTGTTCATTTTCCATTCCCGCAATAAAATAAACAATATCTTGAAGTAAACTGGTGACAGCTCTTCTTTCATTGTGTGAAATTGTACCCTTTTCTAATTTAACACTTATTACTGCTAAAACTTTGCACGCATCATTAGCAAAATCAAGATCACGAACTTCCACTGGTGAAACAGATCTTAAAGCAAATGCTTCTTTATCTTCTTTATTAATGGCACATCCAACTTTTGACATTACTGGTTTTTCATCATCTTTATCAATAGGAACACTTGTTGAATGAACCCATGTATTTGTACAAATATGGTGTAGTCTTACAAATGAAGATTGAGGAACTAAACTATCAGCTCTCGTTAAAGTAGTCGGATCTAATTCAAACAGAGAACTTATTTCATTACTGTGTGGCACTGATACAAGCCGATAGACTGCTCCAGCAGTATCACGTTTAGATTTGTTTACTTCATGTGGTTCATCAACATCAATCTCTGCAGCTAAATATTGGCCCGTGGCAAGATGTTTGAATCGAAACAGAGAATTCCAATGACCTGCTCCACCTCGACAAGGATCATGCTGGACAACTTCAACTTCCCAAAGAGCTTTACTGCTAGTTGCAGCTGTTGCACTAGTTCTTCCAGTTGTTCTTAGAAAAACATGTTGTTTTTTTTTATATTCATCCATTGTTAAAAACTTTTCTTGTTCAGCATGAAAAAGTCTTACAACATCTCCACCTTTTAAAATTTCTTCTTGATTTTCTCTGTGCTCCATAAATAACGTTACTTTCCATGATGTTGATGCATTGACAACATTAACTTCTTTACATCCAGGATTATCATTCAATTCATAATTTGCAGCAACATGTAGTCCTTGCCTCCCTGAATTTACTGGCTCCAAAATGACCTTATCACCGACTACAACACTATCTCCATCACTTCTTAATTTGTAAAATGGCATTATATAAAACCATGATCCTTCATTACCATTTGCATCTAAATATACTCGCATTGCATTTTTTTCTAATAAAGCTGGTAACCTTTTATTTACTGTCAAATATTTGTTTGATTTAAGATGAAGTAACTGTAAATTTATTCAATATTTTAATTAATACTAAAGCTTTTAAGCAAAGTAAATTTTAAATTCTGTGTTTAAGTTCAAAGACTATCAAAGTTTTAATTAAAAATATAATAAATATATTTACTTGCACGACATTTCCGTAGGATACCACTGAACCTAATAATTTTTTATTCTCAGTATCATTTTGTTTCTTTTCAATCTCAGCTGCATGATGAAGTCTTTTTATTAAAACAGCATCCGTAGTAGAGCTGCCACTTTGTTTGGCTGCTTTCCAAAACTGCTTTTGAGCAGAATATCGGTTCATAGGACATATTTTGAACAGGCAATCTAATAACCAAAGTAAATGTTTTATTAATATTTGTAACAAGATTCAAATGCTAGATTTTTTTTATTCTAGAAGTTTATTAATACTGATAACGTAAGAAATAATTACCTCGAAACTTTTTTGGAGGATTTATTAAATCGCCTGCCTCCGGACAAACAACACATCGATCGTCAACCAACCTAGAATAAGAATATAATAAATATCAATTTTTTTGAATATCATTATTATTCAATATCATAATTCGATTTTTAAAAATATCCTTCCAAGGTTAAACAACAATAATAGAGTATGGAAAAAACACATACTGACAACGTAAAGAATAACTTTGTTTTAAATAATCAGTTTAGTACACTAATTGAACGTAAATTGTAGTAAATATTCTATAAAAAGATGTTCACTGTGAGTTATCCTTTTTTTCAATCGTTTAACTCACTCTAGCTTCTTATTAACTTTAACTATGTACCTAACCATGCACATACGTGTATTGCATCACTTGATTAATTCAATGTTCATTGAAACGTACATGCCCTACGAGCTACTTAATTTTTATTCCATAAACGACAGCGTTTAAAAATAAATAATAACACCCTAGTTTTCATTAATTGATTTTCTATAATTTCTATTCATGTGAACGATGTATTAATATGAAGCTGACACCTATGATATATAAATACATGCTTGAAAATTTAACATAGATTATTTTAATTTAGATTAAGATTGTCCTAAATAATCATATAATAAAATAAATTGGTATTTGTATATATAATTACCCAAGTGTGGATAAAAAACCAGAAACTGCGCCTTCTGCATAAAGGCTGACAATATCTCCAAGATGCAAAAAACTTGCCGATCCAACTATCTCTCCCATCGTCATTAGTATGTTATATTCTGATGTAAAGATTCATGAAATACTTGATTTTTTTTTATCTAATCATTGTTAATACCAAAACTGTAAGTAAAATATCTATAATTAATAATTATATTACCATTACTGATGATAATTTAACGTCATTAATACGTATCTAATTGATAACTTACTCATACAATATTCATACACTTTTTCTGTTCTAATAATTTGCTCACTAATAATTCTAAAAAATATTAAAAAATCGTTATATCGATGACCATGATCATTGTAGATGAAAAACTACTCAATATATCTATCTAATCACATGAAAAAAATTTATACAAATTTATAAGATATTTACTTATTAATTTCGTAAACTTGACATAAATACGTACTTTTGACTAAATAAATTTAACAAATGCTACTGTTACACTTAAAAACTTAGAAAAAAAAGATAAATGACGTCAAAATGTAGTACTTGCAGTGAAAAAATGTAAAATATACGAAATTAAGAATCACATTGATACTTTATTCCGCGAATACCAGTGAATGACTGCGAATTACTGAGCATGATGAGGTTACATAGATACAACGGTCGATAGTATGTGGTGAAATGTATATATAGTTAGTGTTCTGCTTTTAATTGACGTAACACTAGCGAGAAGACTTCTTCTCTCTCTTCTGATAATAACACACACACTTTTAGCTCGACACATATATGTATACATGGGGATCGGAAATATTTCAATAAGTAATTAAACGAATGACCACTTTATTTAATCGGTTAGACCCTGTTTCATTTTATCAATCTATTTTGTAATAGAAGATAAATAAATAAATTAAAGAAAATAAATTGTATGTACAAAAATCAATTACCGCTACTTATATTTTTGGCGCGCTTTTTAAATAGTTTTTATTAATATCGGAGTGGAAGGAAGATAATAAGAATGATAAGCAGAAAAAAAATATATAATAGTAATTGAAAGAAGATAATAATGCATTATGAATACTAATTTTTATGTTATGTACATTTTAATATAGATAATAATAAAATAATAATAAATACACAGAATTTTTTTGTATTTTTCTAATTTTATTGTACCAAAAAATTTCCAATAATTTTCTTTTTTCAATAGTCTATCGAGTTAACACGTTTATTTTAATATTTATTCATATATTCATTATTTATTTTTAAGTAATTGTTGTAAAAAATAATTTTAATATGCACATATATGTATTTCTCTAAGATGAGAATAATAATTATTTACTTTATCAACGGTAAAATAGTTATTTATTTCCGTATAATTTTTATTTTTTTTAATAAATATAATTGTACTCATTAGTCATAAAAATACAAACGAAATTTCTAACATAACAATAACTAAATAATAAATTCATATATTTATTTTTTTTTTCTTTTTCGTAAAGTAATAATTTTTCTTTTGAGATCTACTGTTTTTAAAACAGCTGAAAATTTAAATTTTTAATTTCAATGACAATTTTTTTCCAAGACAAGTTAGAATTTTCTGTTTTTTTTCTGTTTTTTTCTTTTAATTATTACGTGTTTGTTTTGATTGAATAACAATAAATTAAAAAATAGATTTGTCAAGATATTTTTGGTTTTTGTATTGACTTTAAAACTTGTACCAAAAAATAAGTAGTTTTGTTTTCTTTAATTCATTTATAATTGCCAAAAAAATTGTTTGATATTAATGAATAACACGTAACTGTAATAATTGTAAATATCGTTTAACGTAATACGACATTATTAAAAATATAATCACGAAATACTTACAAATCTATGAAAAGTCTACTTAACTCAATGTTCGATATATTTTGTGATAATTATTAATCATGCATATATAGTGGAAATTTTGTTAGCTTTATATAAAAAAAAATTTTTTTATTGATTTAATCATTTTTGAAGAATATTTATAACGCTTTTATATTTTGTATATTGTCTAAGCAATTACATCTAGTACTTTGACCTTAAGAAATTTGAAATACCACATACATTAATTTTACCAATCAAACACTATTATTCAATTAAAAGCGAAATAATATTATTAAAGTAATTTTATAAGAAAAATTGATCTTTAAAAAATAAAATGAATTATTGCCAATTGTTTATAAAATGTTGAACATTGTGTATTGAAATTATAAGATTATATATAATAATTCAGTTGATTGATAAATGAATCATGAGGCATTTACTGATCATCATAGTGATTATCAAGAATAATAGAGTGACAATGTTAATTTAATTAATCATTGCGAATTCTTAAATAGCACCAGACCACGAGATACAGTCGTAGACGTGAATGCAATTGGTATCTACTTTACATATTGTGTGCTCATTTAAATGACCAAATTACCCAGATTTCACAAGATATTGTATCGGAAGAATGATAAATGATCAATGTTTGGTTACAACTCCATATCTTGTGCCTCATCTTCACTGTAATCACTCATGGACGACTCACTTTCCGATGACACTGTATTGCCATTACCACCGTTTTCTTGATCTTTTAGGGCTTCTTCTGTTGCATATTTCCTTACATAATCTGTACATGATTCATTTTGTACGGATTATTAATTAAATTTTTGACAAATTAACCTTTTAATGTGTAAAATATACATATAAAAATTTCATTAAATCATAAATTTCTAAAGTAGAAACTTTATGAGAATTTAACAAAATTTTTTTCTTGTGCTATCGATCTACTTGATTGATAATTAAATACCTGCTACTTTTTTCTTATATTCTTCTGGCTTATGAAGATACATTGCTGCAGCATCTCCATTTAATGGATCAATTGGATTAGGATATGTTAATAATTGTGGTAAGAAAGACTCAAAAATATTAGATAAGTCTGAGAAAAAAGTAGATATTAGAAATTTAATAATACATAAATTATATAATTTAATAATTATTAAAATAATTGTACCGTAAAGAGCTGTCCATGCTTGATTTATCACATCAAGACATACAGTTCCCGATACTTCATCAATGTTTGGATGATAAACTTTGTTCATAAATCCAATTGATGGTGACTTAAATGGATAATGTTCAGGTAAATGAACTCGCACTTTCCAGATACCTCCTTCATAAGGAGCTAAATAAATAGAAAAGATAAGTACAATTAAATTAATAGAATAATTATTTTAATGATATTTTTAAAAATATTATAAATACTTACTTCCTCGAGGTCCATAAAATTTAACAGAGAATTCATTGAGTCCTCCCAAGATTGTTACTTCATGTTTACTTTCAATTCTTTATTAATATTCAATAACTTTTATTAAGGTAAATAGTTCTATAAATTTTTTTTAATTGTACAATTACATAATGACAGTATCATTCATTTTTATTTGTTGAAGAATCATTTGTTTTAATAATAGTAAAAATTAACTATAGTCATAGTGAAGGAAACAAAGAAAAAGAAATTGTAAATATTATTTAAAGGGAGACAAAGAGAGAGAAAGAGAGACAAAGAAAATGAAAGGACAAAAGGTATGTGGAAGAAAAAGATAGAGCAATCAGCTGGTTAGAAACAGCTGTTACCCGTCAGTGACGCATTGAGAAATAAAATGTTTTGTTTATTGAATAAAAATTACTTTTTTTTTAATACTCCTTGATATGAATAATTATATATGTACCCAAAGGCATGCATGGTTTTATCAGTTAAATTTTTAGAACATACATTGATTTAAAAAAGGATACAATTTAATAACATCAGTATCCATGCGTCGTTTGCCTGCACTTGGAGACGACATGTTTATTGTTGAATTAAGATGTATCGATGTATCGAAAAGTTGAATTATATCTTTGGATGACCAAAATCAATGTAGAGTAGAATAATGGAAATTTCTCACCTTCTTGAAGTCGACAGTTGTCAAAAAGTATTTTTTATTGATCACTATTTAATTATTCCTTACACGTACTTATTAAGGCTTTATAAATATACATAGGTATACCAAGTATTCTAGTGTATATTTTTAAATGGGCTGTCTTCTTAGTTTAAAGCATTAAATTAGCGTAATCCATGATCATTCGTTTTGATACGAAACGTGGTAAAGACGAATAAAAATACATTAACAAAAGTATGAGCCACGATCTTGAATTTAATTTAATTAACTGAATATCAATTAAAAGAAAAACATTAGCTGTTGAGATGATGGTAAAGCAGATACGTAAAGTGATATGAATATAACAAATAATAATAAGACGTATACATAAGTGCAAAAAAAAGACCTTCACCTATTCTTTATACTAATATGATGATTAAATTCTAGGAAAACGTTTTAGAATTCATTATTTAGGACTCATCACCAATCGTCCACATTCACTAGTATTTTTTTTATCTAATAAACAAGCCCCCCTTTGCACTCGTAGATTTAAGACTTCTATTATCTTCACCGTTAGATGCGTGTCATTCTTTCCCAGGCACTTAAGATACAATGTTTTTTTAATAACATTTCCATCAAACTTTCACAGTAATAAAATTAAGGTTGTATTAATTTGGTTATAATTTCAAGTCGTTTACACGTGACAAAACAAAAAAAAACACAACTCATCTGTCAATTTGACGTAGTTTTCCTCTCCTTTTTTCACTCTAATCTCATTGCTTTGTCCAATAACTTGCACTTATAATGTCACTGCTTATAATAGGTTTACATTCAGTAAAATTAAGTCAAATCGTGATATCCAATCATCGATTATTTATAGAAGAATTCAGAGTACTCAATTGGACGATTCTATTTTAATTTTGCTTTCATGGAAAGTTCGTCGTAATAAACCACGCATGCGTCAATTCACATGGATGTGCATGGATAGAGAAGTACATATTTATGTGTGTAGCTATTTTCATGCTATGTATAGCCACATAATAAATGTACATATGTATTTGTGTACGTCCATGGATGTGTTACGTATACATATCTTCCTTCTCAAATTTGACCGGAAATGATTTTCATCTCTCTATCGGAAATATATCAAACGCCCTCCAGGTGATGAGCGGTGATTTTCAAAAATTACATTATTGTTTTAAAAATTTACAAACGTATTTTATAAATAAATCAAAATTATATAATATTAACGTCATTATTTATTTAAAATATTACTGATATTTTTTCGAATATATTTATGATAATATTAGAATGATTTTTGTGATGTGTAACTATATTTGACTCATTTGCCCTTTTACCCTTGTCCAATTGCCTTTGTTCTGTTGCCGGGCCAACTTAACCTAAAATATTTTTTGTAGCTGTATGAGGCTACATACATTTTATAATGTTTTTTTTGTATATTCTGATTTAAATGAAAAAACATAAAAAATATTGTTAGTTAAATAAAAATTTTTGTATAATCGTAGCAATAGCGTTTAAATTAATTTATCGGATTTTGTAGTATCTATGAAAAAAAACGTGTGAGAAGAAATATTCATTCTGTAAAAGCACTAAGATAAGCTAGTCAACATGGCTTCGTTCACAAGGTAAATCAATATTATTTATTTGTACTTTTTTAAATACCAAATATAATTTATTCAATCTTTTGAGTTCATATTAGAAAACAATTAGCTAATAAATTATTTATTTTATACATGAAAATAAAGCATACACACATTTTCTGTTTCATTTTATAATTTACTGATGTTATCAGATAATGACGTGTCACTAATACAAAATTTAATAATATTTATTCTATGCATTTTAGGTCATTAATACAACTCTCATGTATTTTTATTGTTGTATACGCCGTTGATCGCAATAATTTTAAAACATGTGAACAATCAAGTTTTTGCAGGTAATAATTAAAATATTACATACAACAATTTTTTAATAATTAAATTTTTAAATGATGATAGTAGTTTTAAAATATCGTAAAAAATAATTTTTCAATCAAATTTTAGACGATGTCGAAAAATGGAAGCCGGTAATACACCTTATCAGCTTTTGTCGAATACGCAGTTACAGAATAATTCCATTTTATACGGAGAATTATTTAACAAGCAAACTGGAATATTTTACGTCTTGAAATTGTCAGCTTTAGAGGCTAATACATTTAGACTTTATATAAACGAAAAAAATCCATTGAAACCTCGTTACGAAGTTGATTATGCCTTACAAAATGCACCTCGACTTACGGAGCTAAATGTTGTTGAGAATACTACTGATCATATAACAGTTAAATCTTCTACAAACAAGGCAATATTATATTATAATCCATTTAAAGTTGATTTATATTCCAATGAAAAGCTTGTAATATCAACGAACGCCCGAGGTTTAATGCGATTTGAGCATTTACGAACCAAAACTCCCAAAAATCCTGATGGTGAAAATCCAGATATCGTTGAAATACCACCTGAATATCCTGGAGATGGTGCAGAAAATGATCCAGGTGCATGGGAAGAGAATTTTAAGAGTCATCAAGACTCCAAACCTCTTGGACCAGAAGCAGTAGCTATGGATTTCAGTTTTCCCGATGCTGAACACGCTTATGGAATTCCACAACATGCTGATCTTTTTGCTTTAAAATCAACTAAAAGTACTGATCCATATAGATTGTATAATTTAGATGTTTTCGAATACGAAGTTTCTAATCCTATGGCGCTGTATGGATCAGTCCCTGTTCTATATGCTCATAGCAAAGATCGTACATCTGGAGTTTTCTGGCATAATGCAGCTGAGACCTGGGTTGATATTCAATCAAGTGCAGATACGAATGTTTTTGACAGTATCGTCAATTTAGTACCTGGAAACACTAAAAAAGCCTCTGTAGACACTCATTTCATGTCTGAGTCTGGAGTAATAGATGTATTCTTTTTACTGGGACCAAATCCACTTGATGCATTCAGTCAATATACCAAATTAACTGGAACTGCACCTTTACCTCAAATGTTCAGTTTGGCATATCATCAATCACGTTGGAATTATAACGATCAAGAAGACGTTGCTCAAATAACTGAACAATTTGATGTTCATGATATTCCTATGGATGTTATGTGGTTAGACATTGAGTATACAGACAGTAAAAAATACTTTACCTGGGATCCAATTAAATTCCCTAAGCCTTTAGAGATGATTGAAAATCTTACTAATAAATCAAGGAAATTGGTTGTAATTATTGATCCACATATTAAACGTGATCCTGGTTATTATATTCACAATGATGCAACAAATAATGGATTTTACGTTAAACATGCTGATGGAAAAGATTATGAAGGTTGGTGTTGGCCAGGATCATCTTCCTATCTCGATTTTCTCAATCCAGCTGTAAGAGAATACTTCAAAAATCAGTATGATCTTGATAAATTTAAGGATACAACTAATAATGTTTACATCTGGAATGATATGAATGAGCCAAGTGTATTCAATGGTCCCGAAGTCACTATGCCAAAAGATCTCATTCATTATGGAGGATGGGAACATCGTGATATACATAATATTTATGGACTTTCATTTATTTCGGTTACATATGATGCTTTATATAAACGTTCTGGTGGTACTTTGAGACCTTTTGTATTGTCAAGATCACACTTTGCCGGAGCTCAACGATTTGCAGCAATTTGGACTGGAGATAATACTGGTGATTGGAAACATTTACGTATTAGCTACCCAATGTGTTTATCTTCAGCTGTAGCAGGAATATCATTTTGTGGAGCTGATGTTGGAGGTTTCTTTAAGAATCCAGATTCTGAACTTTTCACCAGATGGAATCAAGCAGGAGCTTGGTTACCATTCTTCCGTCAACATTCTCATATTGAAACTAAACGACGGGAACCTTGGACATTTAATAATGAAACTACTAAAATCGTACGAGATGCTATCAGAGTAAGATATTCATATCTTCCATTGTGGTATACCTTGTTTAGAGAGCATGAAATAACCGGTTATCCAGTTATAAGACCTCTTTGGGCACATTATCCAACAGAATCGAAACTTTATACAATAGATGATCATTTACTGGTTGGAAATTCCATTCTTGTTAGACCGGTATTTGAGCCTTCAGTTTCAGAGGTAACTATTTATTTCCCTGGAGAAGGCAAAGATTCATGGTATGATGTAGAAACTATGGAAGAATACAAAGATTTTGGAGAAGTACGTATTCCAGTAACTTTGTATAAAATTCCTGTTTTTCAACGCAGTGGTACTATTGTACCTCGTAAAATGAGACTTCGTCGTAGTACAGTTGCTATGAAAAATGATCCCTATACGTTAATTGTTATTACTAATAAGGAAGGAATAGCATCAGGAACTTTATATATTGATGATGAGTCTAGTTTCGAATATCGTCATGGAAAATATATTTATCTTCAATTAAGATTTAATGGACAAGTATTGTCATCTAAATATATTGATAAACTAGCTAACTTCCAAACAACAAGCTGGTTAGAACGAGTGGATATTGCTAATCCTCCTCAAGGAGTGAAACATGCTAATCTCATTTCTGAAAGTAAGTAGCACACAATAATGATCTTTTGAAATAAAATCAACAATTGACGTTTATAATTAATGATTTTTATAATTTTCAGGTTTGGGAAATGTAAGTCTAGAATTGAATTATAACTCAAATAATAATGTTTTAACTTTGCGTAAACCTGGTGTAAATATGGGTGAAGAATGGTCGATTGAATTGAAACAATGAAGTATGGTAAGTAAATTCAACCTTAGGATTTCAGACATAGATTGATTAAAAGAAAATTTTAAATTTAATTATTCATATTACTACAAATGATATTGTTTCTTATTATTACATTTTTTCAATGTATTGACTATTTTATGAAATGAAAATTTGGCAAATAGTTATAAATTTTTTTTGTATTACATAAAAATATAAAAATTAAGAATTCAAGAAAACTCATGATCAAATTTTATAGACTTGTGAATTAATAATAAATTTTAGGATTTGAAAACCTTTCTCAATCATACTGAAAGATTTAATGAGACATTTTTTATTGTTTAATTAACTAGTTATTAATTTAAAATAAAATTTTACAGCGTATCAATAAAATAAACATTTTTATGACCTCTACAATAGTTTTGTAAACGATAATTATTTGAATATTTTTACATTTATTGTAATTATTTTTAAGTTTAGTATAAAATTCATATATCAAAAATGTATAGACTGTTTATAATCGTTCACTAGGCGCTTGTTTATGTGCTAAATATAAAAATACTATTGATGATAAGGCAGAGACCAAAAATATAACATCAAACCAGCGATGATAAAAACTAAATTGAAGATCTCCCAACACTTGTGTGACAATTATTCGATATTCTGCTGGCATATTCATTCGCATTAAAAGTACTGATGAAACGAAATACATACCCTGAAATAATTTAAATACAATAGATATATCGATGTCATAATTTACATTCCATATATATTGATTAAATTTCCTTTTATAATTACCATTATTTGGGCAAGAATGAGCACAATAACATTTGAAGACTTACTACTAGAAATAGCGTAAAAGAACTGGAAAAGCAAGAAATAGTGTTTACGATTAAGAATATATATTGTCTTACAATAAATAATACCAAATAAAGATGTAAAGTCATTGAGAACAAGAACTAAATTTATATTTACCTTAGTTAATGTAAGTAATAAACCTCGTATTGATGTAACAACAATACAGCCGACTAAAAAAAATGATATATGTTGTGACCAGAAAGTCACATTAATATTAAAACCAATCCAATGAACTGCAATTTCTATTCCTCGTGTAACAGGATCTTTTTTACCAACACGATCAAACACAATATTTATGGTAGACTGTGCAAACCGATAAAAATATAAGTAATAATTGAAAATATAAATAAAAGTAATTATTTTAATTGATTTACTTACAATAAATATTTTCCATAAGCAATAAATTGAGAAGAAATAACCAAGAAAATTGAAATATTTCCCTTGCCAAGTTGCAGCCCATTCTAATCGTTCCCTGGCATTTTGAATATCATGAGCTTCTAGAAATAATTGACGAGATAATTCTTCCAGCCCTGCAACCTCTTGCTGAAGTTTCTTAACATCTTGAATAATATAAAATTAATTATAATCACTTATTGTTTTAATAAAAATAAAATTATTATTACATACTTTCTCGATGTTCTGTCATACTCGTCAAAGGCGATAACATTCCCCAAAGACGAGATCTCGTCTCTGCTTTGGACATTACATCACTTTTTTTGGCTAATGCTATTCTTTTTTTTTTAGCTACGATCATATCCATAGTTTGTAAGAGCCTTTTTTCAATTACTTGTACATCACTGCATGAAACCGGCCTCATGAAGCAAGCCATTGATGAATACGGATAATTAACAGCACCAAATCCAGATAAAAGAGCCATCACAGTTACTCCAATTACTCCTATTCTACTGACTCCTTGTTCTATTGAAAGAAGGCCTTTCTTTGGATTTAAAATTGGAAATGGATCTCCAATTTTCCAAAAAAGATATAAATAGAATAGATATACAAATAAAGTTAAAGGTGTTCTTAAATTCAGTCTTACTGTAACAATATAAATATTTTGATTATTTAAAAAGCTAATAAAGTTAAAGAGAAACGATTAGGTATTCTAATAATTATTTTATTATTGCTCATTGGAATGTTTTAATATAAATATCATATGTATACTCACCAAATCTTATATTTCTTATAATGAAAAGTGCTATGTAAAAGGGTATTAGTACAATGACCATAAAAAGTAACATATAAAGTCCAACATACCAATGAAAATACCTAGAACTAATACAAATTTTTTTAAGTATCATATAAAATTATAAATATATAAAACATATAATTGTTAAATAGTATTTATTAATACCTAGAATCAAGTATTCCTTTGATTTCAAAAATAATTAATTCAAACATAGTGCAGGACAACGAAAATGTTATTGAAAAAATTAATTGGACTAGCCGGTGATGAACTTCATAATCTCTGAATAATTTTTTAACAAAGAAAACCCATCCTCCGAAAAAAAATAAAATCTGTAACAAAAAGTTGAAAGTATTGATAATTATACCTGAATATTTAATAAAAGAAAAAAACATAATCAAATTGGAGTAGGATAATTAAAAAAAAAACTTCAAACCTGTGTTACAAGTACCACACACGTATCCTCTAAAAGTCCCATCTTTAATTTTCTTTTTTTTTACATGTTAATTGGAATTTTTGAACTTCAATTACAAATGTTAACCAATATTATTTCATTGTTATTATTGTACAAATTATTACATAGTGATAAGTTATATTGTGCAACGTGTAAATGATATACTGTTTAATCGTCCATAGTATACAAATACACAATATATTTCGTATAACCAATAAATACGTATATATGTTTACAAAGGTTTCTGTTCATCAACTGTCAATCGTGTAATTCAACTTTATCAACAAATTTTTATGACTCCACCATAAATAATTGAATACCTTGAACAAAAAATTATATCTTAAGTATGATTAAAATTATTATCAATTTATGTTTTATTAAAATTAAATTATTTCTAATAAATCTATTGCATGAAGACTTTAAGTTCGATTAGGTTAAGCATTGAATATTCAAAATATTTACGTTTGTGATTTGAACGTATAAATTATAAATTTTTATTAATGATGATTAATGAAATAATATTTTAATTTCAGATGAATTGAAATGTCTCTTTTTCCTGCATACGCAAAGGAATTAGTTGAGAAAGTTTCAGAAACTCCACAAGTAGAAAATGCAATTAACGATCAGCCAAGTACCAGTTGGCTTTCCAATTCTAGTTTTCCAGAATTTGTTCATCCACCCACCATAAATATCTCTTCAGATTCATCGGATTCTGATGAAATAGAGTTTATAACTAGAATAAATAAGGAAGACTCTGATGATATCATAGAAGTATCTAGCTCAATTGTAAATGAAACTGACAATAGGAAAGAACATTTTAAGAAACGCAAAAAGTTAAAAAAATCAAAAAAACATGAAAAGCATAAAATTACAAAAAACTATGAGTTAGTTGTTAAAGATGTATATTATGATGATACATTTAGAGATAAAGGAAACTTTAAAGTAGACACTTTATGTTCGAGAGTTAGACCTATATATAATTTAAAACAAACTGCTCTTGGTTTGATTGTAAATATGTACAATAAAAAAGAAATATTTAATCGATATTACGTTAAAATAACAGATAAGAAAAAATCGAAAAAGCTAAATACAATTATCCAAAAAACCAAAATTATTCATAATACAGATCATGATGAATTTAATCAAAAAATTTCAGAAGCAGCAGAAGAAAAAATAAAATCAAAAATTAAAGAATATAATGAAAAACTTGCTGAAGACCCACACGATATTGATCTTTGGTTGGAATATATTCATTTTAATGATCGTGATAATGACTTTGAAACATCTCACGACAAGAATACTGAAACAATAAAATATCAACGAAAATTAGCTATAGTAGAAAAAGCATTAGAAAAAAATGCACAATCTAACGAATTAATAAAAGAAAAATTAAAGTATATGAATAATCTACTACCAGCTGACCAGTATTCAAATGAAATTGAAGCAATGATTGAAAAGGATCCAGGAAATATTTTATTATGGCAAGAACTAATCAGTGCAACCAGGTCTTCCGTTGCTATGTGTACAGTACCAAAAGTGATAAATTTATATTCAAAATGCTTCGCTTCTCTTCATTTATGGTCCAGAACTGATCTCCAAGCTTATGACGATCGTTTACTGAATACTCTTTATCATAGTTTGATATTTTTACGACAAGCAGGACTCTGGGAACAAATGTGGGAAATAATACGTCTTAATTTAAATTTAAATCTCAGCATAAATAAAAATAATCATTACTTTAAAAATTCTATTGATGAAAAAAAACTAATTGATATGGAAGAAGTAATTTTAACATCGAAATTACCATTAAATCAATTATGGCTTCGTGTGGAATTGCTAAGAGAGAACTGTCATTGGATGAGTGTGACTCAAGAGGAGCTTGAACTTATTGGAGATTCACATAGATTTATTTCTCCAGAGGACGTGACAGACTTTATCCATCCTTTGTTAAGTAGAAAATCAAATTTCAAAATGGTTATTTATTTTCTAATGGCTTTAAAAATTCCATTGTTACCAACTCGCCATCAAACTTTACAAGATTTAGATATGAAGGCAATTAATTGGAGTTTTGATTCTCTTGAATTTTTAATTCCATTCATATATCCGTGTGCTGGTGAAATGGCTGGTTATGATAAAAGAATTGCACTTTCAATAGGATTACTTGAAGGAAGTATCACATCAGGACCTCAATACATTCGATATCATCCAGCACAGGAATCTTATATAGACTTTATTCGAAATGTTTTTAGTACTGTTGCAGAAAGTCTATCATCAGAGAATAGATCGAGTATATATATTTGGTGGTTACGATTTGAAAGAATGATTCTATCACTGATAAAAAATAGTACGGTTCGAATTGATAAAGGTTCTAAAAAACTGAAAGGAATTTTGAAAGATTTTTTACAGAAACAAGAAAATCGAAACAACTTATATTATTACCGAGAATATGCATTAATAAAACGAGAAATGAAAAATTTCGATAATTGTGTAAATATTTTAGAAACTGCTATTAAAACAAAAGGAAATATAGTGAAAAATGTTGTAGATAAAATGGAACAAGTTGCTCTTTTAAGTTTGTATAGAACTCTTTTAGAAGTTTTACTGGACACACAGTTTTGGACAGAATTAAATAGGACGCGAATATTAGAAATTTTCTCTCAAATGTCAGATGGAAAAGATCAAAATGAATGTATAATAAATACTGAAAAATATCTTTCTAAATTTTATAAAGAGTTATTAGAAAGTCCTGATCTATCACTCTTAGAGGAATCGTTAGAAACACTTTTCTTTCCTAATTTTTATTGTGACATAGTGGTATGTTATGTATATTTTATTTTTATCAACAGTCAAGACTTGGAAAAAATTTTTGAAATTTATGATAAATCTTTAACAAAACTTTCAAATTATCCACATGTTCAAGAGCAAGTGTATGAAAACCAAATAGCATTTTTACACTTTATTTATGAAAAATCATTGATAAATTTGAGTCTATTAAGAGAGTACTTAAATAAAGCTATGGAATGTTATCCCAATAATTTCTACATTCTCTCTGTTTTTGCAGGAATTGAGGTATAATGAATTTAGATTTATAATTATTGTAACAATAATACAATTTATTAATTTACGATTAAATTTCTTGCAGAGTGAATTACCACATTGGAGTATTTGTACTCGTCCTACAAATGATCGACTTTGGATGAATATTGCTCTATGTTTAGCAGGTCGAGCACGTCTACAAACATCAGTTTGTATAAATGATCCTATTGCTATGTCTGCTGCGACTAATAAATTGCTCCATTTTCACAAAAGACTTTCAAAGTATGTTTGAGTTATTTGTATTGATGACATTCATCATAAAATATATCTGTAATATTTCTAAAGAATGATTTTACAACAGAATGAAATACTTTTTTATTACAGTAACGATGAATTACGCTGTTGTCCAATCATCTGGAGATTATATATGTTGCTCCTTCGAGAAAAAAACTTATGTGAAAAAAAAGGGGAAGAAATTTATCATGAAAGTGTTGCCTACTGCCCATGGTCTAGATGTATTTATATTGATGCTGCTGAAATTGCTCCACAATTGTTAACACAAATTCAGGATATAATTCGTGAAAAAAATTTAAGAATGCACGTGACTCCAGAAGAACTTGACATTTTAAGAGGATAATTATGGAATATTATTAATTGTTGCATTGATATTATGAGTTCAAATAGGAATTATGATAAAAAAATTCAAGTAAATTATTTGAAATGTTGGAGTTATTACATATTCTTATTAATTTATGTATATACTCATATACACACATAATGTATATAGATATACACACAAACACATTCGATTTCAATCATTGACTAATGTAATGTACAACATAACCTCAAGTTCTAGCAACAGAACTTGACGTTTCTTGTCAAAAGAGTACTATTATTTATGTTTATGTTGATAATCTAATAGAATATAGTTATCTAATTTATAACAATGAATACAAAAGCAATTGTTATCCCTGGAGAAGCCCCAGAATCTGACGAAGAAACTCGAGAAATCCCAATTGTATGTAAATAAATTATTTATATTATTCGTAAAAATGTTTTTTATTAAATTCAAATATTTTCTTAGGGTTTTACATTTAAATATATGAAAAATAATGCGGGAAAAATAATTTCTGGAGAAGCAACCGAATCAGATGATGGTAAAAATATAAGTTTTTGTTAACTTAAAAGAATAATATCTTATTGATTAATTCCATAAATTAGATTACAACTATACAGAATAAATTAGATTATTTGATAAATTTTTTTTTGCATAGATGGTGCAAGCTGGAGTAGTGCAAGTGCAGCATTTGAAGTAACAACTTGTCCTCCTTACATGGATACAAGATTACCAAGTTCAAAAAGAAATGTTATTAAATATAATAGTCTACTTCATAAAAAACTATGTAAGTCTTGAAAAAAAACTGTCAACAAGTATTTTCATTTTTATATTTTTTTATTATATTACATTAATTATCTAGTGTATAAGTTAATTATAATAGCAATAAATTTCAATATGCAGATAATGTCAATTAAAATGCTTATGATAAGATATCTTCTACCATTACATCATAATTATATTATCTTTTTTTTTACAAAATATTAGATTCTCAAATATTAATTAATTTCATTTAGCCCTTAATTAGAATTCACATGAGTTGACAATAATGAATTTGATTTTTATTTATATAAATAATATAAAATAAATACAAAAAACTATTGAACTAATATATTTCCATATTCAATAAACAACAGTATCTTTTGTCTCTTCTTATAAATTAGCACATATAAAATTTCTATGCTTATACTAATTAAGGGCCAATAAAGAAATATAGTCAATAAAAATAATCAACAAGTAGATAATGACATTAAAAAGAACTTATTATTATAATTTTATTTAATAGATGAGTGCAATGAATCACTAAGAACCAATGTAATTAGTGTAGCTGAAGATACCATAACGAACGGTGTCCAAGAGCTTATGGGAATTAATAAGCAGTTGGTAAAAAGTGAACTCACTGTCCAAGAAGCTGCTTGTCAACTAAGAAATGCATCAGCTCGATGGAATGAAGCATCCAGTAGTCTTTTCCAACTTATAGATACTAATTTTCTTAATACCATTAGAACGTAAATGCTCAATGATATGTAAGATAACAAAACATCACAAGTATAACAATTCTTGATAATTTTATACTACTTCTAAAGTTATTATTATTACAAAGTTAACTAATTTTTAATTTTATGTTTACTATATATAATTAGCTGTCAGCCAGCGATGCGAGACATTAAATTTAATTAAATGTTAAACATTTCAGCAGTTATTATTGAGCATCAATTGGATTGGTATTTATTTCAATTAATTGGTGGCAGTACACTTTGCTAGATCTGTTTACTAACAACCCATAATTATGACTTAGTTACCGTTAAATGTATGAATCTTTTGTAAATTGATTTTATCTTACGCATCATAATAAATTTATGGATAATTTGTTATCGTATATATTCTAATTTTTGTGTAAGATAACATTTTCTTTTTTTATTAAGTGATCGTTGCATTTATTTTATTCTATTAATTCTAAATATAACATTTTATCACCAAATGGTTTGTTTTTAATATTTATATTTACATTCACACATCAGATTAATTTCTAACATATTATTGTTGTTCATTATATTAAAATTTATTAAATATTATAAAACATCGCAATAAATTAATGAAACGATTTTGCGGTAATTCTATTTGTACAATTTTCATAAAATTAAAAGTATATTATAGTAAATAAGTAATTGACAAAGAATCTAAATGATAATGATTTTATTAAGCAATTATATATGTAGGAAAGGGGCAGGGTATTAGCACACAGTCTTTATCAGAAGCTTCTAAATATTATTTAAGTTTTTTTTTTAAATATTTGTTCGATCACTTTCATTCATGGTTTGTCATACTTTTATTTATCAAATGCATATTTTTATTTGGTATCAAAGAACTGACATCACGGACGATTAATTATAATGGAATCATACATCACTATTTTATATGAATAATAATGACTTGATGATCTAATGGTGATATTTTCTACAAATTCAGTCTTAAATTATTTACTTGCTCTTGATTGAAATAAAATGGGTATTAATGTTAGTTGATTGATCATTCAAGTATAAAGCTTCACTGTGATGACAATGGTTGGCTATAATTTATGTAATATGAGTTTTTAAGGATACAAATTCACTCAATTCAACGATTGTGCACATGAATAATTTTTCATTAGGGATGTACGTATTTATTTTGTTTATGAAATGTTATTGAGTCTTTGTAATATCTACATTCATTAATTGTTCTTATATTTATTCAAGTAGCAATATTTTTATATAAAAAAATTCAATACTTTAACTCACTTTAAAATTGAAAAGTGATTTGTCCTTGTATCAAATTTTTATGTGAGTATAAAGATGAGAAATTTTACCTAAAAATATTGCTGTTACAATATTTCTATTCTAAATTAACCTACGTGACTATTACATAATTAATAATTACTTAATTATGACAATATACAGAGAAACATATCACTGACATTACTCATGAATACTTATTGAAACAATAAAAACGATTATTGATTTTAAATAATCGTTTTTAAATAGTATTTTTTTTACTGAGCATCGATTTACAATTCCGTGAGGTGCATCCTGTGACTCATGTAGTCATAGCAATCATTCAAATAATCCAGAAGAATTTCTGCTTTCTAGAAATGACCAAAATTTACTCTCTATCTACAATAATTTATATTTCATTAATCTGTATATTATTATCTATCCATAACACTCGACATATAATCGAACATCTAAATCACTATTACATTCGTGTCTTAAATTTCACAGTAATTCCTTGCGAATTCTGAATGATGTTTATAAGTATTTATGTTAAGACACACAGTCAATACTTTAACAATTTTTCAATTCATTAATTTAATTCAATAGGTTGGGCTTCAATTCCAAAAGAGAATCATGGTCTGTTGAAACTGTCGACCTTTATAAAAGATTCGACGTCTCACCCGATACATGTTGGCCAATGTGAGGGCGCCCACCCCCCACATGGCCTACGCCCTCTCCATCTCACCACTGCTTGCGTACATCTGGAGAAGTGCCATTGACTCTTGGGCTTGACGTTTTTCTGCCAAAAATCGGCCTGATGCTTGCTTTAATTGTTCTAAAAACAATCTATCAGGCACGATGTCAGCTAAACTATCTGGATCCATGTCACTAAGTAACTCCAGGTCGTTACCACCAAGTAGAGAAATATGAGAAGGATCTCCGTGGAGCGTTGACACAAGTGGTTCAATAGGACTTCGATAGCGTCGAGTACTCTCATCTGATGGGTGATCAGTATTGTCTATATTGTCAACCACTACGTACCGTGATGGAGTCTTCGCGCTACCAGGTGCAGCCCATTTTTCGTTACCTTGAAGTATCATTAAACTTGTGTTCTTTTCAAGTGTTGCAAAGTATTCTTCATCATCGACTTCGGTTCCTAAAAATCAAAAGGACATTCTCACTTAGTACTTTTCTAAGTAATGATGAATAAAATATACTAGGATATTTCTTAATTTACCATCTTGTTCTAAAACAATTGTTAAATCAGCATCAACAGGAAGGGATAGTCTATTTCTTGCTACATTGGTCAGTTCTTCTAAAGAAGAGGCAGTTATTCCTTTTCTTCGTTCTCGAGAGCAGTCAACGATCTTATAAGGATTTCCAGATACTGCGATGATGGCTGTATTCTCTGACATCTTGACTTTAAAAGTCAATATGATTTATTATACACAATCACACACTTTATTTAAAAATGCATTATTTTGTACTAAACTTAGCAGGGTTTAATTATTTATATAGGCACCAACGTATTTCATACGTTAAACAAAAACCACTAATTTGTGCTTTATTAATCTTTTAATTTTATACACTATATAAAAAGTCGTTGACTTATTATTGGTGTTATCTTATTAGTAATAATTTAGAATCACTTAGTATTTTTTTTTCGGCTATCAACGGATGTCAAACTATGAGGAATATTAATTTTGAAGAACAGGTCAAATGTGGGCAGTGTCTCGAGGATTGTAATTGAGCTTTTAAATTATTTTAATAACTATATATTTTTGTTGAATTAATGTTTAGTATCAACACCTTAGATGTTTTTCATTTTCACTTAATTAAATCTTCGAAAATGAAGGAAATAAAAAATGAACAACTTTCTTGACGTCAACACAGGACGATTTGTTTATCCAGTGAAGAATCAAAAATACTAGGACTTGGGTGTGAAAGTTGAGGCGATCGTACTGAAGCTACCAACCACCCACCCAACCGTGTGATAATCCAACTAGCACTGGGTCAATGGTGCAACCACCCTGCCTATTTATACTCCTCGCAGACTACCATTGTATATATAGTACCATGACAATCCCAATCCCCACTCTAGAATGGCAACCACCACGATGAAATCAATAACCTTGCCCCTCCTTCAACTACTTTTTTACCCTGACCGAAGCGCAATGTTTCTCTTGAAATACACATGCATTTTCGACCTAGGTGCATTCTCATGACATTGATAAATAATTCCAAACTTTTTTAAATTATTAGCTCATTAACCTTCACTACATCTCACCGTTTCAATTATTCAACATGATATTCTTTTGGGAATCTAAAATTTTCATAACGACCGAATAATGATCTTTTTTTTAGACATTAATTTGAGACTAAATGATACCACAAATTGAAGCTACAGCTCTGAGATTATTTATAGTACTTACTACAAAATGAGACACTAACTCCAGTTTAAAGTTAGCTCAGGCCTAGCTAAGACAAGTTATAATTTCGATCTGTAAAATCGAATGATTTTAACGAATTCGAACAAGTATAGTTGTAATAAAATAAGGATAATTTTTTGCCAAAATCGAAATGGCTCCAGCAAAAGTTACTGAAGAGCCTGATGATAGTCAGACATGGGAACTTGTAGAAAGATGTTTATTACCTGTCGCATTTTCTCATGCGATTTCAGTGATTCTAGCTGCTATTCTAAACACATTAGGAATTTCACAAACATCCAGTTTTGTATTATTTCTACTATTTCTATCATTGTCGGTGGGTTTCACTCTTTTCTACCATAATCTGAAGGTAAACTTTTTTAATTTTCTATTCAAACTCATTTGGAATTAATCATGAATATTCTTGAATTCAAATAATATAGATAATTTTAAAGTCAATCTGATTTAATTAATACTTCAGTTTTTAATTGAAATTAATATTAATTAAGCTATTTGGTAGATTACTGCAGCTGGTAAAGCTGTCCTTGTTACTGGATGTGACTCAAGAATTGGCTATGCTGTAGCAAGAAAATTTGATGAATTAGTAAGTTGTTGTCAAGTATTCAAACTACTATTTAATTTTTCATAAAATAATATAAAAATATGTGTTCAGGGTTTCACGGTTTTTGCTGGTTTTCAAGACAAGTTAGAGAACGAAGATAAAGTGGAAAAACTAAAAAAAGAAGCTTCAGGAAGGTTACATATTTTACAATTAGATATCACAAGTGAAAGAGATATTCACTCAACATTTTTGTATGTTAACGAAAATTTGCCGGATGGTGCACCAGGTTTTTTTTCATTTTCTTATCATTTATCATTATTATATTATTTTAAATATTTCATGTGTTAACATTTTTTTAGGTCTATGGGCATTAATTCATGCTAATGCTTGGGTTACTTTAGGTGAATGTGAATGGGTTCCTCTCTCAGTTTTAAGGAAAAGTGTTGATGTTAATTTTATTAGCATCGCACGAATGACTCAAGTAGGTAAAGAAATAAAAATAAAATTTTAATTAAAAGTAACATGTTTTTTTAATAATATTACTAGGTATTTCTACCATTAATACGACGCTGTAAGGGACGAATTATTTTGGTATCAAGTATTTTGGCTAGAATTCCAAGTCCTGTACGAGGCATTCAATGTGCTAATGTAGTAAGTTATTTTATCATTCAGTTAAATACTTAATCGTATTACATTGGGTATTATTTTATGCAGCTCATAAACTATTTATATTTTTAGGCGGCATTAGGAGCTTGGGGATCTTGCCTTAGATTGGAAATGCGTCGATGGGGAGTAGATGTTGTTATTGTTGAAACTGGTGAATATGTTTCTGGAAATGCATGGTTAAAAGACAATGTTGCTCTCTTAAATCAAGCACGAGATATGTGGATTCAATTAGATCCTCAAACACGAAAAGAGTATGGAGAGCAATTATTCCAAAAAGAAATGTTAGCATTGGAAAAATATACAAAAGGTCCTGAAGCTGATTTAACTCGAGTTCTTCGAGCATTAGTTGATGGAACAGTTAAGACATTTCCATTAAAAAGATACACACCTGTTACTCGAAAAGAGAGATTACAAGCATTTGTTAGTGATCATTTCCCAAAATCTGTTTATGATATCCTTTATGTAGATTAATTTCTTATCAAAACTATAACAAGAATCTAATTTAGTCTCTAAATAATTGATTATTTAAATTTATCTAAGTAATAAAATAAAATCAGATAAGAGTTATTATCTACAACAACAAAAATAGACAATTATTGAGTACTTTTTCGTAAAATGACATTTGTTACCTTGATAATTTATCATCCAAATAATAAAATCATTATTATTTAAAAATTTTTTTTGATAATTTTCACAAAATCTGTGATAACCTCAAAAAATGTTGGTATCTATGTATCTTCTATTTCAATGTGGTCTATTTTCGTGACAAGTTGACACTTTACGGTCTACTTTCGTTAAATGTTATTTGTGTTATCAAAGAAAATGTTTTCTAATAACAAAAAATACCAAGTTGATAGAAGCACAAATAGAATTTCAAGTTTTCACAACATAAAGTCTATCTAGTATGTCAGCAAACGATGATTTATGTAAAGTAGTATTTTTCTTTGTGTTGAAGAAGAACAATATTTTTCTGATTTAAATATTGGCGCGTTAGTGGCGCTTATATCGATCAAATTTCCGGTTGGATATGAACGGATTTTTCTTAACCAATCAAATGTCGACAACACTAAGAGAATTCACACCCGGTGGCAACTTCGACAGGGGCCACGTCGAGGCAGTGGGATTCGCTATTTCAGTTTTAAACGTGTCGTAGAAAATAAAAGAAGAGTAATATAAATCTTGCTTAGCTCTACAAAAATTCATTATCCACATTGCATATACATTAGTATTGTTTTAAATTTATGAGTTACAAGATTTATAACAATTTAATTATGCTAGCAAAGTTTTTTTTATTGTGTTTACTGGCTTTTGGAGTCCACGCCGGTGAAGAAGACGTTTTGGAGCTTACTGATGCAGATTTTACCATTGAATTAGATCGCCATGACAACACACTTGTTATGTTTTATGCACCTTGGTAAGTATATAACCAAAAACTTCTTCATAATTATTTCAAAATGTGTATTAAATGTTAATTAGTAATATTTATTACTCTATCAATGATAATTATTTTTCAATTTCTTTGTCAGGTGTGGTCACTGTAAACGACTTAAGCCAGAATATGCTGAAGCCGCTGGAACGTTGAAAGGCAATGTACCACCAATTACTTTGGCTAAAGTTGATTGTACTGAAGCTGGAAAAGATACTTGCTCAAAATATGGAGTAAGTGGATATCCAACATTGAAAATCTTCTCTAAGAGTGAAGTTGTTGCTGATTATAATGGACCACGTGAAGCTAAAGGAATTGTTAAATATATGAAGGTCAGTATTTTTAATTTTTTAATCATATTTGAAAAGAATAAAAAAATCAATAGATAAAGAGAAAATGTATATTACTGTCATAAAATCATTTCAATAATTTCTTTTGGATTATAGGCTCAAGTTGGACCTGCTTCCAAAGAACTCAAAACAGCAGAAGACTTAAAAACATTCCTCAGCGGTGATGAAGTCAGCATTGTTGGTTTCTTTGAAAAAGAAAAATCACCTCTTGCCGACTCATTCCATTCAGTTGCTAAGAAACTCCGTGAGAAAGCCAATTTTGCTCATACTACAGTGAAATCGATCTTAGAAAAGGAAAAGATGAAAAATAATATTGTTTTATACCGACCAAAACTTCTCCAAAATAAGTTTGAACCTCATATGCTTAAATATGAAGGTGGAGATTCTGTAAGTGATATTAACGAGTTTATTACGAAGAACTACTTTGGTTTATGTGGCATTCGCACACGTGATAACGCTATGTCATTTAACAACCCTCTCGTTGTTGCTTATTATGCAGTTGATTATGTTAAGAATCCTAAAGGCACTAATTACTGGCGTAACAGAGTTATGAAAGTAGCTAAAGATTTCCCAACTTTCAACTTTGCTATTTCAAATAAAGATGACTTCCAACATGAATTAAATGATTTTGGAGTAGAATTTAGCAAGAGTGAAAAACCTGTTGTTCTTGCTAAAGATGACAAAGGCCAGAAATTCATTCTTAAAGATGAATTCAGTGTTGAAAATCTAGAAAAATTCATGAAAGACTTGGAAGCTGGTAATTTAGAGCCATTTATTAAATCAGAACCAATTCCAGAAGATAACTCAGGTAATGTGAAGGTAGTCGTCGCTAAGAACTTTGATGAAGTTGTTACCAAAGCTGATTCTGATGTATTGATTGAGTTTTATGCACCATGGTGTGGACATTGTAAGAAACTTGCTCCAGTTTTTGATGAGTTGGGAGATAAAATGGCTAAAGAGGATGTTGTGATTGCTAAAATGGATGCTACTGCCAATGATGTACCACCACATTTCACAGTTCAAGGATTCCCTACTCTTTACTGGGTACCGAAAAATTCTAAAGATTCACCAGTTAAATATGAAGGTGGCCGTGAACTTGATGACTTTGTTAAGTACATCGCTCAACATTCGACTGATAAACTTAAAGGCTTCGATAGAAAAGGAAATGCTGTTAAAGCTCCTAGTGATGAGTTGTAAAAATTTTCTATTGTAAACTTTATTTTTACTATCTATTTTTCTCTGTGTAATGTTAGATGACATATTTTATATCTAATTGTATGTAAGCTTAATAATATTAAGCTTGATATACATTAAGCTGTGTTTCCATGTCAAATTAATGAAAATTTTTATGGTAAGGAAAAAAATAATTTAATGGTACAGTTTGTAATATTTTTAAGGAAATATTGTACCATGTATCCTTGTCAATGAAGTGATCTTATTCCATCTTATTTTTAAACTAAAATAGATGTAAAATATGAGTACATTAACATTCTGTTTATACAATAAGAAATTAATAAATTCAACATAATAATTTTTTTTAATTAATTTTGCTGTCGTTCTTTTATTTGAAATTTCTTCTCATTAATATGCACAATTTTATTATTTAAATTACGGAAATCGTATAAAACAATATGGCTCCACACGATTCTGAAGCCTCTAGAGGATTTTTTATGAACTAGTTATTGTTTACTATTTAATAAAAAAACTGACAGAAAAATTGAGCTGTTTATTATAAAGTTGATTGAATTAATAATAAGAATATTTATAATAAAATGCATATTTTTTAAAAAATATATTAAAAATTTATGCAATCATATAATTATGATTCAATATCTCAGATATATTAATAAAAATAATAGTTCTAACTACACATCAGGTTATGCGTAAGCGTCATAAGAATATACAATTTAAACGTTAATTTATAAATTATTTAAATAAAAAGTTTGTGCATAATTATTCAAAATGATAAGTGATTATGAGTTATTCAATCAATTGTGTACAAAATTTGGAGTATGTCCACCAATAGAAATCTCAAATGCCATGAAAATTGCCAGGTAAACAATGAACAAATTTCTACTCATAATATAAATTATTATAACATTGTATTATATAATTTTTTTTTGTTTGTAGTTCTACCGGAGAATTACGACTACCTTGTTTATCAATTGTTGTGCCAGTTTGTGAAGTTATTGGTCGAGTTCTTGCATCAAGCTGCAAAATAAAATTAGTCGATCTTAGTGATTGTATGCTTGTTTCTAAAGGCCTATCTAAAATTTTTGATGCTCTTCAACAAGGCACAAATATAACTTACCTGAATTTAAGAGGAAATAATATAACTGGTCCTATAGTATCTCAATTAGGATATATTTTTCACCATAATAATACTTTAAAATGTCTTTATTTAGAGTGGAACAATTTAGGGACAAATATTGAAGATTTTGAAAATTTTTGTAAAGGCCTTTGTGTAAATTATAATATTGAAGAATTAGATTTAAGATATAACCAAATTACTCCACGTTGTGCTGAATTTTTAAGTGATGTCTTGAAAAAAAATAAATCGATAAAAATACTTAATTTAGCATGGAATACCTTAGGTGTTCAAGGAGGACAATTATTGTTGAATGGTATGAAAGAAAATAATAGCATTATAAAAATGAGCTTACGTGGTAATTGTATACCTAACGAAGTTATCGAAACTATTGACAATTACACTTACAAAAATCGGAGCAGAAAAATTGTTTCTCAAATAAATATGATGAAAGACATAGAAGAAGCTAGTGAAGCAATATTTAAAGAAAACCATGAAAAATTGAGGAATAATAGTAATGTATTTGTTGAATCAGAAGTATCCAATGTAAATAAACGATCAAAAGAAAAACATCAAATGGAAAATCATATACGTCAATCTCCTAAATATGACAATACAAATTTAAATTCAACTTCCATTGTAGCTTTAAATATTTTCGAAAAGAAAAACGAAAAGAATGAATCAGCTAATTTCCATTCAAACACTGATATAGCTGTAGAAGAAGATAATTCAAAAGATTCAGATTTAAATAGGAAAATTTCTGCATTAAATAAAATTCTTCACGATCGTACATCATTTGTAGATCTTTTAACAGATGAAATTTCTGTCAAAAATACGGAAATTGATTCAGCAAAATCTTTAATAAATCAACTACATCAAAAAATGAATGAATTAAAGGATAAGCATGAAAATTATGTTTTAGAAAAAACAAAAGAGATTTCTAATTTAATAGAAACTCAAAAAATTAATGAAGAAAATTGGAAAAAAATGTATAAAGAACTAGAGGAAACTCACAAGACTGTTGTATTAAAAAATAAGGAATGGGAGACCAAAGTTAATCGATACGAACGTGAAATTCACGATAATTCAGTAGAAATTATTTCTTTGAGAGAAAAATTAATAAATGAATCACAATATTATAAAAATATTATTGCGCAAAGTCGTATAAAAATTCATAAAGTAAAAAAAGAATTTGAAGAAAAAGAAAATAAACATAAATTAGATCTGAATGTTTTAAAAAATACTTTAAAAGAGACAACACAAGCGTTAGAAGAATGTCAAGCACAATTACAAAAGACTCGTACAGAGTTACGTGACACATTAACCAATTTATCTGATGTTAAATCAAAATTAAATGATCTTGAGCAGATTAATATAAAGTATAATAAATTAGAAGATTGTTTGCAAAAATTAAAAAATGAAAAAACATTACTTGAAGACAAGTTTACTGATTCTCAAAGATCCATAGCTAGTTTAAAGAGACAAGTTAATGCTCTACAAGGTGAATTAATAGAACCACAAAGACGTTATGATTTATTGAAAGAAGAATTGAATGAAGAAAAAAATAAAACTGCAAGACTGAAACAAGAGTTGACTGAAGAACGATCAAGACTTAAAGAGCAAGATGTTCAAATACAAAAAATGAATCAACAAATTACCATATTGAATAGTCAAATCAATGAGATTCAATTAAGTCATGCTGATGATATTAGAGCCAGAGAAAGAGAACATAAACACTTAAAAGAAATTATAGCTAATAGAGAACAGGATTTAAATGATTTAAAGTGAGTATTCTTTACACTATGTTTTTCTTTCTTTAAAAATAATTGATACTAATTTTTAATTATCGTAATTATGATTATTTTAATCTAGAGCTAGAGAAGCACAACGAGCTGGTCAGTTATATGCAGCATTTAGCAAGTACCTGAATCCAATGGATGCAACATTAATTACATGACATTTTCCTTTTATAATTAAAATAATTCATGAACAATTTAGTAAATTTTTCATTATTAATTTATATTTTACACTTTTGTATTAAAATGATCTATTATTAATATTTATTTAGAAATATAAGATTATTCGTACTGAATGTTTATTTATTACTTTGCCGTATTACTAGTACTTTATTTTACCAGTATTTATTTATGAATTAACTGTTCTATCATTATTAAAAAGTTTTTAATAATGATTTTACCCAACTATTCTATTACTTGATTAAATTGTTCAGCAAGTGAAATCATCAAAATTCTTTCAAGTATATTGACCGTACATACTTTTATGTAAAATGATATACTGACAATTCATTTTTTTTCTGTTATCTGAATAAAAGAAATATTCAGTCAATGTATTTTAATTATAATGTATTGCAATTGTTCATTAATAGAATTGCAAAATTTGTAATGATTTAGGTAATTAGAAAATAAATTTAATCAATTTGATGATAATAAATAATTTTTTTTAATAATTTAACTTGTTTTTCTATACATCAAAGTTATGATATAAAATATAATAATTTTCTTATTTATTCTGTTACAACCACATATTAATTACTTAACACAAAGTAAGATATGAGTGTATTGGGAAAAAAAAATACAGATTCGTAGGATAAAGTTAATTAATCAATTAGTTTAATAATAATATTATTATTTCTACTCATAAGAATAATAATCAAATAATTAATAGTAATAGTGAAAATAATAACAGCAAAAGATAAATAATATCTACAAAATCATTTCACTTTTTTGGATTAATTTGTTCCAAAAAATTCGTTTACATAAATAATATTTGTCACAATTGACTATAATAAATTACGTAAAAAAAACCTTATCATTTTATTAAAATGGCAGTAATAAAAGCTTGGTATGGCTCAATTCTTAATAAGCCAATAGGGAAAAATGAATACTCTTAAAATATTTTTAAGAGTCATAGAATATGTATACTGAGCTGCTGCAATATTTTTTTTTGAGAAAAAATTATTATTATTTCACAATTTTTAATAATATTCATCACAAATTTTCTACGATAAAAAGTATACATACATACACACAATTCATTAAATAAACATTGCAAGATGTTTGCAACAAATTCATGTTACACATAACATCAATGTCATCACTTCTCTAATGTAGAGATACTTGATATCATAAATTATGATCTTGACGCTCATAACAATAAAATGTAAATCGAGGCATTAAGTATATCATACACTCATAGAAGACAAAAATATATATGTATATTCATATATATATATATATTTTAGAGATTTATTTTACTAATTGTTTCGTATACAATCCTCGTTGTCGTTGAAATTGAACATATAAGTGACCACGCCTTTACTCTCAAGCACATGATTACTTATCTTTCAACGGCATAACATTTTAATATCTGTAATACGACAGTGCACGATCTAGATATTCCAATCTCAGGCACGTGCTTGACTTATGTATGTAATAACTTCTTAGCTAATGTACATTTTGACTCATTCTTGTACAGCTGTCTTTTTATTTTATTTTAGAGTTATGACAAATCCATCAAGGCACAAAGTCTAAATTATTAATATTATTATTTTTAATATTATATATATATATATATATTAAATACTTGATTTATATAATTGACTAATTAAGACAAAAATTTACTTGATAAATTTAACATAGAAATACCACTTAAATCAAGTTGAATTTGTCTAACAATTAGTAAGTCATTTCAGGGTATGTATAAGGTACCCAAATAAATTTTATTATATTTTTTTTGAAGCGTCGATCAATAATTAAATACCATTGATAATTTTCATCATATTAGTTGTTATTTTTATTTTAAATTGAGGCTCGATTTTATGAATGTTTTTTTTTTCTTTTTCCAGTTCATTTACTATCTTAGATTGCAAATATTATGCTGTTTTGACTACAAAAAGTTAAATTCATTTATCAACATACACACAGATAAATAAATAAAACAAAATATCTTTAATTGAATATCATTACTAAGTCGAGGATTTTTAGCACATTTTATAATGATTTTTTTTCTGATTACTTATCCACATTTGTTTATCACTTTCATTTTAATAATTTTCTTTGGTCATAAAATCATGACTGTTATTTTTTAAATTACAATTGCAATGGAACAAAAAAAAAACTTTTTAAAATTTATTACACATTTGTTTAATGAAAATTTTTTATTTTTAAGATAATTGAGTTTATTATTTTTATTGACAACCCTAGACTTAAGATAGATGTTTTCACAAATGATTATCAATATAGAAATAAATAATTTTAAAACATTTGGAAGATGCAAATTATTTTTTTTTAATGATTATTTATTAATTTATCTACTTAATTTTATTTAGTTTTTTTATAAACTTTTTAAAATGAATAAGGATATTCAGCAAGATAATTTTTGATTGGTAAAGGAAGGTGGTCAGTGTTAAGTTTATTTTTATTAACAACAAGTCTAGCGAGATGTGATAAAGATCTAACTTGTTTAATAAGTGGCTTAGTTAAATAAATTTGACTGTAAAGTTGTCCACTGTAATCTACCCAAACTTCTCGTCTATTCTCTTCTATTCTCGAGTATTCGACATAATGTTCAAGCATTTTTATCGGACAATCAAATAAAGGCATGGCAAGAACAAGTCTTGGTTCAGCATCAAGTCGAAATTGTCCAAAAAAATAATGAACTCGAACAGAAGTAGGACCACGATTAGTTTGAACTGAGATTGCAAAGGTATATCGACTATCAGAACTGTCTCGCATTAACCATCGTCCAATAGGAACATTTTTAAGAAGATTTTCACTCTGTTGCCAGCTAAGTCCTTCGTGGTACCACCCACTAGTGTGTAATAGTCTCTTGATCTCTGCCAACTTAACCAAATCTTTATCTTGAGGATAGGTGTCAAATCCCCATGGGAATGGCATTAACCAAGAGACTGGAGTTGTTGGGGCGTCTTCTCTTCTCTCGTTTTCTCCAAGAACTGTCGGATTATTATCCATTTGCACTAAACCTCCACCGTTAAAATTATTTTTGCTCCTAACAGCTCCATTGACTCCTCCATCTGCAATATTTGGACTCGTCATGGCTGTAATATTTACGGTACATTGTCCAACGTTCGGTGGTAATTGAATGGTTGCATTCACTTGGATTTGGACGGCTCCTGGATCATCAGTGCTTGAAGATTTACGGGCTTCCACGCCATTTACAACGGATGTTGATGTTTGACATGGGTTAGTTGGTAAATTACCATGACAAGAATTTAATTTTGAACTGCAACAACATCCAGAAGAAAGTTTATGATGGTTAGAGTTCGCAGTTGAATTTTTATCTTGAGGAGCAGACGATAAATCATTAACTGGTGACTTGGTACTTGAATTACGTCGGATTCCAGGTAATTCTTGACAACCACTCGGTGGTAATATCAAATCTTCCAATTTATCTTCCGTAAATGAACTATCTTCAAAATATTTAATGTCAGATAAAGTGTCTACACATCCATTATCAGTAAAAATAACTTGACTTGGAGAATCTTCGGTAGACAGCCTTTTTTGTACTAAACAACCACCTCCTGATAACTTAGGCCTGATTTCAATTCTTGGACTTTGAAGGAAAGTTTCAGAATCTGTACTTTGAATTAAACAACCTCCTGATTGAATTTTAGGTGTTGTAATTGTCATAGTACTACCAGCAAGATCACAAGTCTTATTAATTTGACATTCTGGACTTGATCGTAAACCAGATAAATTGATGATATTTTTCTCTTGATTTTTCATTAACTGATCAGTACTAAAAATACCTGATGGTGCTTCTATTTTGTTTGTACCATTTTGACCATTTGATTGAATAATTGCAGGCCCATGAATAATTGTTGGAGCGTTGATAATGCATCCTCCACCACTATGGTAGCCACGGGGTACTAACAGACCACCACAGCTATAATAATTTCCACTACTATCTAGTGATTGCATAGTTGAATCTTCAATTTTTGAACTAGGATTACAACAACCATGTGCAGGAAATCGGAGTCGGCAGTTTGGACACATGACTGTCAGCATCTTGAATTATTGAAATTTGTCGACATAATCAGCAAGACTCCTGAAAACATTTAAATAAATTATTAATTTTTTGAAGCACATTTTAGCTACTTGTATTTATCAATTAAGATATCATTTAATTATAATAACTCTTTTAAAATATTGATGATATCATTTTGCTTAAGAAATAGTAACACTATATTAAATGGTGTGTTGAATATCTAGTACAGATCCCAGATAGAAAGAGGAGAATCAATGTAACTGAAGACATAAATATCCCTATATAATATGATAACATCTTCTATCCCAAGTTGGGACACTCGATAAAAAGTTTATCAATAATTTTAATTGTGAATTAGAGACACACTTTAATTTTTTCGTAGAAATGTTGACTTCATTCAATCATTTTTATCAATGATGATTTTTTTTATCAAAAAAAAAAAAGAAGAAAAAAAAGATCCTCTTAGCATTTCAACACAAATATTAAAACAGATTATATATGAAAAATATATCATGAAGATTACAATAACAAGAATTTAATCAATTAATAAAGTTATTCTTGTTAATCGAAGTTTTACGAAGAATAATGAAAATATAAGAATTAAACAAGAGATTGATAAAGTAATCAATCAGCGTGTGGAGAAGATGATTTACCAACACACTTTTATCGTAATACTTGAAGAATACCGACACAGAAATGAAAAAAAATAATGAAATAATATGAAAACATACACATCATGGGCAGCTACCGAAGGCGGAAACACTCGATTCTTCGAATTCGTCACGAAAGAGCAAGCTACGCTTGACAGTACATCATATCTAAACTTTGCCGGCAAGATTCTTAGAATGACCTATTGATGAGGCGCGACGAAGGACCGCTAAAGATCTTTTGCACGCAACCAAGCCGCTTCATTTTGTTTGCTCCGCTCTTTCCAAGTCTTTATGCTTTATTCGTAACTAACTCTAGATGCTACTGTCTATCTTCTGGGAATTCAATAATAATCATTTATACTTAATCTAACGCTGCTATAACAGAGAAGTCATCAAGTCGACACAACGTGCAATCAAAAACATATTTTCCCAACGGAAATGGAAATACATCTAATCAACGAGTTACACACTGTTGGTAACATAATCTCTATAAATTCTTGGAAAATAATCATCAGTTTCGTATTTATTCATTTGAGAAAAAATTAAGGTTAAGTATTTTTAATTATGCTTCAAATAAATATTTGCAATTCTATGTTATTATTTATTTTTTTAAAAAAATTCATAATGAGTATTATTATTATTATTATTATGATTGATTATAGTAATTGTTAGAATTTTTTTTTTATTTGTGATGTTATAAGGTTGTTATACGTTCAGGGCAATCAACTATGTCGACACGTGTGTCAAAGTATATACTGATAGTATTTGTGGAGTTACGCGAAAGCGAACTTCCGCGAAATTGAATCGCTTATTTGCTCGCCATACATCGTGAGTTCGCGACTTCAAGAGTCGTATGTCGCAATGCCAGAAGGCCAAGCCCCCATTTAGAAGTTTGTCGTGATCATAGTGGCTTGTACATATATGTAAGCACCACAATTACGCATAATTTAAATGTCCAAGAATCTATACTTTATCTTTAATCACAAAAAAACAATACTTATTATCATTAACTGATTTCTCATTTAAATCGTAAAATGTCTAAATAATAAAAATTTAATTTTATATAACAATGTCGAAATTTTAAATGGTCTGTTTCACTTTATTATATTATCATATGTTCGTTTGTTTGTTTATTAACAAAGGATTTAAACATTTATAATGAATTTTTAAAATCAAAGATTTGTTTTTTGAATATGTAATAAGAATAATTATGTAAAGGAATGCAGATAAAAATTCTTGCCCAATATTATTCAGTTTATAAAATTAATTAGTGGAAGTCATTTACAATAGTATTCGTAGAAATATATTTCTTGTTTTATTGGAATATTGAATAATATTTTTATTTTATTCAGTAAATGATGATGATGTTAAAGAAGAAAAATCTTACTATCTTGTACACATGTTTTTTTCAAAAGAACAAAAAAAAAGAAACATTAAAAAAAGTAATTAATTTTTTATCTTAATAATATAATGAAAATATTAAACATTAAGAAGAATTTTAGTTGCACTTAAACGGAAAATAAAAAAAAAATAAAATAAATAAATGTAAAAGATTTTGACATGATGTAATTTTATGATAATTTGTTTATGACATTCATAATCCTGTAATAGATTTTTTTTTCCATCATTCTATGAAAAAATATCCCATGAATATTAATATATTTATTTTCATTTTATCAATGCTCTAAATCCTCATAAATACTTCTCAGAGTAGAATCACGATTTTGGGGTCAAATTCTTATGAAAAAAAATATCATTCAAAAGCATAATATATAAAATATTTTCTCTTTTCCGGTTTTCTTATTTTTTACTTTTTCAATTAAGTCGAATTTCTAAGTATGACATGAACTCATTTCTATTCAACGTATATAACGGTGTTTAGTTGGATTTCATGTTACTTAAATAATATATATTTAAGTAATAACAATTTAAAAAAGTCAGAAACTAGAACTGTAAATATTAACAAGTCATAAAACTCGAATAAAAAAAAAAAGAGAGAAACAATTGATAATAAATGTAATAATTAATTTTTAAAATTCTATTTAATAAAACTTAATTTATTGTGTTAAAGAATATTGCTGATTTTATGAAGAATTTTTTAAATAATGACCACTTGAAAAAATGAATACTTAAACAATAAAAAAAATGTAAGATATATTTTTATTTATAATGAAATAAAATTACACATGCAATTTGGCATGTAATAGTGTAATAATATATAACGTATAAAAGTAGAAATGACTGCTGTGCAAAACGTCTTGAATTCTCAGAATAACCAGGCGAGTGATTATCGATAGGGAAATTGAATAACAAATTCTTGTAGCAATATACAATTGCAAGAAAATTGGAATAAAATTAGAGTGAATTTATAGATTTCAGGGACGTAATACTTAACACTCACTATTTAATCAATCTAGTTTTTTAGGAATAAAAGCTAAAAAAAAATTGATTAGCAGAACCAGGAAGTTTTGCCAAGAGATATTTAAGTACATAAGATAAATACGGAACATGTTTATGAAAGCACATTGTAATATTGAGTGATTGCTTGGAAATGGTGCATAAAAATGAAAGAAAAAAAAAATAAATAAAATCAGATGCCTGACGATGTTTTCCATGAAATGAGTTTTAAGTATATACCTGAATCCTATTTATCCTTCCTGAAGCTGAGTGTTTCTAAAGAAAATAGTCTTTTCTCGCGTTAACTCACATTACCATAACTAACCTTGGCCAATCTCGTAGTCTTGGACGTTTACAAGGCTTAAAACACCGTAAAAGCAGCCAAGGACTGTACTCGATATGCCGGATATGAGAGAATATTTACTGGCCAAGTTTAGTTCAGCCTTCAAGTGCATTATATGGAGAGAAGAGAGTAGAGTAGAGGGACTTAACTCTAGACTCAGTACACTGTGTGTTAAGTATGTAACGGATTGCAGAACACAAACATTGCTTGCATTAGCGTGGAATGCAGTAATCAAAGTATCTCCTGCGGTATTTTTACCTTTATTCTTACCACAAGAAAAGGAAAATTTTCAAGTACTGACCACGAAGCTATCACATTAGTTTGAATAAAGTATTCAAAAAAATATTTGATTATTCTCTAATGAATAACATATTGTTTTAAAATATTTCTAAATGATATTGGTCCATTATAAAACTTATTCTTTCAAGAGTATGTTGAATAGATGAAGATCATAAATACATATGATATTATCATGAGAAACTTTTTCTTTTATGATTGTCAATTCTGCATTCACAGAAAAGAAAGTTCTTTCAATTCTGTATATAATAGATATCTGGTATATTTTTCTTGACATTTCATCTAATAGATGCATTTTGCCAACATAAATAACAAACAATGAATTGCAGATTTATACAACTAAAGGTGAAATAAAAGCTGAAAGCTGAAAAAAGGCAGCTGCAGCTAGATTTTTGCCCCTGGCCAGCTGTTACTTTTGGTATGAAAACCGTTTTCAGAGTAACACCGAGTCCAAAGGGAGTAGAGAAAGAAGCACTAAAGAAGAGAAAAAGAAAAAAAAAAGGTAGAAAGAGCAAAATGTAAGAGAGAAGATATTTTTCTTGTTTCTTTGGTACATACATACTTCTCGTCTTGCAAAAGATTGAAAGTGCAGGTTTGTAAGGTTTATGGGTAAATCTACAGCACTCTCTTTCTCTTACCATTCTTCTGGAACTCTGAAAAAGGGCCGTCGGCTGCATCCGACTTCTTGGCAACAATTATCAGAGCAAACGTTGTGTAAAGGGACGATTGCACACGTATCCTTCTCTCTTTTTCATTTGTTTATTTCTGTATATTCTTTCTCTTTCTCTACTCTACTCCGAATCACGTTTTCTCCAAACCCAAGTACAACTTGACTTGATAGAAATAATCCTATCTCTCTTACACCAATGTCTTTTATTCGATGCAGGAATGCGGAGAGAGCCTCCACTCAACAACCACATCGACCTAAAGTATAAGAGAGAGTAAGTAAGACGATAGAAATATAGATGAAAGATAAAGACAACAATCGAAGAAAACATGGTGGGGGAATTCAAGAAATTTAACATCGTTGTTTCATTTTCCAGGAGAGAGAAAGTTCATTCTTGGGATCCTCATGATTTCAAATGCTCACCATTCTCATCTGTCAAGCCTTATTATTTTAATTATTATCTTTTTTTATCAGTGTATATCAATCAACATGGATTTATATTCTAATGAAAAATTTCACTATTTAAATTGAATCAAATTTGAAATTATAACTCATTAATTAAAACCACAAACTAAAAGAAATATATATATATTGTGCTTTGTATAACATTCAATAAACTGACTGTTCATAACCTCATCATAAATAATAAAAAATCATCTCTCATGTTTATATAGTTTATTTAATCAATATCACCATTATCATGATA